CCATCGGTGCCCCCAGTTACCATGCACCAGTATGTCGGGCAAATTGTGTGTGCTTCGCCTATAATGTTATACAAAGAGAGCCTCATATTGTGTATCTGGCCACAGGAACGTCAGCCCGCTTTTCGAGTGGGTCTTCCGCGAACGCAAAGACAGACTGAGCTGTAGTTTGCCCTGAAGGCTGGCGTGGCCTGGCGGGTCTGATCTTCAGGGGCCAGACTGGGACCTCTCACTGACATTCGAAATGATCATTCGTAGAGGCTTGTTGGGTTCGTGGGCGGTGGTGTAGTTGACCTCTTAGCCTTACCCTGTATCCTACACATTTTGACAGTATTTGTATGCATGTACACAAGCAACGCATACACGCAAGACGTCCGTGGTTTGAATCCCGGTACCACGTAATCCCCCCGCTCCCCAGATTTTCTTTTGATTCGCGTGTTGATGGAATTACCCACAGAAGCTTTGGGTACGACTTCCAACCGGTGACCTCGGTTGGTAAAGCCTTCTTCACCTGACAAACATTGGCCACCGTGGTGCAGTGCTTGTCCACCACATCAATGGAGAATCAAGAAAGTTTATTTTCAACAGTAGTTGTCGCGGATCATCCCCGGCGAAAAGCAGCGAAAGTGCAGCTTGAGTGTGCCTGAGGGCCCGTACACAAGGTAATCATTACATAAGTATTTGGTCTACATACGAGTACATGGTGAACAAAGGTCAAGAAGTGACATGAATTGAATGACACGAACGACTATAAATAAAAGGAATGGTCGTGCACAACCCCCTCTAAGATCAGAAGTTCTGATTTCGCCCTTATAGTATTTGCTCGCGTCACCGCTAAGATCTATAATGACTGTTTAAGCGGGTCACATAGCTAACTAAAGGCCACGGACGCTGTTCATAAGAAACTGTCCAGAAATAGTCTAGCACGTTGTCTCTCGACTACTAAGAGGCTCTGCCAGTTTTTTCTGCGTCATCTGTCACTTGCGGTGACGATCAAATAATGCAACTTATAGCGCCATAAAAAAGAATGGTCGCACACTTGCTGGTAGCACATTGCTAGGAAACTTGTATGTATTTTTACAAGGAAAATCTGCCAGTATGACAATGTTATAATGTTTGTTTCTTTGTATGTTTACTTAAGCCTTACAGAATATGGCAGTCGTAATCTTCATTTTCCTTGCCCTTCTTCCACCTACCGGGTTTCTGTAGAAGTAATTTGTCAAAGTGTAGTGCAGTGAGGCTCTTCTATGGTTGATCTATTTTCCTCTGGTATATGCAAAACTTTTTCTCTGTGTTTTTCTCACATGCCAATTATATGTAAAGCAGCTTTCTGTTGGTTCCTATTTGTGTGACCAGGTACCTTACCTTGAAGCCATGCGAAGTGGAAGGCCAAGGACGTGGCAGTAGAAGTGGACAAAGAGGAAGTGTCAAAAGTGTCCAGCATGATGCAAGAAATTTCTCTTTAATTCATCAAACGTGTACAGATCAAGCCATATTTCAATAAATACCGACTCCCCGCATATGCATCGAGCTCATCCGTAATTTTCGAGTTCATCCATAACACCACAATGGAGTTACACTCGTTCAAACAGGGCTAATCTGGCGCAATTTCGTGTCTGCCGTTTGTGTTTACGAATTTGAGATAATTTATCGCTCGCGTTCATTGTTATGGGGACACAAGAAAGAACGTCTGGGTGTCTTTTCTCGTGCTATTCGGGAAAACCATTCATAGGTACACGCTGATGGCGAATTGCAGAAAGGTAATCCGCAGATCTTATCATAGGTTTTGTCTAAGGAGTAGAGTGTTTCTGACATAAGAACGTAGGCCTGCCCATCAATTCATGCTCCCTTTTCTGTACCCTCGACAAGCCAGTTACACTAGATGCGATAACCTATAGCAATGTGGTCTAGTTCATAACCAGTGCGCTGATTCAAGAACAGTTGTGTTGAAATACCTGTGACACATTCGCAATACCGACAATAGCAGATGATATAAGTATATACTTAATACGCTTTTCGGCCAAATACGCTTTCTTGTGCCCATGGAAACATTTTAGTGGGCCTAATCGGGACACATATTTGCCCGGCAACGGATAATACGACCACGAAAGCGCATTTTAAACAATATATTTAGAAATCCTGCATTTATTCTTCGGCGTAGTAGCTCGCAACCGCATTCCAACACGCCATGATCGACGCGTTACAGAGCCACTGAGTCCGCGGCAGCGTTGTCAGTCCTGTGGCTAAATTGTCGCTGCCAGGCGACGGTTTCACCCTAACCACAAACAAATGTGGTGCGAATTGTCCTGCTACTTCATTTTTGCTCAATAAAAGTGAGTTGATGACGGATTGTGTCCAATTTCCCGGTCTTTTTCAATTTCATTGGTTCTTATGGTTTTTCGACAACACGCTTTATTTTCCATTTCCCGTGAGAAACATCTCAACGAGGTTCCACTGTACACAGTTATAACACGAGGGTTACAGGCCTGAATAGCAACGAAGCTCAAGAAGCATTTGAGAACCAGTCAGCGAATAATGAAACGAAAATGGAAGGCGTAATGAGAGATCAGAAAGCAGCAGGTTTCAAAAAAAATGATGAGCAAAGGTGGCCGATATCCTATCTAATATTAAAGGGGCCATATGACACGGTCACCCAGCCATCTGGGATTTAAGGCGAACGCTAGAAGTATATAGAGGGCCTATTATACCTACACACAAAATGGGCCATTAAAAATAGATAAGTTCAAAACAGGCCCTACAAGTCACCGGCTGTAAATCACGCCCTAGCGGCACGGTTGTCACACGTCACCACTATAGTAGCTCTTCCTAACCTTGGTACATTTTTCCGCATGACACCAGATTACTGCAGCAAAAAATAGTTAAGAAGCACTTTGCACGCGATAGGTGAAGGTAAGAAAGTATCAGAACCACTGTCCTTGAAAGGGTACAATATATTTATATTCACAGTAACTCCAGGCATTCCTGTGTCCCGGTGTATTCTTCGGGTTAACTTTTTCCGCACTCTGCCCGAGTGGGTATCCAAGTCCGCGGTTGAAATATTCACCGCCAGGTGCGGCAACAGTTCCAGCTGCTCTATCTGCTTACCAGAAAAGCGTCTGCTCTTTTAATGAACTCGTACAATAATGACGGTCCAAATTGATTGACTGATAGATTGACTGATTCTTTTACCTTGACGCAATCCACTATGGCGTATTGGCCATTAAACGAGCGGTGTCCTTCTATATGAAAGAATTGGTTCCTAATATCGAATTCTTTATCAATAGATTCTCGCAATAACGTTTCTTCTTCCTCCTTCAATAATATCACTGATAAAGTTATATGTTTTATTTTAAATAAACCTTAAGCCGATGTCAAATATATCCAATGTAACTTTTAACTTGAACAGGAACCATCGATTTTCTACTGGTTTCATTTTAAACGTATTTTTTCTGAATATTCTAAAAAACTAGAAGGACGTGCTTGACCGGAAATGCTTTCAAACGAAAAGAGAGTGTCACTTGAGACCCTCGATAACTAGAGGCGTTTTTATAAGGAACTTCCGTGAAGTTGTTTAGTGAACACTTTGAAAGCCGTCACAACAAACACGATTCCCAATTATTTATTTAGAAATCCAAAAACTTGCACCTGATATGACGTATTCCTGGCACGTTCACTGGAATGAGGACGGGCCAAAGCGCTGAAAGTAGTAGTCGCTTTTTTTTTTCATCAAGTTGGAAGACTTCGTAACGAAGGGTGCGATGAGATTGCAATGATTGACTTCGCACTGAGCTGCTTTTGTGGGACCATGGTTGAACATGTCTGCTGAGTGTTCTGAGTAAGTTGAGTATACCCCGTATGTCGCACCTACCAAAGTTCAACATCCGACGGCAGCATAGTGACTGATTTCTAACATTTCTTCCATCATTTCAAGCTTGAAAAAACGGCAGCAATGTAGGTTATTTAAATTACCTACCTTGCCATATTTTAAATTAATTAGGTAATTTAAAATACCTGATTGCCGCCGACGCATCCAGCGTCCTCACTGGTCTGTTCATTCTTTCCTTCTGGCATTTTGTTTTTTATCACACCGGAGATTCCAGCGAGCGCGGCTCTTTGCGAACGCGTCCCAAGTTTCCAAACTCTGATCGAGACCTGAGTGTGTTTGTTTAAGTATGTGTGCTCGGCAACAACTTTCCTTGGCGCTGAAGGGAAAGCTACAGGGGCGGAGCTTCTGCACGTGTATCACTACGCGAAGTAGTGCGATTTGGCGCGCGTCTCGTAACGCCGTGGAAAGTCGACGTAGACGCCGCTCAGCATTTGGGGTACGCGAAAAAAAGGCGAGAGTTTCTCGCGCGTTCAGTACCGCGAAGTCACAAGGAATACGAATATCTTACTGCGTCCTGTCTCAAATAGCTCCACGTAGAAAATAGAGGAACTTTTATATTTCACGTTCAAAATACGAGCTTTATCGAGAAACTACAATTACTGGCGGTAAAGTGCACGTGATTTGGCTCCGTAGCCTTCGCTTCAGTGCCAGCAAAAGTTGTCGCCGAGTTTGGAGGTAAAAGAAGTGACGAAAGTTTGACCTTTTGCCACGCGCAAGCGCCCACTTGCTCGCGGTTTTTGTTCGAGGCCCGCGCTCACGCCATGCACGTTCTCTTATTCGTCATTGTCGTCTTCAAACTCCAGCTTCAGAGACGGCAGCCAATGAAACTCTGCCCAGTGGCAGGCGTCAGCGAACGCGACGCACGAGCCCGCGTCCACGAGCCATTCGTTCGAAACGGGGCGGCTCAAGCTGAGCACCTGGAGGCTCAGTTCCTTCTCGGACGCCGACCGACCCGGAGGTAGAGAAGTTGTCCCGCCACCACCTTTGCAACCCAGTCCCTCGCGCTGACTATAGCCTACACCGCAGTCCCGGGGCCGGTATGCGGTACAGCGGGCCTTCAAAGCGACGCAGGGAGGCGGTCCCGGGTCGCGTTCCGCCAATGTGGACTGGGAGACCTATGGCGGGGGGCCCGCTGTGGCCACCCAGGTATCCACCCATGGGATCTCCTTACTTCGTGCCTTTCCTGGGAGGCTGTCCACCTGAGGCGCCGGGCGCGTGCCTGGCACCCAGCGCGCAGGCAGTGAAAAAGGGCAAGGCGAACATCGTACAGTTCGAGTGGAACGGCTGCACATTCTACCGCTACATACCCGAAGGGACCAAGGGACCAACCAGCCGCCACATGATACCAGGTGAGCCACCCATACCACTACCGCCGTTCGCTCAGCCCCCATTCGAGTGGCGCCAACGGACGTCACGCTCTCAAAGCCGTCGAAGGAAGCAGCACCAAGTCTTCCCCCCGAGGGCCCCGGCGCCGCTGTGGACCCCGAGACCACTGCCACTAAACAGGTCCGGAGGCGGTCCAGAGAGCACCAAGCAGTTCGCTGCGGTGGCTGTCGCCATGGGCACCAGCGGTGGCGGATCAGTACCGTACCGGCCTCGTGAACCAAACCCAAGGATCCCGCGCAAGGAGAGCAAGACACCGGCGAGCCACATGCATCTACCCCCGTTTCTGGCAGCAGTGTCGAGCAAGCCACCCACCAAGTCACCGTCGCCGAACACCGCGACGCGCGTGCAGGGACCTCCGAGGGCCGCTGCCTTCAAGACCAAGGACTTCGCGTCGACAGTACCACTTCCGTTTCCGCTGAGAGCTGCTTTCGCAGCCAACGAATGCTGTGCCTCCCCGGCCCTTCCAAAGAGAAATGAGGCACCCGGTACCAACTCCGGAACCGGCCAAGGTTCCAGTGGCGGCGGCGGAAAGTCCAAGCCAGGCGGAGGTGGAAATACGACTGCGCGTCGATCCAACGACGGCGGTGGCGTTCGCGAGTCTGACATGCTAGGGGCCAAGCCAAAGAAGCCGCCTCGCATGAATAACATGACCTTCACAAAGTCATCAGAACGGTCAAGTGGAAACTCGTCGTACAACAGCGGCAACAAGGCGTTCAGCCGAGCGCCGCCATTTAGGAACAGCCCGAGGGTGTACAGTTCCACAGTTCTCAAAGATTTCAACTCTCCTAGCAAGCAGGACAACGGCCGCGGTACGGCGACTGATTACAAGCCTATGCTTTCAGTACCCAGGGAGGCTCCGCCGAAGGAGCAACGAAGCGCACGAAAGGAGAGAAGAGTCAAGTACAAGGCTGAGATTGTAGGCACTAACATCATCGTCACTCAAGAAGAACCAAGCCCAGAGAAGCCCGACACGACAGCTACAACCACTTCGGTCAAAGAGCCAAAGACCTCTTCTCAGGCGTCAGGTGGAGCTGGAGATAAAAAAGCAGTTCGAGGAATGTCTTCTAAGGTTCCCGCTTACACCCCGAATGTTGAGCGTACAGGCTGGAAAGATCGTGACGAGTCGGCCTTCCAGAGTCGAATCCTGCACGCAGCTTTGCTTCATGGAACCAGCGTGGCCAGTGAGGGACGATTTTCAGTGACCGCCGACTGCCTTCACCCAGTTAACCACTTTTGAAGTCAATGAGCAGTTTGACCGGTTTCTTGCACCGGGTCCTACATGCGTCAAGCAAGAGAACGCCGCATTGGCGTCAAACCTCAAACCACCATCGGGCATTAAGTGGTGTGGCAAGTTTAGGAGCGTGCCTGCTCAAACGGATGAAATGCAGGCCAGAGCCTGCGAGCACAAAGACAAGCACCTTAAGGAGCATGGAGCTAAGATTACGGAAACGAAGCGTCAAGAGGAAGACGAAAAATCGGAACAGAAGCCCGATGTCGAATACGAAAAAGAAGTCAGGGCTGTAGAACACGTACTGGAGCCTCTCTCTGAAGGTGAAGAGATAATTTCACCGGCATCCTACGCCGAGACGCTCACAAGCAGCTCCGATATACACCTCGGCAGTCTGGTCTCTGACGGTGTCTCTACGCCTTCGCCACGCGAAGACTCCTTTCACAAACCAGGTGGCGACAAGAACTTGACCCCGGAGAACTCGGCGGCTCTCCTCAATCAATTGGACAATTTCCTCAAAGAATGCAGTCCAATATTGGGAGCACAACAGTCTACCGAAAAAGCACAAGTGGTCCCAAAGAGCCAGTGGATCCTCTACACCAATCTCTGAGGATGCTTCTAAGAACTCCTGCCCGGCGTCTACGGGACCAGACACTTCTTCGTCTCTTTCGAAAGGCGACGGTTTCTCCGACATTTCGGAACCGCACTCGCCGTTGGCCAAGGACTTGCAAGTACATGACGGCACGTCGATCGCAAGCGACATGATCCTCATCAACTTCGCCGAGGATACGACAACGCTGAAGGAGCATCTGGATGGTCTGGTGGCAGACTACAAGGCGAAGCACGAAAATGACCCCCCTGATGATACTGGTATGGCATTCTCTCCCAAAGGTGGCGGATGCCGACCACGGAGTACCAGCAGTGGTGCTGTCAACGTGCTCGAAAAGCACCCGGGCTCGTCACCAACTCGCTCAAGTGCACCGGTGCTTCTTCCGTCCGATGTGTCGACCCAGGATATGCTCAAAATGACGCCAGATGAAGCTTGCACAGCTGGGGGAGACTTCGGAAGTTCGCTGGCCGCCAAGGGTCCACTGCAGGTACGCAAGGACTGCATCGGAGACGCCTTGTCGGACAGAGGTGACTCTTCAGTTAAGATAACCCACGGGTCTGGTACTGGTACCACCGAAAACAGATGTCGACGATCGGTGGCCTCCTGCGACAGCTGTGGTGCGGTTTACTGCGGCTCCAACAGCGATAACTTCCCACGGGTGTGCTCGTGCAAAACTCGGCACGGGGCCCGTGCCAAAGGTAGCAAGCCTCTGATTGCAGTAGAAATCGACGAAGCTCTGAAGGAAGAGTACAGGGACCGGGAGATCGTGCCCTGCTTCGTCGAAGAGAACATAGAGTACCTGCTCGAGAGTGGGGACGAAGAGTACGGGCAGGCGGCGAAGCAGCGCTCCGGTCATCAAACGAGCTACCATGAGAGGTCCGGTCCCGGCAGCGAGGAGCACTCTGCGGCTGCCTCTAGGCAGTACCCCGAAAACAGCTCAAGCTGGAATAGGATCAAGGACGCTTGCGACGCTTCGACCACAGCGGTCGCTGGCACGGAGCTCTGCGGCGGCGACACAACGGGTGCCGCTTCCCGGGCTTTCATCTACGACTGTCCCTGGTGGACCTACGACCAGGGCGGTAATGAAGCTGCCAGTAAAGACACCTGCAGCAGCACGGCACTGCCCAGCAGTGACCAGGTGTCCGCTGACACCCCAGTGGCTGCTGCCGTCTCGGAAATAGCCTCCGACGCGACCGCCGCTACGCTGCACCCGTGGTCCACTACACTGAGGGCGGCAGCGGCTGCAGCTGAGACCGGCGTACATGGGGTCACCGCCGCCGGACCTGGGGCTGTCACCGAGCTGCCAGGTTCAGAGGCTACTGCGGGCGGAAATCCCTGGGGACCTTTCCTGGCGACCGCCCAGGCGATAGTGGGACCCAAGATGGAGGTGGTGATGTCCTCTGGGGACCATGAGACGGGTGACTCGTGCCGTGCAGCCCGCTCAGATGCAGACTTCACTACGCTGTACATGGAGGGGCAGCCTCGCAAGCCGGTGCTCAAGCAGCGCTGGCCGACCGAGACTGGCGCTGCCGGGGGACCTCCCGGTCAAGCGCAGCAGCGGATTGGAGGGGACAGGGACTCACTGTCCTTCTACGAGTTCCCGCTTAACGATCAGCATGAGGCGCTGCCACCCCAGCAGCATTCGCTGAGCATGGAGACCCTCGTCGGCTCTAACAGACTCGACGTCACTTCGACTACGTCCTCAGTTGGCGGCATCGAGCGACGGCTTGCTGAAGGTGAGCCGTTTACCACTTGTTTCGATTCAGAACAGTACTCTTAATAAGTCACTCCTGTGGCTATCTTCATCTCGGCTGAGGATAACGAGGATGTTGCTGAATTTTTTGTGAGCATCTTAGTCAATGCGGCACGTGAACAGAACACGCCGAAGCTGAATGATATCACTTTTTGTAGTATTTAGACAACTGTTCACCTCGTGTTTGCAGCTGTCAACTGTGCGGATAGAACTTGCGAGGCATCATCAATTTTATTGTCATCGATGTCTCCTTAAATATCTAGGTCAGGTTAGGCTTGGCTGACAGTACCTACTGATACGTTTTTTGTCAGGTGAGCCTATGCCCCGGCCGGCCGATGCCTTGGACGGCAAGCCATCTGGCAGTGCAGCACAGTCTCCCGATGCCCAGTACTGCGAGCTGGAGCTGTACGCCCCAGTGAACAAGAGCGGACCGGCTGTGTGCACCGTCGTCCTTCCCTCTGATTCCATGGCTGAAGGAGACTGCGCCAAGGGCGAAGCCCTCCTGCTGGACACGGGGCCACGGCCCGCCACTCCACCGGACGACTCTAGCCTGGACAAGAAAATAGCTGCCGAGACCTGCGCCAAGCCCATGGGCAAGATCCGTACACGCTTCCGCGACTTCTTCTGGAAGCACAAGTGATTGGGCTTCTGGTGCTGGTGACTCGCCCACCATCATATTGTGGTGCGTGCTCGAGTGACTGACACTAGGACATTAGGACCAGTCATTCGTGGCACCTGGTATTGAGCCTACGGGCAGTGACGTGCCAGGCTACTCAACCACTTGCAGAGGAGTACTCGGCGATGACTCATCTCACTTCTCTTGGCTTGGTCTCTTTTTTTGCGTCTCGGTTTCGCTTTTTGGCTTGTTTTTTGTATCTCTGGTGCAATGGGCAGTCAATTCATTGCACAGCACAGACTCTAGGAGCCCGCAATGTTTTTTTCAATTTTTTTTCTTCTCCAGCTCCCAGGTCATGTGAACTGTTTTCTTCTTTATCTTTTTTTCATCGCTCTCCTTCGGGACGAGTATTCTTGCTTTTCTTTGTTAAGCGTTTTACATGTTTGTTGAAAGGTTCACATCAACTTTGTTGATGGCTGGGTTGCATTTGAGGTGGACAGAACACTGGGAGCAGCGAGTGGCATCGTTTGTTGGAGGAGGGGACATTGTTGTCTTTGTTGCTAAAGGTGCTCATTTCGTTGTTAAAGAGCACCTCTTGTTTATGTTAAACTTTGTTAATCTGATTTGCTGTTTACCCAGTGTTATGAAAAAGTGAACCTCGTCCATGTAAACGCGTTTTTGCTCAATAAAAGATGCAAAAATAACGCTTGCTTGTTAACTACTTCAAACTCGTTAGCGGCGTCGTGGATTACGCCAGCGTAACAGCCGCAACCAGTGCTCAGATTTAACAAGGAATATTTATAAATGCTCACGAGTCGTAGCACCAAAAGGCGGTTGCCATCAGCGTTTGATTTTTATGTACTCGTACACGTAAAAAAACAGGCGGGGCTTTCTCGCGCATTCAAAAATGCATAGTGACGACGAATAAAGTTTCCACTAGTGTGTGCTGCATCATGTCTCGAATAGCGCTTAGAGAATCTAGGGTGAAACCCAGAGTTAGTTGAAAATACGGACCCACTTGTGGAACAAGAAACTCGACGAGTACATGCATGAATTTAAAATCGGTGTTGCAGCAGTAATCGAACCCAAACCTGCGTGGCAGTCGAATATTTTACCGTAGAGAGACGGCTGGTTTTCAAATTGATCTGAAAAAAAAAACTAAACTTTATTTTTTTTAAATCTGGTGAGTTGTTCAGGGACCTGGGCAGATATCCCCGCCTGGGTATCGGCCACGAGCCCTTGATCTCTGGCGTCCTCGGCCCGCTGGACGGCCCACAGTTGGTCTACGAGAGCATGGCTGAGCAGAGCACTCTCCCAGCGCGTTCGGTTCGAGGCTGCGTCCCCATCTGGAGCCCCATCTCGGCCACACTCCCATAGCAAGTGTTCCAATATGATGATGATGATGATGATGATGATGATGATCCTTAATATTTTGGCACACACCCACAATGGGGGATCGGCCAAAAATCCGGGCGGCAGCATCTTTAAAAAGGCACCTTCGTTACTGTGCCTTTTTTTCGAAAATATTTTGCGCTCACAATTGCTCGTGGTTTAGAGCATGCTATGGGCCATTACACAGAATGCAGCCGTATGCGAAAGCTTCACAGACAAAAGCCATTATGAAATCAGTATTCACTAGGGCGAGGATACCGCTATCACGTCCAGCTATTAAAGGCGAAGCTTAAGGTTCCCCCCAATTTTATTCTTATGTTCCAGCAAGCTACTAGCGTCCGCAAGCAAGCGTCCTTTTAGCGCCCACAAGCAAACCTCCCTCCCTTTGTTTGTTCGTTTGTTTGTTTTGAAGCCTATAATCCATGGCTCATTCCCATTCTGGGGGATTGGCCAAGAGAACACATAGTCTCATGTGGACGCACTAATGTTTACAACAAAAAAGAGAAAAAAGTTGTAAAATGAATGCCATATATTAAAAAAAAGAAAACGAAGATTCAGAGAGTGAGAAAAAATCAACAAAAAATAGACACTAATAGCTATACCTTTATTTTGGGAGCAGACCAGGCAGCTGGTTTGTTGATGAAAAATTTAGCTCTATATTCTTTTAGTCTCACTGATAAATTCCATGGCGTAATAAACATCCCTGTGACTGTATATAGCCCAGAGTAGAGGCGCTGAATGATAGAACAACTGATTCGGATATTTCCAGACCCAAGTTTCGAAGAGGTGGTGCTATGAATCTTCTTCTCAATGACGTATACCGGTGACAGGATAGAAAGTAATGACTGTTTGTTTCTTTCTTCCTCCTTACTGAAGATACACTGAGGAGACAACGCTTGACTTGCTCTATGCAGGTAAAAGTTAAGGGAGGTAACCTGGCAGCGAAGTATGGTTATGACCACTTCCATTGTTCTCGACCGCGATAACTCACTTTTCCAGGGAAATAATAGGTGCTTATATTCTGGAGGAGCTGTCAAGGCAGGGTCTGATAAGCATTTTTTGAAAGTTAAGGTTTGGAATCGTGCAATTGTAATGTATGTTGTCAGTGACAAAGCCGGAATTATTGGCATCAAAAGCGCCATCTTTGCTAAAGAATCGGCGCTTTTTTTTAAAAGCAAACCCTTGTGTCCTGGTACCCAAATTAAGTGAAGACATTATAGGTGCGCGGGAACTAGTATTCTGAAAAGCTTTAGAAGAGGCATTTCACCAGATGCAGAGAGAGAAGAACACACAGATAATGAGCCAGTGATTATTGCTACTACTGTATCAAAACTGGGTAACTTTTGGAGAGCTAATACTATGACCATAAATTCAGCTATAAAAAGTGGGATAAAATCCGGCAGTGTAACGAAAAATACCAGTCAAGTTGAGGGCAGAATATTCCTACGCCAATTTTTTTTTTTTTTTTTTCAGTTTGCGATGCATCTGTTGCAATAACCACGTTCGTTGGCAGATTATTTAGATGCTCTTGTAATAGTCCATTTAAAATTCCGTGGGGTAATGATTTCGCGTGGTTCGGAAAAATATCGTGGCAGGCAATGTCTGTGAATTTAGGTTTCATGGTCAAAGAACGCACATCACGAATTTGTACATTTAGGGAATCGAGTAATGTTTGTGAAAATCCTTGTTTCTCAAGTTCATGACATAATTACCATGATGCTTCTGTTTCCTCTCCTTTTTTTCTAATTTTGGTGGGCTCATGAACGAAAAAAAAATTACAAGTGCGCGCGCCTAGCGCCCACAAGCGTTCGAGATTTCAATCACGGCGGCGAGCACAACGACGGCGGTCGGATCAGAGAACTCGGAGCAAACGGCATGCCGTCACCTGAGCCGCCCTTGTTGGACCCACAGTTAGAGAAACTTCGCATCGATTACCGGAAGAAGTTGACCGAGTGCAAGGAAATCGAGAGCAAACTCAAAGACGGTGAGTATATGAGCTTTAATTTACCCATTTCCCACGCGTATCGATTGGGACAGAATGATATAGATTCCAAAAAGGCGATAAGCATTGCGTTTTGGAGCGTTACATTACTGCGGGAGCCTTGCGCACTAGTAGGACAACAACAACAAAAAAAAAAAGCGCAAGGCAGCGTACCAGCATACCCTGTAGACGTGCCTATTTAAGTGCTATAACTATATGACGAAAAAAAACTTTATTTAAATGCGTAAATGCAAGTGCAATCTTATAGATGGATTTCTTTGGCCTGAAATGAAGATGTTTTCTGTCGTACTGCTTGTGCGCAAGACATTCACAGAGCACTACCATCTCGATCACTTTGTTCTTGCGTTTGTCAGAGCTGATTTTCATATAGTTGGTTCTCGTAGCTTTATTTTTGTGCGCGATATCTTGCAGTTACGAAACGCCTCTGAGGCACGCTCAAAATGCGCTTCCGTATTCTACTCTCTCATTTTTATCATATATTGCGTTGTTTAATTGTGCACCAAACGTGCGTTTGCAGCTAACTGCATGTGGAACACAGCTCGACCAAATAAGCTTCGATCTCCTACTCGGGTTACGTGTTTCGGCGTGATCGGCATTGGATATAGAAGTGCGATATCAATGATTGTCGCGAATTGAAACAGTCCTGCTATTTCAATATCGCAACAAAGCCATAAAATCAACTCCGAAAGACATGTGGCAGTATATACACAGGCACTAGCACTTGTCTGATAGCACAACACTTGCGTGTTTTCATCGCAAGCGTTTGCAAAACGTTGGTTACGTTGATTATTGGATAACGTTCACTGCGAATCTTTCAAAACCTATTATAAATGAGACGTTCTTTTGTTTTCTTTCCTTCTCTTTTTCCTTTTTATAAACCTTTCTCATTCTCATAGACCCTTCTTTTCATTCTCATAGACCCTGGCAGGTCCATCAAATCTGCATAAATGAAAGCTGCATAAACTCCCGAAGAAGAAATGCAAGCAGCGGAGTGCGTAGACGCCGTACTGCTCGTGTTTGTTTCAAAGAATAGATCTTTCCACACAGTGATTTGCTGGTGCACTTGCATTAGTAGTGTGTGATGATATGGGTCGCTTGAGCAGCACATGCTTTGGAAGTGCCTGTATTCAAGCTCTTTACCAAGTATTTACAAGCGCACACACGGATTGGTAAAAAGACAACTCCAACGAAACCCATGCCAAAACACCGAAACTACAGTCATCATCGACGATTAGTCCCAAATCAAAGCGATCCGAGCTGTAGTCGCATCGGAAGCGTAGCAGACAAAGCTTGGGCGAAGTCGCATCCGCATTTCAGGACGCAGCGAAAAGAGAAAACATGGCGGCGGCTGCAGTGAGCACTCCGCCGGTTGCTCCTGCGGGAGACCAGATTGAGAAATACCGCGAGGAGTACCGCAAGAAATTGACCGAGCACAAGGAAGTCGAAAGCAGGCTCAAGGAGAGTAAGTAATAAACGCCTCGCCTTTTCGCCCCGGTGCCTCATTTCGGAGCTGTAACAGCCACGCTTTCTCTGGGCTTTCGGTTTTGCAATTTACGCTGATTCATGTCAGTCGCAAGCGCTGGTATCCGGTGTTGAGCGCCTTTTGAGTGACACTCAGTACGTCACTTTTTGTGCATTTGGGACCATCTGTGGCGTAATCTGATGTTTGTCAAGTCCGTGGCATCCTGATGGCGTTTTATGATAACCTGCCTTGCCCGCGTATTCGCCATCGACTTACGGCGTACCCATAGCAATGAATGAATGCGTTGCTTTCGTATCCGCGTCGTTCGTAACGTTCTTGTAATGCGCTAGTACGTTACCTAAAAACAAACCTTATCCGCCTGGTTTGGTATTGCCGAACATTGCGCACGTTTTGCGAAAAAGCACCAGTTCTCTATCTCTGAGTGCTTGACACGTAAAAACTGGAGAACTGGAGATTAACGAGCGATGACATGTCGAAAGCGGTCCGTTGTGCTCCGTCTTAAGAATAGATGAAAAGTAAACTCTGTTTTTATCAACACGCCGTTTTTTTTTTTTTTTCAAAACAAATCGTGAACTTAGTAAGCTTAAGGGGTTCGCCGTATTTTATCGTGAAATCGGTATAGCAACTTACAAGTGAGAACAACAGTTGCAACATTCGAGCTTTCTGATTGCAATAATGTAAAGCGTTTCATATCGTCGTGTAATCCATGTGATTTCTGTTGTGATGTAATCATTCACTTGCAGTGCGCGAGCAGCTGAAGGAACTGAACAAGCAATACGAAAAGTCCGAGAATGACCTGAAGGCTCTTCAGAGCGTGGGCCAGGTGAGATCCCAGCTTACCTAAAGAGTTTATATGCTTTTTTTTTTCTTATCAATGTTTCACTTTTTCTGTCATGCTTGCCTCATAATACTTCACACCTGGGCTCATCGATTGCTAAACATTGTGTCAAATGTGGCCATTCGCACATTTGCTTGCTATCCATGAGCGCTTATCTTAAGCGGTCACTCTGGATTCCGCAAATACAAGTGTCGTGGCTGAAAAACTGACTCTTTCCAAGCTTCGTAACACAGAATGTCATTCCATGGTGCTTCTTCAAAGAAATGCCTCCCAACCCCTTCCAACTCTGCATTGGTAGTGTTTCTAATGTGTTTTGATCGTCAGTGGCACTGCCATGGTTAGTTGCCAACATTATCAACCTAATTATGTCATATGTTTAGGGAAACATGCCCATTTGTTGTAGAAATAATTCCTCCATTAGTGCATGGCATGGCATTGCATGTATTTTCCACATTCGTCCTTGGTCACTCTGTAGGTCGTAAAGATACAAACTGCTTCATATTTCAGGCATTGATTACCGGCTGTGGTGCCCGGACTTTGCAGAAATTCAGCCATCTAACGAATCTTGCATCTTCAAAACTTGCTGTGGCCAACTGTAGTTAAAGCTGTGTGACAAAATATCATTTTCTTTAATTAACGCTCATAGTTTATCGCAGCGCCATCGCAAACCTCCCACTGTAACCATGTAGAGCATCTTTGGTACTCCAGGATAGCCTGTTACAGGAGGGTTAGCAAACTAGTGTAATGAAAACCTAGTGTAACTCTTGCCACGAATGCAGCAAAATTTTAAAAGTGCTCCAGGAAGATCACTGGATTTCACTCGAATATTCACATTGTACAAAGCACACCACCTGAAAGTAGTGTTTCAATTTCAGATTGTTGGCGAAGTGCTAAAGCAGCTGACAGAAGAAAAATGTGAGTGCTCTGATCTCTTGTGTGTGCATTCTTCGTCACACTGTCCCAGCATAATGTCACAGTTTTTAGCATTACGTCCTTTCGTGTTACTTACACCGACTGTGCTCTCTCTGTGCCATCCTGCAGTTATTGTAAAGGCAACCAATGGGCCGCGCTATGTGGTCGGGTGCCGACGGCAGCTGGACAAGGCCAAGCTCAAGTCTGGGACGCGTGTGGCTCTAGACATGACCACACTGACCATCATGAGGTGCGTTGCCAGAAGAAAAAAAAAAAACTGATCGCTCTTGCTGTTCTACTACAGGCACCCTATGGTTTTCACCATCTTGCAAGCTCCGAGACTCTATTCGAAGACGATTGGTTTAATAGTAGCATCACCACTTTGCACGATATTCTGTCTTGCAAAGGAAATGGTTGAAGTGGTCGGTATTTTTTGTGCTTTTTCCTCAGACAACTAATTACCGCTTCCTGAAAGTGTTATTTCTCCTAAATGTGATCGTATCTGAATGCGTCTGCTTGATTCACCATTTCAGTGCCCTCTCCAACAGGCTCAGCGCCCGAACCATGAATGTAATAGGCTGTTAAACTGGCTATTGCACTTGAAGATTACTTTATCAAATTCAGCAAATACCCTTCCATAATCTCAATAATGGATGGTAGCACTTTATCGTCAATTTCAAAAGATGAAGCAATCGTATGTTTTTAAAGTTAAAAGGAAACTTCGCATCATGTTTATTGTTCTGCTTGTAGTATACAGATTGCCTCTGCCCGACTTTTCTTTTGTGTGGTCCAAAGTTATAGTGGCCTTCTGAACTTCGATATTTTTATATGCAATCCCTTCGTGTATACATTTTTGTTTAAATGGTGTGCTTGTAATACCTGGTTGCTATGTATTTCTTTTTTCAACCTGTGTGAATTTTTTGGCATAATGAACATAGATATTTGTCTATGTGGAAATGTAAGGCTGGGAAATAGGCGCTGCGTCAGGCTTTGCAAACCTTTATACCGGCACCCTAAGCAACCGCCTTCTAGTTGCAATATTGAAGGTGGACAAACCGTGTGACCAGTTTTCAAACCTTCAAAACTGCCCACATGGCATAGATGTTGGCTCCATAGAGCCTTCGCGTACTCGTCTTTCTCACTCCTGTTGGCCGCAGGTACCTTCCCCGAGAGGTGGACCCTCTGGTGTACAACATGTCGCACGAGGACCCCGGCAACATCTCCTACTCCATGATTGGAGGTCTCGCCGAGCAGATCCGAGAGCTGAGAGAGGTGAGCAGGGACCAGACTGCGGTTTCAGGCTTTTCAATTTTCCCGAACAACTTGTCATTTCACGAGACAGCTGTCTAGACCTGAGATCATGGATGGGCTTCTGTTTTCACTAGTTCATGCGCTAGTTTCACAACAAATTGTGGATGAGTATTTGCAACTTCCAGGTACCGTGGCGCCGCCGAGCGGTGGCAGCCAGAAGCTCTGTTGAGAATATTGAAGTTTTAAACCTGCTTCAAACAACAGACGCTGCTGCTTGTTCTCTCGTGTTTGTGGTCCTTTTTCAACGTTGTGAACAATCTCGATATTACCGTAACCCTTTGAGTTTCTAATGTTAAAAGGAAAGTAGAAAGAAAAGGCCGACTGATTTCACTGCGAGCCTCGATGCCCCGGGAGGAAAATTGGGCGTCCCTTTCAAATTAGTGCCCCAAAAAGCCATCAGGTGTCAAGAGAGTTAAATTTAGCAGGCAAATAACCAAGGCCTGTGAATGTATGCAGCACCCATTTTCTGCAAGAGTACAGCAACTTCCAGGTTCGCAGTCCTCACGCTTAGTTCGTCTACTGGATACAACACAATTTTGTGCATATTTATCGTCCCAATATGCTACCTGGCATTTATTTACTTAACATAGTATGTTAGAGTTCTCCTAATTACGCAAAAACATAAATCCAAGGGCCACTGAAGCGCAAAAAAGTGCAGTCTTCACCAAAAGTGTACTTTCCGGTATCGTCTCTTGCGAAGCGATCATCTCAATGACTGCCATGTTGAATGTATAGTCGCGCCACTAATAGGTCGTGAAAGTTGCCAATAGGAAAAAAACAGAGCTCTAGTGAAGATGCAAAGCGCATGTTCGTTCTGTCGAGTTTGTATCTATGTCCTTTTGTCATTACGTAATGGAATCGTAAATCCTCATTCACGAGACAAGTCTCAAGCATTGTTGCTTTTTTGTTTTTTTGTTTTTGCTTTCGTTGCAGTAAGTGGCTTTGCCCATTCTGCACCCATTAGAGCTTATCTTAACCCCTAACGAAAAACAGCAATCGCTTGACCTGTATGCCGTCATTTCTCATGATAATGCTATGCACTCTTTATCTTCAGGTCATAAACGGTATGCAAGTTGTCAGCATGGCATAGTATTCTTGGGTCCACTTGCATTTATGTTTCTTCTAAGTACGTAGGGGGCTGTTGTTGCATGCTTATTTGTCTTTGAGTCCTGCTTGTGAAATTGCTGGCACAACATTCTGCGTCTTATCTCCTCAGGTGATCGAGCTGCCCCTGCTGAACCCCGAGCTGTTCCAGCGTGTGGGCATCACCCCTCCCAAAGGCTGCCTGCTGTACGGTCCCCCGGGAACTGGAAAGACTCTACTTGCCCGGGCCGTCGCAAGCCAAATCGAAGCCAATTTCCTCAAGGTGGGTTCCCCTGCTTTGCTCCTCCATACTACTTGCTTATTTTCAGCACCTAAGAATTAGAAGCGTCATCACAACTGAGCAAATGGGAATAGCATGCATCTACACTCAAATCTCATTATAAAAAAGGTGCATCTTACACATATAAGTTTGTTATATTCGAAAATTCGCTATAATGGTATATTCCCAACAATATGGCTATTGCAGGACTATTCCTAATTTATTTCGTTATAAGTGATATTTCGTTATATCAAGGTTTGTCATGTCAAGGTTCGAGTGTATTGCGAATTTGTTACAGGGCTTCCTAACATAGGAAACTTCATCTGTGATAGCCACATGCGCTGATAAGATCGGCACGCTTGTGTTTCACCCCAAATAAGGGAGGCTCCATCATCCTGGCATTACGTGTCGTCTTTTGCTGCTGCAATTCATGCTACGCTTCGCTGTGGGCTAGCAAGCCTCTGAACAGCATTCCACTGAACAGCGTACAGTCGCCGACCGATTTGACTCTCAAGGGGCTGAAAAAGCGTCTGAAAAAACTAATTCCCACAAAAAACTAGGCTTGTGCGAATATTCAAATGCTTTGAATATGCGAACGAATAGTAGGGTATTTGAATTCACTTTGATTCGAATTTTAATTATTGATAATTTCGAAGTATTTGCAAGGAACGAATAGACACCTGTTAAACCGAATGTACCACTTGAAAAGGTTGTTTCACTGCAGTGTAGGGGTGCTGAACAGTGAAAGCACCTAATCAAGAGAAATCTGCTTTGCCGCAAAACCCCCTTTCAAATTTAAAGTGGCCTTGCAACACTTTTTGAGTATTGTCAGAAAACGCTGCCAATCTATAGTTAGTCGAGGTTGCAGAGGACACGCAAACCAAATATTATAGCGCAGCACGCGGCGTGCGATTCACAATATAAATTCCCAAAGTCGGTTAAGAATTGCTCTCTTCTCTCGGCAAATGACTCCACAAGCTCCGAAAGCACACGTGACGTATTTTCTTTCCTTGTGCCATCCCTCCCTGCTTAGCTTCCAGCGCTTTTGTCGGGACGAGGGAATGCACTTAATTGCAGCGTGCGTGAAATCTTTGCAACTCCGCGCATACTCGACGGATTCCAAAAATTTTTGCGGGATTGAATTTATGAGGCAATAAGCTTCTTTAGTGAATCCATTCCATGGCTACTTGAAAGTCGAATGGCTCCTTTAAAATTACTCTCAGATCAATTCATTTTATTAAGCCTAAAAGATTGTTATGACGGCTTCTATGCTCTAAGTATAATAAATTTTAAAATGTTACGTATTTTAACGGTTATGGCTCACGTCATGCTGAATGTCAAATTCTGCTACTACTCAAAGTGGTTTTGACTTCTTTTGACCGAAAAAAGAAATGGCATTCGCATAAAGATCATATTTAAATTTTTAAAAAATATTGTGCAGTTTAGTTAATTCATGATAAATATGAACATTTTTCTTTATATTTCATATATACTATTGGAATTCGAATCAAAATTATTCGACCAAAATAACTATTTCCTTTGAACCTAAAATTCAATATTTGCACAATCCTACAAAAAACAGTCACTTTATTTATTAAGTGGCTTGAAAAGGTGGTTGATATGTTTTAGCAGGGCGCTACGTTGCCGTACCAACAGGTCAGTTTGCACATCACCGAGCGTGTTATTCTCGCTGTAAACAGCGAAAAGCACCACGAGTGCTCCCGTTAGTTCAGCACAAGTAGGTAGCACAGTCACTGGTTCCTCAGTGTCGAAGCTCAAGTCATCATCTTTGAGCACCTGGCGGACTACTATATTTCATCGTCGGTCAGATCAGCATAGGGCTCGATTTCGCCGTCGGCATTAGCAAAGTTCTCTAGTGTCACTTCTATGACGACGATGCCCTGCAACGCGCAAATGTTCTATGACATCAGATTAACAGCGTTGATCACATTCACTACTCTTATCAGATGATGACGGCACTTCAACTCTGATCACGAAACCCGCATGGTGGAAACGATTGCGGATTGTGCTCTGAGTAACCGCCTTCCATGCGTTCGAAAGAATGCCGAGTGCAGACAGCGAGTCAACTGAGTAGCTTTTGCCATTGTCCATGCATAGGACCATGCGACCAAGCGTGTGTGACCTGTTCGGAGAATTCCTCAATCCATAGCCTCTAGGAACGGTGTTTTGTTTGGCAGCAAGAATTTCATTTGCACGCCTTTGAGGTCCTTCACATGCCCATGTTCTGCGCAATTGTCCACCATCATTACAACTTTGTGCCCTTGTCTCTGAAACTTCTTGTCCAGCATGTGAATGCATTCTTTGAAAAGCTTCTGTGTTATCCAATCCTTCTTGTTGTCTTCATACAACACTGGAAAGCCCTTGAAACATCTGAAAATCATTGGTTTTCTGATAACCAGCATCGGAAACTTTTCGGTACCGAGCATGTTGCTGCCAACTAGGACTGGCCACGGTTCTTCTGCCTTGCCTCATACTACGCTTGGAAGCAATTCGGTTCACCCGTATTTGTGCCAAGGTGACATCGTCACCGCAAATGCTCGACAAAAACATCACCGCTGTGGGAATCTCCGCCGCCAACGGCTGCGGGCGATCATCGTCGTCATCATCCGAGCCCCTCTCCGTCTGCGGCACAACCTGGCGAAGAATTTCTTCGTCTGTGGGCTCCACGCACGAAACAATGTCATCGTCCGCATGGGCGAAGTCCTTAAATGTCATCGTGGCAGGCACATCCACTCCACCTCTGCGCAGGTCGCTCATTAGGTCCTCCCCGCCATCGGTGCCATTCGGATCGCCTGCGTCCAGGTCATCCGCCTCAGGCTCTCTGGCAGCAACGAACCCAGCATGTCTAAAGCAATGTGCAATGGTGTAAACTTTCACCGTCTTCCAAGCTACGGCGAACATATGGATGGTAGCCAGAATGTCGACCTTGTAGGCCTTCCCATTGTCAAGGCACAAGACGGTGCGGCTGAGCAGGCGGGCCGATAGTGTGCCTTGATGTTTCTGATCAGGCCTTGATCCATTGGCTGGAGCACCCTTGTGGTGTTAGGCAGCGAAAATTCTAGCCGAATGGCCTCGAGGTTCTGGGCGCTACCATGCGTGCCACAGTTGTCAACAAAAAATATGACTTGCCTGCCTTACCGCACAAACTTGCGGTCAAGTTTGCGTAGGTATTTTTCAAATAAAGACTGCGTGATCCACGCTTTGGAGTTACTGACGTAGTCCACAGGTAGGGTCTTCACCGCCTTAAAACATCTACGGTTTCTCGCCAGTCCAGATACCGGTGGCGTTGGCACCTACAATTACTGTTGAGCACTTTTTGCTAAGCTTCCCATCAGAGCATGATTCTCCCGAAAATGCTAGCATACGGTCCGGGAGCATCTTAAAAAACAGTCCTGTCTCATCCCAGTTGAAGATATCCGAAGGAGCGTATTCTTTAAGCCAGGATCTCAACTTTGTGACACGGTAATCGAACACAAGAGTCTGGTCGATCACTCCACTTTCACCGCTCACTTTCTTGAACTGGAATTCCTATACATCTTCTTGAAGCCGCGAAGCCATTCGTCAGTGAACTTAAAGTCCTCGATGCCAGCAGTTCGAATTTTTTTTTCTTCGTTCTTTGTTTCGATTTCTTGTACAGCGTTTGTATTCAACATTCGATTTGACATTCAATATTTCTGGCCACCATTCAGCTCTGTTCAGTTTGAATTCGGCAAGAGATGAAATTTCGCTATTCTCACAGCCCCAGTTTCGAGAACAAATGTTTCGTTGCCTAGAGGGCGCTTTGAACTTTGGGCACGGAAGCGAAGCTGTGTTGCACTGAATAATTTATGTAAAATTCGGGTGAACGAGTGTCACTGTGGTTCTCTGGGTGGAGCTGAGATTTTTTTTTATGTTGTACCGAATATGGTCTCAATTACACTGGCAATAGTCGAGTGACCGGCTGGCTAGCTCTTTTGACAGGGTTTGTTAAGCATGCGCAGTTGCCTTCATGTGGTCTGTTTTCTTTATACTTCTGCAGGTGGTTTCAAGTGCCATCGTCGACAAGTACATCGGGGAAAGTGCCCGACTCATCCGCGAGATGTTCAACTACGCTCGTGACCATCAACCATGTGTCATTTTCATGGACGAGATCGATGCCATTGGTGAGCGCTTTCTCGGGTGCTTACGGGGGGGGAGGTCACAATGTTGACATGATAAAGAGTCTATTTCACCGAAATGCACAGTCAGCACCATGGTCTATGAATGAGGAATGCTAGTCACTGCAATTAGCAAATAAAAGTCAGGGTTCGAGCTGCAATGCAACGCAACCTGCGTCTTGAGTCGCGGGTACACTTAGTAGTGGGGCATGATCCGATGCTGCCACCTACCACCTTGTTTGGTATTCTGTGCTCCGAGCCACGGCTCTGTTATTAGTGTGGGACATTTCCAGAGATTAGAGCATGCTGGTGATGAGTAAGCTTGATAATACTACTTCACGCTTAAAGGTGAAGGTATCAAAGTTCGTCAAGGTTCTTGGCGTCACACAAACACTGTCACTGAAACCCGAGTTCAGAGTTCTAAATGTCAATCTCTAACTGAGATTTTCTCTTGTAATGGTGAATTTCTGGATGTGGACAACGGTAATAGAGGTTTCAAAATGATTGCTTTACCAATCTAAACTGGTAACGTTATTTCTCTCGCTTAGCTGCAGCTAAAGATTCTGGTGCTTTCGTATGTTGAAACGGGTACCGTAATTACTCTAATCTAACGCGCGCCTTTTTTCCGGTTAAGCGAGTTCATAAATCGCATGCGCGTTAGAATCGAGTACGAACAAAAAATGAATACTGTTATTCTATTGCCACCAGCATTTTCAAAATGGCCGCCCCCTACGTGCATCGGCATGGCGCGTCAGCCATTTCTGCCTATGTGTTTCCCATGTGCGGCAGTTCGTACGTGTGCTGAGGAGTTCGTCATCTTGTAGTACATTAGAATCGACGTCATGGAAGGGCCGACTCCAAAAACTCGACGAGTGCACCACGATGCCGCTTTTAAAAGGAAAGTCATCGCGTGTGCAAAAACGGATGGAAATCGGGCCGCATCACAGTCGTTCGGAGTTCCTGAAATGGGCGTGCGGGACTGGCGGAAACAAAAGCAGAAGATTGTCGACAGCAAAGCTTCACGCAAAGGCTTCAGTGGACCACAGCAGGGTCGGTTTCCGCAAATTGAAGAGCTGTTCGGCGAGTATGTGCTTGAGCAGCGAGCGGCAGAGCGGCCCGTGACGACAGAACTGTTCCAAGTGCAGGCTATGCAGTTCGCCTTAAAAAAAGGGCTAATGCAGAGCCAGTTTAAAGCGAGCAGGTGCTGGCTAACTAACTTCATGAAGAGGAAAGGCTTTTCCCTCCGAAGGCGAAAGGGCATATGCGAAAAGTTTCTGGAGCAGTACGATAAAAAGCTTCACAGTTTTCAGAGGTTCATCCCAGACTTGCGGCACAACGGCTACCTGGTTAGGCAAATCGGGAATGCCGATCAGACGCCTCTTTACTTCGACATGCCTGGCACCACAACCGTCAAGAAGAAGGGGGCAAAACAAGTTCGCGTGCTGACATCGGCTTACGGTAAAACTACAGTGACAGCAATGCTCTGTTACACGTCAGATGGGCTCAAGCTTCCCCCCGTACCTGAAATTTAAATGGAAGACGCTCCCGAAAGAAGTCGTTTTTTCGAGTGGTGTGATCGTGCGGGCCAACGAGAAAAATGGGTGCGCGTTGCAATCGATGTCTTACTTTTTTTTTTTTCATCGTGGAAACCGGGTGCGCATTACAATCGAGGGCGCGGTAGAATCTAGTATATACGGTACTTCATTAAGGAGGCACACCATTAAGGAGGGCTTGAGGTTAAATTTGGCCCACATGGGATTGTTCAGTGTCCCTCTTATCCTGTCCGAACCCTTCACTTAAGGCATTGTTTAATTTCACGTACATTAAGATATGTGCAATTGTGGCTGAGAATTCAACCTGAAATCTCATCCTTGAAATGGTAACGCCACAACTTTTGAACTACAGTGGTCACTGAGGCTGCAGCCAGTGTTGCGATGATGCAACAGTAGTGCTCAACGATTTTAGCTCTCACTGTAAAGAAGTGGAAATATTTTCTATTGTTAGTAGCCATCACAAGCTGCCGCCCAGTCTGCATGTCATAAAACTTCATTGTTGGGCTGAGTTAACCATTTTGTGACTGAAAAAACATGCCAAAATCAAAGAAAACTTCTTTTTTCTGTTCCATTTCTAGCGGTTTTTTCTTTTTTGCTGAATGAAATGGTACCATTCTTTCAATTCAGTAGTGTTCCTTTACTTCACTAGTCATGTAGGAAGAGATAACTCTAAGGTGGGTTTGCTGTGTGGCAGCGCAATGAAAAATGTCATGAAGTGAAAGCTGAGACACTTGTTCTAACATACACAATTGTGGCCATCTAGCGTCAACAAACACTAGTATGACAAGTGTTGTCATTATTGCTTTTGTGCAGAACTGATTTTTGTTGACGACCAGTGTAGCCATTGTCGATAATTTTGTTAGAAAATCTCACGGCTGCTAAGTATTCGAGTTGACGGTGTCTGAAGGGTTAAAAATGAGGCGACTTTCACAATGTGTCATAAGTTGTCTGCTCATCCTACAGACCTCATCAGCACGCCCGTTTGTGATAATGTACGCCTCGTTAAACAACTAGAAAGGCATGACTGGCCATCTGATCTCGTTAAATCTTTTCCTCTCGTCCAGGTGGTCGTAGGTTTTCAGAAGGAACGTCGGCTGATCGAGAGATCCAGAGGACCCTCATGGAGGTGAGATCTATTTCCCTCTCCCAAACATATTTGCCTCCTTTTTTACCCTTCTGGCAAGATTGGGTATTTGCAGCGTGCTTTTTCAACATGTCGAGCGTTTCGGCTAAACACGCTTTGGGAACGAATGTGAGCGTGACAAAATGCAGTGTAGGCTTCCATCTCATTGTTTCCTACAGCCCCACCAACCTTATGCTAGGTCTTGGTTTCGTCATCCAGCGGTAGTGCAACGCTTCTTTAATTTATAGTGTGCTTGATGGATAATGCACCATCAAGTGTCATCATTTCGCTTGAACGATATTTCATCGATGACGATCTATTTTTGTTGTTCCGCTTAAAACGCTCCAAGTTACTTCGTAGATGAAGATCTCGTGATTGCTTTCTTTGCCACGTCTTTTGGTCTCCCCTCGATGCAGCTCCTGAACCAGATGGACGGTTTCGACTCCCTGGGACAGGTCAAGATCATCATGGCCACAAACAGGCCCGACACCCTCGACCCTGCACTGCTGCGTCCTGGTCGCCTTGACCGCAAGATCGGCAAGTTGCTCCTTTTTTCTTTAAAGATGATAGTCTTTCTTGGGATACTTGATTGCAGAAATTTTGGCTTGTCTGTCTGTCGCACAATTCACCCACCCTGCCTAAGTTTCAGCATTTGCTGAATGCTCAGCCATCTTCGACTGGTGGCTGCATTCATACTTGTGAACATTGTCGATCGAAAAGCAAATAATGCGCATATCTTAGGCGCAACATCAATACATAAGTGCCGTAATTACTCGAATCTAACGCGCACCTTTTTTCCGGTTAAGCGAGTTCATAAATCGCATGCGCGTTAGAATCGAGTACGAACAAAAAAATTACGGTCAATCTATTGCCATCGCAAATCCAAAATGGCCGCCCCCTACGTGCGTCGGCATGGTGCGTCGGCTATTTCTGCCTATGTGTTTACCATGTGCGGCACTTCGTACATGTGCTGAGGAGTTCGTCATCTAGTAGTGCATTAGCATCGACGGCGTGGAAGGGCCGACTCCAAAAACTCGAGTGCACCACGATGCCACTTTTAAAAGAAAAGTCATCGCGTGTGCAGAAACGGACGGAAATCGGGCCGCATCGCGGTCCTTCTCGAAACGTGCGTGCGGGACCGGCGGAAACAAAAGCAGAAGATTGTCGACAGCAAAGCTTCACGCAAAGGCTTCAGTCAACCACAGCAGGGTCGGTTTCCGCAAATAGAAGAGCTGCTCCGCGAGTATGTGCTTCAGGAGCGAGCGGCACAGCGGCCCATGACGACAGAACTCCTCCAAGTGCGGGCTATGCAATTAGTCTTAGAAAAAAGTCTAATGCGGAGCCTGTTTAAAGCGAGCAGGTGCTGGCTAATTAACTATATGAAGAGGAAAGGCTCTTCCCTCCGAAGGGGAACATGCATATGCGGAAACTTTTGCGGAGAAGTACGATGAAAAGCTTTACAGTTTTCAGAGGTTCGTCCTAAACTTGCGGCGCAACAACGGCTACCTGCTTGGGCAAATATGGAATGCCGATCAGACGCCTCTTTACTTCGACATGCCTGGCACCACAACTGTCGAGAAGAAGGGGGCGAAGCAAGTTCGCGTGCTGACATCGGTCCACGGTAAAACTACAGTGACGGCAATGCTCTGTTACACGTCAGGTGGGCACAAGCTTCGCCCGTACGTCATATTTAAATGGAAGACAATCCCGAAAGGAATCGTTTTTTCGAGTGGTGGGATCGTGCGGGCCAGCAAAAAAAAAATGGGTACGCGTTGCAATCGATGTTTTACGTTTTTTTTTTTTTTCGCGGTGGAAATCGGGTGCGCGTTACAATCGAGGGCGCGGTAGAATCGAGTAAATACGGTAGATGAAGATCTCGTGATTGCTTTCTTTGCCACATCTTTTGGTCACCCCTCGATGCAGCTCCTGAACCAGATGGATGGTTTCGACTCCCTGGGACAGGTCAAGATCATCATGGCCACAAACAGGCCCGACACCCTCGACCCTGCACTGCTGCGTCCTGGTCGCCTTGACCGCAAGATCGGCAAGTTGCCCCTTTTTTCTTTAAAGATGATAGTCTTTCTTGGGATACTTGAATGCAGAAATTTTGGCCTGTCTGTCTGTCGCACAATTCACCCACCCTGCCCAAGTTTCAGCATTTGCTGAATGCCCAGCCATCTTCGACTGGTGGCTGCATTCATACTTGTGAACATTGTCGATCGAAAAGCAAATAATGGGCATATCTTAGGCGCAACATCAATACGTAAGTACTAGGTAGCACGGCCCTTTACTAGAAACTACTACATACAATATACGTAATTTCAAAGACCCCAGTGTTTCTTATGCTGCGCTGAAAATGCGACGCTGTGTCCGAAAAAGCCCTCTGCCAAGGATATGGTGCTGCCACTTGATAGGACGGAAATGGTACCAGAATGGCATCACAAGTCGCCATGAATGAAATCGGAACTCGTGTAGTACGACTGGCGCAAGACTACAGTCTTTTGACGGCATTTGCAGTGAAACGCACAGCTATACAGCTATATATATATATTTTTTTTTTGCCTAGAGGTTTTTTGTTTCACTTCATGTGTTGTTCTTCGCAGCACGTTCTCTGAACAGAGTGGTTACGGCATACTGGTGTAATCATGCAGTTGCAAGGGCACCTACATTTGACTCTCAGACTGTTGAAATTAAGTTATGCCTGTACACAACTTGGATAACTCAGTAAAGTAATAACGATCCATTCTTTTCAATTGATTATGCTTAACACATGCCACCTGTCATGAAGGGTTCTCAAAAAAAGGCACCAATAATAAGCACAAAGCATTGCAAGTGACAGTCTAGCTAATGGCTAACCTATACTTGAAGAAGTACAGGTTTCCATGTGACCTTTCTTTTCACCCTTTCAGAGATCCCACTGCCCAATGAACAAGCCCGGCTTGACATTGTCAAGATTCATGCCCAACCCATCACGAAGCACGGCGAAGTCGGTGAGAGACCAATGTTTCGTTTCGATGCAAATAGACTCGCAAGATCCTCCGCTGCATACGTGTTAGGCACAACACTCCCGAACGCCGTTTACCCTTTTGATGCGGTAGCATTAGTTACTAAGTGGGGACCGCTTATAACGTAACCTCTTACAGTGCAGGATTGGCTACAACTCTGTCATTTTCGACACCCGTTTACCTTTCTATAATACCTCATGTATATGCATACCACCTATTGTGCAGTCTCTCCAGTATGAAGAATCAGTTACAGTGCGGTTGCTGGAGAACCTTTGACGAACACAGTAGCGAGTGCGCTTTTCAAAAGATGTTTCTGTTGGGGAAAGAGCAACGAAGTCGTTATGAAGGACAAGAAGACGTGGAGTGAATGAACAGAAGACAAGGGGAAAAAGAAAGGAAAAAAAGACCGCAGCGGAGCTGCTCTGGTTTGCTAAGTGCAAAAGAAGGGCGATGGAGAAGCCTTTGCACCAATGCAGTTCGCCACTTGCTGGTGCCACATGTGCTCCTCGTGGAACGTTCGATCGTGTCCTCAAGAGCACTTTGAGTTTCCCATTCTCGCGTCGTCGTTATCACGCTTGCTAATTATCACATTGGCTACCTTGTCTGCCAGTTTGAAAGCTTTATGGCTTTATGACGCGAGCCTTCACCTTTGCTGCCAGTGCAATGACCTAGACAAGCTTTGCGGGCTTTTGTCACTGTTGATCTCTCGGCGGTGAACCCCAACTTCGTTTCACGCGTGCTGCTCTTGAGTCGGCGCTCGAGCGCGATTTTTCCACACCCGATCTTCGTGTTATCTGGGACATACTTTCTGCTACCACATGTCATACTGCAGGCTAGGCTTAATTAACATTGGTCACTTTGCATTAACGTTTAGGGGCAATAAAAATTGTGCTTTATTACGGAGTCAGCGAAGCTATTTGTGGTGGCTCCTCTTGAAGAGAAGGTAATCGCATCGTTAATGAAAACTGGGGCATGGATGGTACGTATAACACTCGAATGGTTTGTAACAATTCGACCGGAATGCTTTGGACATCAGGAGAACACCTGTGACTGAACGATCATTGCCATTCAGTGCAAGAAGTTTCAGTTGTGATTCAATGTAGTTTCTACGTGATACGCATGATCGATGTCTTCTGGCGTAGTCGTACCTTTACTCTGCTGTACTGCACCTGTACTATGTTCACATAAAGCTTTGCGCTTCGGGCAGATAGGCAACCATTTTTCATATCTCAAGCACTCATTTAATCTGATACTTAAAGCGTGTATTCATTGATAAGCTGATATCAGGGAGGTGCAATTTAGATTCACTTTGTTATGCTATTTAATTAATTAGGTACATCTACATTTGCTATAACCTGCTTGAACTGCAAGTTCAAGCTGTCAAGTTGCCCGGATTCTCCGGGAGACTCCCAGATTTTGACCGTTTCTTCCATTTGTACGGTCGTCATGAAAATCTTCCGGAAATCAACATTTCTGAGTATGACCTGGCCACATTTACAAAAATGCAGGTCATTCTGCTCCAGCTTTTTTGCATACTCACCGCATTTTATTATAAACCAGTTTAAGAGGGGTTCATCTAAACATACCGTAAAATGTCAGTGACGCAAAGCCGCAACAGATCAAGGAAAAATATTGCATCAAACAAACTCTCTAAGAACTACGTAAAAACAAAATTGACAACAATAATACTGGACATCTTAATCTTAATTAAATACTCAGGTATAATAAACCTACTGCAAAATAGAACCTCCCCAACTCAATTCAGAAAGCAAGTGAAAGAATTATTGTGTCCTCAGTTTCAAGTTGTTGTACTCAGTTATGTAGTGAACTGTTGTTAAATGCTGTGCAATGTATATCGTTGAATCTTTTTTTTTTTTAACATATACTGCCACATTTGTACAATTGTCTTGTTGATTTTTGTTTTCCTCTCAAAGCTACAAGAGCAGAATTTTTTTATTTTACTATTGTACTATTCAAGTGCTATTGCAGTTATGTAAATCGTGAATGACACAAGGCACTGCTGCAACTGCTGTCTGGGTGATGTAGCCTAGTCAGGCCATTTTTGGGCTTTTTGGTGCGTCTCTTAAGGCAATTGTAAATTGTCTTGAATAAAGTCTGAGTAAATGAATGAGAGACGTGAATTCATTAAATTATCCAGCCAGACCATTGGGCTAAAATTCAAATGTTCCGAAAACTTTTTCTGATTGCGGCGGGTGGTATGGACTTTAGTACTGAAACCATTGAACGAAGGACGAGAGCAGTGTGCTCGAAGCTTCGAAAGTATGCGTGCAGCCAGCGCACACACTGTCGTCTACAGTGCGTGTGGTTGTCATTGCCACAACCGCTGTGGACGGAACCACAGTCGTTCTAGACAAGATCATGTATGTGAGGACATGACTGACAGAACTCCGAAAGTGTGTGCACATCTAACACTCAACAAGTCAAAGCAACGCTGCCTTCCACAAACTTTGGGGACAAAACCGCGGTAGATGAAATCATAGATAACATAAAACGACTTCGTTTTGAAGAGACGTGCCGAGCTAGTGCACGCGGATTGAAACAGGAACCGTTTGCCGCAATCACCGAGCAAGAAATCGCGATTGCGGTGACGCGATAGCGATCTACGAGCTCCTAGGGCACATGGCTAACGCAGCGGTGGATTAAAGCCAGTAATGATGTAAAAAAGGCTTGAAGTGTTTTGGCGTTCCTGTACAAAGATTCTAGTGTACAGAGCAAAGCTTCAACCCGTGCTTTCAGCTGCGCCACTTCGTCCGTTCACGTGTGTGCCAGGAAAACATACGCAAGTTGCTTTGGTGCAAATAGATTTTGCTAGTGGTTTTGATGATGCTAAATTTCGGCAGTATTTGCACTCCGCTCCCTCTTTGAGACTTTCTTCCAAGTCTGAAACCCTACCCTCGTGCGTTCGGCCATTCGGCCACTCCAAGCCATTATAGGACCCCAACTCCAATGTTCGCGCTTGTGATTGGGGAGCTCCCTCTTGTTTTTTGGGATATTTTTTGTTTTCTTTTGGTGCCAAAGAAAATGGGGGCAAATAATTTGGTGCAACCCCCTCCTCCCTATTGCCGAAATCTCCCGGATTCAGAATCATTGAACTTGGCAGGTATGCTGCACAAAATGTGGTGGCTGCAACTGCTCGCTTCAAACTTTTTACAGTTTTATGAACACTTCACAATTCTACACGACTTGAGTGTAACTTCAATATGGTACACTTGTTGGTACATGTTTCATCAGGTGTATTAAACAGATACAATATTCACTGTGCATTCCTCACTCTATGCAGACTGGGAGGCCGTGGTGAAGCTTTCGGACGGATTCAACGGTGCAGATCTTCGCAATGTCTGCACTGAAGCTGGTAAGTGTGCTCGTCAAGCTTTTTTACACGGCTCCCAAAATTGCTTGCTCATGGCATAAGCCGTCTAAATTATCCATGAAAAGATGTGAAAAAGTTGAACCTCACCATGTTTTTTTTCACGCCTTCAGAGGGAAAAGAAAAGTATTGCTCAGTGTGAAAAAAAAAAATTGTTTCCATAGAGCCAATATTCAGTTTCTGAAACTAGTTGTAGTTCCCAGTTTTTCTGCACCATGCTTTATGGGAGTGCCATAGAAAAAGGGGCAACCGGTCTTGCCACTTGTGCACCATTCAACTTCTTGCGAATAATAATTCTCAGTCATTGCGTGGACAGTTAGAGAATACACTGTAGGAGCATTGCATCTGGGGTGCCGACACTGCACATAGCTATCTCTGTGCTGCGTGTAATTAGTGAGAGTACACAGTGAGGGTAAAACCTAGGTAGGAAAGCGTAGCGAGAAGGCTTGGGCTCATAGGCGTTCACCAAATGCCTTTGACTGTACCATTACGGCAGCATTTGATGACAAAACATTTGTGACCACGTTTGTTGTGGACTGATACTCAGCTGCCGCTGTAACTGAAAATTTGGTGGCCCAGTGCGGTTAAAAGGGCCATTAAAATGGCTATGACTTTTGTTAAACTACTCCCAGACTGGCTCGCTCATTTGTGCAAAAGGCCCTGGCGATCACATTTTGCAGATACTCTCAAACTCTTTTATCAGAGACACTCATATTATAAGAGACAAATGTGTATAAGAGACACCAATGTGCCTACATTAAAATAAGAAAAAGCATAGGAGGTATCCTGCTTATAAGAGGCATCTCATATAAAGGACATGAATTGTTGCCCGGAGCATGCCTCTTATACAGTTGGACCGCTTTATAAGAGGCATTCTCCGGGCAGCAATCCTTGTCTTTTATATAGATGTCTCTTACAAGTATGGTACCACGTATGCATTTTTTTATCAATCCGTATTTTACTGCAGGCACGCTGGGGTCTCTTATACCCATTTTTCTTTTATATCAATCTCTCTTATAAAGGGGTTCGACTGTAAATGGGTTCAACTCTATCACAGCGCTGCGGCGCCTGTCCAATTCTCGTACACAAAGTGACACAAAAGCCTTTAGGATTAGGAAGCATCTGGCGCCTTTACTGCTATGGGAACGGTGCATACCTGCACTGGTGCCTCGTAACCCTTATACCGTACTTATCCCCTCGCCACCATGATACGAGCAACACGAGAAGGAAGCCTTGCTCGATCATTGGCTGCGCACCGATAACATAAACCCTCTCATAACTGCTGACAAGGATCTGAGCTGAGAAAACGAAACTCGACAAAGCTGGTTGTTCAATGTCCTGTAACTTCCTTATGACAGCACTTTCTTGCAAAATTTTTGTGGCAGCAAGTTCACATACTGAACGTTCACAGTTGTTTCTCAATCAGAAATTTTGGACTGGAAGGTTGTTTACTGACCCTTGAAGGGCTGTAAAAATTTGGAAACTGTGTACCTTTCTTCTGCGTCGCATCCAACCATTTTAGGAGGGCTAATATACATGCTAACGTTACGTTAGATCAGAAAAGATCTCCAACAGAAATTCTCCGTGCAAGTTGTGCTGGAGTCATGCTGTGACACTGGTGGCTATGTAGCGATGGTGTAACATAACTCTGTATATCAGCCGCATGATCAGATTCCATCGAAAGTGCTTGTGTGCATGCATTGCTAATGAGTGTTCTATGCAGATTTTAGTGGTCTTGGAAACAATAAAAGAAGCATTAGCACCGCTGCCTTGATGCTGGGACAATAGTTGCATGCTGAGCGCAGCTTTTTGGGTGTTGTCGCCTCTGGTGTTGAGCCTCTGCTTGGCCAGCTCGTTTATCAGCAACGGCAGGTGACGCACTTACAGCTGTTGCATTGCTCATTGTTTAGAAAGAACTGGCTGAAACTATCGTGTGTGTAGGTAGTCGGTTTGCACTAGGAAGGGAACGCCGTGAGTCATTTGACTGGCGCGGATCAATCGTCAACGAAGCATAGCACAACAGCCTCGCTAACTGGGAGACCATGGAAGGCAGCACATGGGCGTTTTTCACTATGGTTGACGCACGATGGCGCGCACTTTCGTGGTGCTGCAGATGTACACCGGGAAACCCGTCAGTCTCGCCCCTGTCATTCCCTCCATGCTCTCTTCACGATCACGCTCTTTCATCTGCCGCTGCACTTTGTGTTCACTCTCTTTCATCCCGATTCGTATTGCCAGTTACACTGACGTTGCCCCGCCGCGGTGGTCTAGTGGCTAAGGTACTCGGCTACTGACCCGCAGGTTGCGGGTTCGAATCCCGGCTGCGGCGGCTGCATTTCCGATGGAGGCGGAAATGTTGTAGGCCCTTGTGCTCAGATTTGGGTGCACGTTAAAGAACCCCAGGTGGTCGAAATTTCCGGAGCCCTCCACTACGGCGTCTCTCATAATCAAATGGTGGTTTTGGGACGTTAAACCCCACATATCTATCAGTTACACTGACGTCTCCCAACGCAGAAATTGGCGCCAGAAAGCTCCTAAAAGCCACATGAACGGATCACAATGCCAGTTAGTGTAATTCATAAATTTCGTAATCTTTTTTTTTCCTTCTTTTCATCCAGGCATGTTTGCCATCCGTGCCGACCGGGAGTTTGTCATCGAGGAAGACTTCATGAAGGCAGTGCGCAAGGTGGCCGACAACAAGAAGCTAGAGTCGAAGCTGGACTACAAGCCAGTATAAACATGCACGCTTCACCTGGCTACGCTGTGCACTAGATCGAGCGTTTGGTGTTTCAATTAAACAACCTTTTTTTCCAACCATGAAAGTGTTTGTGCCTCTTATTTGTCATAGATATCTGATTGCCTTAATTAATGGGTCATGATTTCAGTAGGGGAGACAGATAGGTGGTCCAATAAGATGAAAAAATTCGCAGGTATAACGTGGCAGCAGAAAGCACAAGACCAGGTTTATTGGCGGATCATAGGAGAAGCCTTTGCCCTGCAGTGGACGTAGGCAGGCTGATCATGATGATGCTTTAAGTAGTACGCTAAGCAGGATTGCTGTGTTTTACAAATTATAGATGCGCTTGGATCAAAAACTGGAGTGTTGAGCAGCATATATCCAGTTTATTAGGGACATTCTACATAAATTACAAGAAGTTTAAAACTAGTGTAGTACTGCACACTCTTCCATGGAGCTAACACATCTGCAACATTCCACAAAAATGTCTGTCGTGTTATTTCTTTATACCCAGCAAACCCTCATTACAAGAGTGAATAAGATGGCAAAAGGCTTTTATATAAGCTGTAATCCGATAACAGCTGATCTGCCACAGAAAGTTGCGATGATAGCATCCCAGCTGTTTGCAGGATATGTACTATCTGTGTCAAACGAAACCCAAACAGCAGCAAGCCTTCGCGACAGTATAGTGTGTGCTGTTGACTTATCGCCATGGACAGGCACGCATATATGCGCACAGCTACTGAACAGGATGCACGCGCCTGTCTATCGTGTTAACTGAATGGCGTGCACTATACCATCGCAAACGCTTGCAGCTGTTCGGATTTCAGTTGATGTACATAGTACAGAAAATTATACTGAAGCTCTCTAACCTGGACTGCCATCCTTGTTTCACATACATATAGAAGGTCAAACTGAAATATGCAGCCAGGTGCAAAAAGTGGCACTTGGTTTAAGGTACTTTCAATCGGAATCAATCGATGCACTTATGGCCCATTATGAAAGTAACTCATCGAGACGATCGAGTATAGACAATAATGACTGCTTTTGACGCTAGGTCCCGTGGAGGTCGTCGAGAATGAAAGATAAAATTTCATGCTTCCCCCTTCCTGCTGTCTTAAATGACTGTACAGCACAAAGAAAAGCACGACTGTTACCGAGGGCACAGTATGATGGAATGATAGCTAGGCCGTTGCCCTTATGCATGAGAACGCAGGCAACACAGCTTGTTGTACACTACATGCAATAACTGCATGTGCTCGAGAGGAGGTTTGACTCCGAATTCATTAAGGAGTACGCCCTTTTGACTCCTGCCATCTGGGCTACGTGGACATCCGGCGCATGCATGCCCCGACGACATGCCCATTCTGGGTTGCCCCAGTCACGAAAGCAATATTCGATTGCAGTGGACTTGTGCAGTCCTTCACAAGCCTTGCACCCGCCACATGCGCGGCCATGATCACTGCCACAACTATCAGCCACCTGACCTAACATACTCGACGCACGGTCGTTTGCATCGACCACTGCGGGATTTCCTTTGGGAAATACCGAACAATATTCCGTTTTATTTATAGGGGCCCTGCAACGCTTCAAGCAACCATGGAATGAATTCAGTGAAGAAGCAGATTGCCTTGCAAATTGACCGCCGCAAAATGTTTTTCAATATCCGTCTAGTACGAACGGATTGAGTTACAAATGTTTGTCGCACACTGCAATTGCTTTCTCTTTCCTCTCGTCCTGACGAAAGCACTGGAATCTAATCAGAGTGGGACGGCACAGGGGAAGAAGGTACGTTACGTGCGCCTCGTGACCTTCAGTACTTTCTGTCTCTCTCTCTCTTTTCATTGAACGCGTAATTTTTCAGTGCGATCGTGCATGCATGTGCGGACAGGTTGCGGTCTCCCGTGGTGGTTCTTGTAACACCCGAGCGTGGCATGCTCAAATCAGCCAATGGCTGATACTTGGCTCGTGACGCACTGATTTCTGAGCCCGTTACGTCACTTGTCGAAAGAAGGGAAAGCAAGTTTTCGCTGACTGATATAATTTGTGGCGAATTCCCGGCGGCTTGCTGCGCTGCAATCTTTGGCTAGCGCTTTCTCGGAAGCCTCCACTACGAATTGGCAGCGTTTTCTGACCATGCTCAAAAAATGTTGCAAGGCCCTTAAAAAAAAAAAAAAAAAACTGGGGCACTTTTTGACGGAGCTATGCCTAGTTTTCGAAGACGGGCGACTGCCGCTCCGTAGAAAGAAGCTGATCCGCGACAGTTACCATGTTTACGTCTTCACATCTGCACTCGTTAAATGAATAACGGCACGTGCACAACACGAATATACAGATAGGGCCCCCTCTAGCCACCCTAGTACAGAAGCGCGGGGGGCACGAGTGAAGAACCCGACGGATCACGCACGTGATCCACACAAATTCGGCAAGCTAAAGAGCGACAAGGCGCGTGCTTTGAAAGCAGCCGAATGTTGCAGTGCTGGCCCTCACTACAACCAAAAGTTAACGTCATTTCTCAACAACTTTTTACCGTGATAGACAGCCGAAAAATATGCATACCTCGAGCAAGGAGTGCCATATACATAGAGTTAATATATGGCCATATATCAGTGAACTCTGTGGTCGTTTCAATCGAACCACCAATTTTTATGTTTTCACTTAATTTCTATTTGAATTTCTCACACGCGCTTAAATCGTTAATCGATCAAGCATGGTTGCGCATTTATCTTGAAGAGCGATCTAACCACGAAATTCTAAGCGTCGTTTCGAAACAAAAAAATCAAGCAGTGCGTTGTTTTGACTAAAGAAAGGCTTCGTGGTTCTGTAACTGACTTTATAAAGAAAGTAATAACGCTATTGCTATTATTTCTGGCTTGCTGAGTCAGGGGAACATATGGCACTTTAAAACTGGAAAAATAAGTTTTGCTGAGCCTATTTTTTTATGAATAGCTGTGACGTGCTTCAAAAAATTACTTCATATTAGTAAAAAAAAAGCATTGTCCGAACAACGCGTTTTTTTTTGTATTGTAAACGGACGAAATCATTTAAATATTTATCGGTTTTAATAGTTTGCATGAGTTACTGTCTTTGCAACAATCTGACAGGTGATACATGAGTATCAAAACTTGCATAAATATGACCATAGTATAGCGCGAGAACAGAACGACGATGCAGAGACAAGAAGGACACGAGCGCTCGTGTCCTTGTCTCTGCGTTGTCGTTCGGCTATCGTCATGTCATACCAACCACAGAACACCTACCAGTTTGTACCAAATTATAACCCAAGCTGCCACACTTGCATAGAAACTCGGTGCTCGTTGTTTCATCCGCATCGCCATCGACGACGCGTTTTAGTTGCATATGGCGGAAAAAAGAGAAAATGATGCGCGAAGTGCCGTGGCCGAGCCGACCAAGCTGGTTCCGCAGTTTGCTTAGTGTTTCCTACTCCTTGTCATGTCATCGCACGTACAAATAACCGAATGCTTCAAGATGAAAAAGCCGAAGAGCTCGCCAGCAAAGGCGGGACCGGCCTCTACGCCCAAGCGACGCTGTGGCACTTCAAGCAGGTCAACTCCGAGGAAACTTGGACGCTCGACGCCGCCAAATAGTAAGACATTAAAGCGCGAGCTCTGAAAAATTAACATGGTAGCTTACGAATCGTTGTTACAATCTCTTCAGGCTCCAACGAAAGCAGTCCCCAAAACGTCCACGACGAATCGTGCAGCCAGGCCCCGGTGGATCTCGACAACTTGATCGTTGACGAGTTGCTCTGCTCCCAAGACGTCGTCAACAGCGATGTCATATGGGACTGCAGTTCGCCGCGTAGCCGGCTTGTATCGGGTAATGCGTTACATTGATTGCTTTGGTTCTTTCGAGTTGTGAGTGCATTATTCTCATGTCCGATCCTACTCGCAGCGCCTGGAGGATCGGACGTGGAGAGCTTGGTCAAGTTATTCCGAACAAAGGTAAACAAATGCTCGAGGCGATTTTTTTTTTTTTGACTGGCATAGTAATCGCAGTTGCAACTTTTCTTTCAGTCGAGCCTGAACTTGTTTGTAGGTTCATACGGAGGATGGTTGTTTCGTAGTGAAACTGATACTGCACAGATCTTAACAAGTATTCGCATAAACTTGATCGCGTGACTGGTGCTAGTCGTAGTTGTGAACATTTTCATGGCTTTCCTATTTACTCTTTCATACTTTTGTAATGAAGTGCAATTCTTTAGTTCATGTTTCTGAGCAGTTATTAGGTTTTTTTTTTTTTTTGAACTGTAGTACTTTCACTGGTGTTTATGACCCGTCTTTCATTTTAGCCTAAAGAAATCAAACCAGAGCCATGTCCATTCAGCATCATTGGCATGAACTTTTCAAAGACCCCTGGAAATGCTCCATCACCAAGGTATGGCCAGTTTTGTAATTGTTTAGTACTCCTTTGTGCAGGACCGTAGCATTGAGTTTTTCATAATAGCTTTGATGTTTCAACGAGGATGTTTGCCTGCGACATTCGTACTGATAAGTTCTGTCATTTCGAAGGCTATAGTTTAGTTCGTAGACCTACTTCTAGGTTCTGAGCACTCCCAGTGAACCTGAGGTAATGTCATTGTCAGACTAAAGACTGGGTTAGGATGAGACTAATAACTCACTTTGTTTTGTTAGAAATTGCTGCTGCTGCTTCTGACTTATTTATTACCGAGTGCTTAACATTGGAAGTATGTGCTATTGTGAGGTTCTGACAGCATTTTGTTGTAGCGAAATTTTCACGTTTTAGTTGATTAATACTGCCACTGTGATGTTGGTTCACATCTGTGAAGTCATGAATTGCACAATGCATCATAGACATGTTGACTGACGTGACCTTATGCTAAGGGTACAAACCACGGCTCGATGTAGAACACCCAATGAGACTTGAACTCAGTCTTTGGCCAGGTTATTATTTTTGTTTAATCGAAACATTGAGGCGTTGTTGTCATAATGGGAACCTTCTGAGTGTGTTTCACTGAGATCCTTTACTGATCAGCTCAGCTTCCTGGCTTTTCACGTTTTAAAACAGCCATTTGGACTAGTTAGGAATCATTCATTCTTAAAGGGCCCTAAACCTCTTTCGATATTTTCCCAAACATTTCAAGTAAACAAGCGCATCGTGCGCAAAATGCCATCACGATCAACGATGTCACACGCTGCAGCGCTACAGGTAGTGGGCGCGCCACAATTTCAAAAAAATAATAGCTTCTCCTTTCTAGTCCCCGCCATCGCCGCCACTGACATGTGACATCACCAGTGCAACTCGATGATGTTACCATTTTCGATGCTAGTGATCGGCCGAACGACAACTGATGACTTCCGGTCACTCTGCAAACAGCTGTTCACGCGCACCTTGTTGTTCTTGGTCGTCTTGCCACTTGCGAATCGACATCTGGGGCCCGTAACGCAACACAGGGTTTATACCAGCATGATTCGTAGGGGCACGGGCCGGCACAACAGCAACAGCAGCTAGTCAACGATCAGTGCACCCAGGTGACACACACAACACAGTTGACAGCGAGCTGGGTCGTCGAGTGGCGGATCGTGGCAACCGGAAGTAGACGCTGTGTCAAGCAGCGCGACAGCGGTGACGTATGCCACGCGAGATGAGGAGGGGCCAAGCAGTTTTGGAAGAGGGTAGCGTAGGGAAGAAAGAAGCGATCGTTGCGTTTCGATCATCAAACGCGTGTAACTCCCCTATTACGGCACCGTTTCGAAAAATTCTCACAGCTACATGTTCGTTGTAAACTCGAGCACAACATCCTTACCTCAGGTAAATTTCGACTGCTGGGTGGTTTAGGGGCCCTTTATGCAAAAAGCGGGCACAGTACGCAACAGGGACAAGTGTTATCGTGTTGCCATTCTTTTATCTTATCTCTGTTTCATACTGCGCCTCAATTTTTGCATTTAGAATAATTGTCATGTGTTTTTGCAGTGTGTTGAATGCGATGTGTGTTTTAATGTATTCGTGTGTGACCAAGAGAGATCTTTAAACATTCTTCTATGTGTTCTTAAGCAAACTTAGGTCTGTGTCACTAATGCAGCCTTAGTAGTTCATTTAGGTGCCACTGAAGCTATGGCAGCATAGCTTCAGCAGCACACACTGAAGTACGAGCCCATGACAGTGCTGGGCTGGGTCATCATCATCAGCCTGACTACGTCCACTGCAGGACAAAGGCCTCTCCCATAATCCGCCAGTTAACCCGGTCCTGTGCTTGCTGCTGCCAATTTATACCCGCAAACTTCTTAATCTCATCTGCCCACCTAACCTTCTGTCTCCCCCTAACCCGCTTCCCTTCTCTGGGAATCCAGTCAGTTACCCTTAATGACCAGCGGTTATCCTGTCTGTGCGCTACATGCCCGGCCCATGTCCATTTCCTCTTCTTTATTTCAACTATGATATCCTTAACCCTCGTTTGTCCCCTAATCCACTCTGCTCTCTTGTCTCTTAAGGTTACACCTACCATTTTTCTTTCCATTGCTCGCTGCGTCGTCCTCAATTTAAGCTGAACCCTCTTTGTAAGTCTCCAGGTTTCTGCTCCGTAGCTAAGTACCGGCAAGATACAGCTGTTATATACCTTTCTCTTGAGGGATAGTGGTAATCTACCTGTCAGAATTTGAGAGTGCTTGCCGAATGTGCTCCACCCCATTCGTATTCTTCTAGTTACTTCAATCTCGTGGTTCGGCTCTGCGGTTATTACCTGCCCTAAGTAGACATAGTCTTTTACAACTTCAAGTGCACTATTACCTATCTTGAAGCGCTGCTCCTTGCCGAGGTTGTTGTACATTACTTTCGTTTTCTGCAGGTTAATTTTAAGACCCACCTTTCTGCTCTCCTTGTCTAACTCCGTAATCATGAGTTGCAATTCGTCCCCCGAGTTACTCAGCAATGCAATGTCATCGGCGAAGTGCAGGTTACTAAGGTATTCTCCATTGACTCTTATCCCTAACTGTTCCCATTCTAGGCTTCTGAAAACCTCCTGTAAGCACGCGGTAAATAGCATTGGGGAAATTGTGTCCCCCTGCCTTACACCCTTCTTGATTGGTATTCTGTTGCTTTCTCTATGAAGAACTATGGTAGCAGTTGATCCCCTGTAGATTTCTTCCAGAATGTTTATATATACTTCATCTACGCCCTGATTCCGCAGTGTTTGCATGACGGCTGGTATTTCTACTGAATCAAACGCCTTCTCGTAATCTATGAAGGCTATGTATATTGGTTGGTTATACTCTGAGCATTTCTCTATCACCTGATTGATAGTATGAATGTGGTCAATTGTTGAGTAGCCTGTTTGAAATCCTGCTTGTTTCTTTGGTTGATTGAATTCTAATGTTTTCTTTACTCTGTTAGCAATTACCTTTGTAAATAGCTTGTATACTACAGAGAGCAAGCTGATCGGCCTGTAGTTCTTCAAGTCCTTGTCATCTCCTTTCTTGTGTATTAAGATGATGTTAGCGTTCTTCCAAGACTCTGGTACTCTTCCCGTCAGGAGACACCTCGTAAACAGGGTGGCTAGTTTTTCTAACACAATCTGTCCTCCATCTTTCAGCACATCTGATGTTACCTGATCCTCACCAGCAGCTTTGCCCCTTTGCATGCTCTCCAAAGCTTTTCTGACTTCTTCTATCATTACTGGTGGGGTGTAATCTGGGTATGCTGACCTAAATCCGCGAATCATTGTAGGAGGAAGAAGGGAAACAGGGGGAAGGCAGCCAGCGCAGCCAGTGCCAAGGCGGTCATGGACCAGATGCAGGAACTGTGGGACATAGTACAGCAGTCCAAGAAGAATGGTTTTGGTCCAGTGGCCGCTGCCGGCGTTTCTCAAGTCTCCGAGGACACTGAAGGTCAGACTGCCCACTTGCCTTTCTTTTTGTACATTTGTCAATAGTGACTCAGCAAAAATCGTGTCTACTACGTGTTTGATATTGCTTGCTCCCACACATTTAAGTTAACTCTGAAAGAGTTTTTTTTAATTTTATTAGTATTTAGGCAAGAGCATGGTCAAATAATTCACATCGTAGGTAGAGCAACTCACTTTGTATCAATGCAGCCACGGGCAATTGCCCACTAATTGTCCTTCTGAGTTTCGCATTCCGTTTTCAATTCGTCACACCCAGCCGTCGTTGGGTTTCTCGAAGTAGTTTAGATTTACTCTGGTATGGGCCGAAACTCTACTACTCATTCTTATTTCACGAAGAGAGTGGTGGCAGGAGTACAAGATTCTCATTGCGATTCAGCAAATGCATCGTTTAGGTGGTTTTGAAGAGAGCAGAAAGAAAGAAAACAAAACAAGATCGATGTCGTCGTCACTGTCGAAGTTGTAAACACTTAGGGGTGAGGGAAAGACCTTTATTTTCGTTTGCACGGCGTTCCACTTGCCCCCGATGATGTCTTTCTCAATTTCAGTTAACATGATGCTGTCGCTGTACATCAATGACAGTGTAAGTGCTCGCATCAACTTGGAGCTCGTTGGCTGTCAGAATCCTCCGTAATTTGACGAATAATTTTGTCATCAGTCAGTTCTGCACACAGCTCGAGGTCTTAGTCAGTGTCGGCGAAGCCCTCAAGGGTTGTCCCGGCTAGAATCGAAACAGTGGCAACTTGCTGATAGTCGAAGGCAACGTCCACAGGTGGAAGTTCATCGCACACGCTGTCCACTGCAGGCAAGACGGCCGTCTCAGCGTCCGGTATGAAGCTCGCATGGCGAAAAGACTTCCCGGTGGTCTATTGTATAACCGCCTTACACGTGTCTGAAAATCTGGCAACGGCAGACGAAAGGTCAACAGCGAAGCTTTTGCCACTGCACAGCACCATGCAGCCTAAGCTACGACCAGAGGCTAAGCTAGCAACTGATTGGCATGCGCTGCATCGCGGAATTTTCGGTTTCGAGGGTATGTCAGCTGCGGCGCGGTGGGTTCGATGGTCCGAAAATAACCAAAATGGCAGTGCCAATAGTCACTTCGACTCTGCGGTTAGCGGTAAAAAGTCCGGAAAATCGGATTGTGAAAGCTATAAATGTCCGGAATTTTGGATTTTTTAATACATTGACTCTATGGGGAAGTTGACGGTGCCACAGAAGAGTCCGGGAAATCGGGAATGCCCGCGATTTCGGGTGTCCGAGAAATCGGTTGTCGACTGAATGTGTGAAGTAACATTGGAACATTATACGAACAAGTTTAGCTGTGAGCCATCAAAACGCTCACAAAGAACTCACCAAACCCAAATAGCTATTTGAGGCCCTTTTAATTGTGACATGTTTATTAGTAGCTCACAAGGTGTCATTTATCCATCTGACTTTATTTTGAGTGTAGCAGTGTCTCTACAAAGCGCTACTCATGCTATTTGGGTTAAAACTTTGTTCTTGTCTACTTTGCAGATGCTGCTAGCTCAAAGTCGCCGTAAGTATGGCCTTGCACCTTTTTTTTCCCTTTTTAGTCTTATGGTATAAGCAATCAGCCAATTACCCTTTTCATTCAGCAAGTAATGCTTTAACTGTGGAGAAGCTTTTCACTGCATGTAATTGTCTGTGTTCACACAAGTGAAATCAGGCAAGTGTAAGTACTAGCCTGCATATTTTGTCTGCTATACCTAAAAAATACAGCTATACTCTAATATTACATTATAATAATTTATTACATAATTATACACTCTGTTATTATGTCATTTATATGTTCTGAAATACCAGGCCCATTTCAGGCAATCATTGTGAGTGTTCAAGTTTTCCGTAATCATAGCTTTTTTTGTGGTCCCTTCACAAATGTAATGTTGCGAAATGGGGTCCTGCTCTCTGCCTTTCTTTCCTAATCTTGCTTACCACTTGTGCAAAAGGTGATAGTTTAAGTGGATTGCTACTTTGTTAGACCGAATCGACCGCTCAGACAATTAAGCCATGATAAGCTCAGAAAATAATACTAATTTCTCTTTTGTTAACTCTGTTGTAGGAAGCATGATATAAATTAAAACCAATTAAAGGGACAAAGAAACATCATCTAAATTGATGGGGCTCAAACCCACTATCTTCAAATTACACATGCAGTGCTTGACCGATTGAGCTACAATGGAAGTCGTTTACCTGGCCATCTTGTTGGGTGTTTATGTGCAATCCCTGGGAGGGTTAGTCAGTGCCACCCGCAACTGATACGATGAATGTGAAACACACTTTTTATTGTGATTGATTTTACTGCGGTTAATGATTGTTTTGGTGTTTTTTAGTGATGACCCTGCCAAAAAAGTGGAAGCGGACACGGTGGCGGAGAGGGACACTGCCAGCACCATTGCAGCGGCAAAAGCTCCAGCAGAGGACCCGGCGGTTATTGTTATTGAAGAAGAAGAAGACTACGACATGCTGCTGATGGGGGACGACAGCATCCTAGTGGCTGCGACGCAGGAAGTCGATGTGTCCTCACCAGCCAGGTAATGCTGGAAGGGGCAGGGCCAGGGACTGTTCATTTTTGTGGTTTTGCTTGAAGCCTTGTTTCATCCCTGCTGTGACGCATACCAATAGAAAATTCATTGTCTGGGCCGTAATCCATTTTTCATTGCCTGATAACCCGTCGAAAAAAAAATTGTACAAAATTTGGGCAGAAACCATTGGTTAGCTTATACTAGTTACCAATGGGGATATGTGTGTGCTTTGACTTGGTACTAGCTTGATAACAGAGGCTTTAGAAGTCTGCTTCAAGTGTATGTGTCAGTGTTTTTGCATGTGCGCATTTATGCAGGTCGTATAGGGTATTGTTCTCAGGAGATAAGATACTGTATTTACTCGCGTAATGGATGCACCCTCAAGTGAATGCCCCCCTAACTTCAGTCATTCAAATTTGGATTTTCCCCCCCCCCCCCAAGTAATCCCCTAGATTAATCTGCTGCAGTCCCGCTAACCGACACCTGGCACCTCCTTACTCGTTGGATGTCTGCCTTATTTTATTATTATGCCGACCCCCCTTGGCTCGCTCCTTTCCCCTCGTTCACTCTTTGCCGCGTGCCGTATTGTTTTTCTTTCTATCTGTCTGTGTGCGGCACGTCCCCCATCTTTTTTATCTGTGCACCACAACGGGGTTCACGAATGGTGCAAGTGTAGAGACGTCGCAGCTGGTAAACACCCGGAGAGTGAAGGTCACGAAACTGCCTACGCCAACCAACGGTCGCTTCCTGAAAATAGGAAACTTTAAGGCTGAACAAGGCGCGCACGATTTTCCAGCTTCGACCACAGGATTTGCTGTCACAAAGAGTCACTCGTCGCTATCGTGTCCCAGGTTTCTGAAAAACCAGAAAAAATTGCTTGTCCCAGAAATGATCGTGACGATTTCTGCAACATGGTAGCACCCCCAATTCTTGCTTTGCTTGTTCTTCGCGCTTACAGGAGATTCTCATGTGGAAGCGAGGCGACGGTCGTATTTGGTCTTTGATCTTGCTATCGACAGCTTGTTTTGATGCTTTGGGGGTAGCTTGCAGCAATGTCGGTTACTTGCTACAAAGTCAACTGCAGCGTCGCAGCCGTCATGCGAGGTTGCCGCGAAGTTGGCAAAGTGCGTCGTAGCTTGATAGCTCACGCTTCTGGGTGCCTCTCGAGGTCACAGCAGATACCACTGTTGCGGTTAAACGATTGCGAGAAACGATAGCCGCAAAACGCTTTTATGAAGTGCGCGGGCGATGCGGGGACAGCTTGCAGAAGATAGCGGCATCAACCACTGAAGTTGAGGAAAGTGCAACAAAGAAGGTGATTCGAAATAGTGTATGCGTATGTTAATTGCAAAAGGCTAAGCGACCAAACTTTTTTTTTCATTGCTGCATTTGTTGCTCATCCCGAAAAAGTTTTCATAAAATTTGCCCCGCATAATAAACACACCTCCGAATTTACTGCGATTTTTCTAGAAAAAAAGTGTGTTCATTATGTGAGTAGATACGGTACTTCAAAATCCAAAACATCATAATGACAAAAGATCTGGTGGCAGTGCTCGAGCTTTGGTGTGTAATTTTTTGTTTACAAAAAGAGAGAATATAGAAAGGTAAATCTTACAGGTAGTATAATGATATTAGTAGATTCTTGTTAAACAGAACTTCAAAAAACTGGGAAAGTACTGTTCTATCAAAACGTTGATTTCCTAAGAAATATGTACTATAGAGGGATGCTTCAATCAAATACAAAACCAAACGAACTACAGGCAGTTGTCCCACTTACATGATTTTCGTTTAAAAAGGGTTGTACTGTATGTAGTAGGCATTTAAGTTTGTTAGATTTTAACCGCAGAGTTTAATGACTTTTGTTGTTGTGATGCATACTGCAGAAAGTACTCCAAGACGCCAACGGGAGCAAACAAAGGGCAGTTGTCGAGTCTGGGCCGCAGCACGGTTTGTATTCTCGATGTCGGCTCACCCACAACGCTCAAGACGCCACCCTTGGCGTCGCCAGTGCACCGTAAGGAAGGTCGTTCCACTCCAAACTGGAACATGGGGGCCACCCGCAGGTCACCACGTCTCTCGATGCTCTCCTGCAAACGTACGCCTTCTCCCAGGCGGGTTTCATCGGCCAAAACCAAGAAGCCAGCTGAACTGGTGACCCCTGCCGTACCTGCGAATACCGGTGAAGTTTCGAAGCGTGTCGAACCTGCCAAAACTGCTGCAACTGTCGAGACTGCTGCGTCTGTCCAGACTGTTGAGCTGGAGAAGACCGTCGAACTGGTGAGTTGGAACTTTTAGATAGATGGACATGATGGACCGAGTTTTCAATTGCTTCTGTGGATGAATGAAGTCTGGCTCGGTGACACCAGACGTGTTGCTTGTGGTTGAAGTGTAGAGGGCACGCCTGCGTGTTGTGCAACTAGTTGTGTTTGAATCGGCTTGCTCTGATTTGCTTAGGGAACAAAGCATTTTCATCATTTTGAAGCTAGTTTTTCTGCAATGCAGTTAGCCCAACTAATGGCACCTAATCACTCTGTAAGAAGTGTGTTCAAGCACGCAGATTGTGTACTACAATGCGGAAAATGTAGATTTGTCTCTTTTGATATAAATGGGCATGATAGGTAAGCCCCACCAAGTGTTACTAGGACCTCATTTCCAACGAAAGCGGTACAACTACCACCATTAGTTCTCTTAAAGTGCATCGCAGGGAAACACACTTCAATGTTCTGAAAAGGGTTTATCATCAATTTGGTCTGTTGTTGGAATGCGCATTTGAACCATTTACGTAAGCATCAACATTTATGTATCGGCACTAAGCCTACAATACGGAGCGTGCAACACTATGCATACATCTAAAGCGTTCTCTGCCACTTTTGATGTGTTGAACTCCTGGCCACAAAACACCGCGGCATGTGCGCTCTTGCTAACGAGACTGTATCGCTTGTCACATACATACGAAAGTATGCACATCTGCCCATATCTTTAGCTCTCTTGTGCGAGCGCCGACTTTTTTGTGTGTCAGCGCTGTATGACGGAGCCAAGTTGCAAACGGGGCGAGCCTAAGTGCATGCTTACGAAGCAAGCTCATGGGGACCCGTTGTCTGCTTGGCTCTTCCTTTGTGAGAATATCACCCTGCATTAACTCACTTCAGAGGATCTACATTTGTCAGCTTATCTCATGCGAGGGGGCGTGTGACATCTCATTTCCTCGGTTGCTCGCAGATCTTTGGAATATAAGATTCGTGCAAGATGTGCAGCCTGTTCGTCTGAAGTGAGTTAGTACAGAGCGATGTTCTCGTAAAGGAATAGCCTAGCAGACGACGGGCCCTGCAGAGCACAATTCGCGGGTGTGCGCTTACTCTCGCCCTGTTTGCAACTTGGCTCCGTCGTACAGCGCTGACCCACAAAAAGGTCAGCGCTCGCGCTCGATAGCTGAAGATTTGGACAGCTGTACTTGTGTGTATGCCAATAAAATGGCATTGTTTTGAGAATTGCCAAACGGGACGTTAGACTCGCAAGGCAGACTGCATGCTGTGGGGAAAAATAAGAGGTAATGTGTGTCTTACGATGTGTGCGATTCAAGCAGCAGTTGTTCTGCCTCCACAGCATCTTGAGCAATGAAGCTGTAGTGTACATTGCTGGATTTACAAGAATGCACGCATTGATGTGAATCTTGCCCTGGTATGGTGCAGCTCGATTATCAAAGACACTATGACCAACTGTCTCTTGCCACGATGACAGATTTGCTTTGGTAAGCTCCTTCACAGTATGTTCATATAATGCAGTGAAGAGTATGGGCAGCAGATATATAGTAGACTCCCTTTAGGACGAACTCCAAGGGACCACGATCATTTGTTCGTCTTATCAAAGGTGCCCCCAAAAACCATATGCTAACAAGCCAAGTATGCCCAAATATGTTGCTGGAAAACATTGGATGAAATATAGTACTTACATATGGGATGAACGAAACAAGAAAAAGCATTTATTTGGCTCAGCTGGATAAAAACTATGCTTTCAAGTATAGTACTCGATTTCGCATGTTTATTGTAAGTACTATGTTCATGAATGAATTGCTACAACATTTTAACAATAAAATCCTATTTTGATGGTTAGAAAAAGATAAAAAGGAAGGGACAAGCACAATTTTCCTTTAAAGAATGAAAAATTCATTCTTCTAGCTGTTCACCTTCTGAGAGGCTGTTGTGTTACCGACTTTGCTATCACTTTTGGATACGCCTCCACTGCATACCGCTAACTTGACAAAGCAAATATATGCCAAGTTGCTTATGAAAGTCTGCAAGCTTTTCTTTGAGGTTTGGATATTTGCTAATTTTCTGCTCTCGTTAAATTTTCCTAAACAACATGCAGCTGAAGATCACTGTTTACGCTCCTCACGATCGCAAGCCTTGGGCACACAAAAAAAGACACGACGCAGCTATGTTTAGTGTACAAACTCACCTTCCATTGCCGTGCACTTTCATAATGAAAATGGCGCCTCACAATTTGCTGCATTTCACCAGGAACAGATACGACGTGTACAGGCCCTATGCAAAACAACGCAAACTGACCACATGTGCTCAGGCACTAACAATACATCTGACTCCTCTGATGGGAGCGCTGGTGCCACGTATAGACAATCTTTGTTCTCATTTTCACTTTCATTTGGCTTTTTTTTGCCCCCCCTCCTTCACTTGAATTTTCCCCTCTCGCGAAGCTCTTGCGTTCTGTTCTCTACTGTACTGCAGTTCGAGAAGTGAAGAATGCGAGGGGAATACTAAAGGACAAACGCCTTTTGTTGCTTTCTTTGCTGATAAAACTGGCCCTTTCTCCACCATGTAGGGATTCGAGGCTGATGCTAGCCGGAGAACCCCTTAGGGAAGAGGCGGGCACCGACAACAACCATGTTTACTCCTCTAAGCCTGGGCCACGACTGCCAGTGGCTGCTGCGTACCATGCTCGCGTTTGTGGCTGTCGCTCCCATAACCTACAGGCTAGGAGTTGGGGAGATACCAGCTTTATGCGCTGACCTTTCTTTTCCACTCAACTCGCTTTCTCCCACCACACAGCACTTTGCTTACAGTTTGCTTTGAGTCTCTGCACAAGGAAGTCTCTTTTATTTATTTTGCTTTCTCTTGTTTGCCTGAATGCTCTCATTAAGACTCTTAATGTTCCTTGCACCGAATCTTCATCATTGTTGGTCGCTGTGATAGCTTGTCTTAACAGAAGACGCCTGTTACATGGTTTGTCTTAAGCAGATTTTTTTTGCATATAGTCTGTGGGAAACCAAAGAAACACTCTTGTGTTGTTTGTCTTAAGCGAAAATTCGTCTTAACAGAGTTCATCTTAACAGTAGTTCACTGTAATTGTTGTGCAATGGCATGTGCTGCCTCGAGGGTAAACCTCTTGTGTTAAATTAATACCACTATTTCCAACTGTTGCGTGATCCCCTTGAGATCCAATATAACCATGTTTGGCTGTCGCAGTTGCTGTCATTCATGAGGTTGTACATTCACATTCTGTAATATGCGGATTGTGCCCGGCAGCTAAGGAAAGGTGTTTACTTTTCTTATTTTTTCTTAGGCTCCAGCCATCCAAGCAAGCTCGAGGACATCATCAACAGACTTGCTCTTCGAGGATGATGACGAAGACGAGCTTCTCGACCAGATATGTTGCACCTATGAGCAGCAACAACAGTTGGATGCCAAAATGGCAGCTGCTGCTTCGGCGTCTTTGTTGAAAGTGTCGACATCGTCTACAGTTACAACCTCTCGCAGTATGACATCGACATCTCAGTCTGCAACAGTTCTTTCTTCTGTTGCCTCAAAGACCACTGCCTCGCTCATTTCAGAAACCGAAGCTCCTAAAGCAACGGTAATTAAGAGTTCCGTCAGCACGTCTTCTGTGAGGCAAATCGACCAGTCGAATGGTGGGCTTAAGAACGTTGCTGCTCCCACACGTCCCCTATCATCTCTTCGCGCAACTGTGTCAACGTTGGTCATTAAGCAGAGCACAGGCCCTGCAGCTAAGCCTGGATTCTTAGCTCTGTCGAATACCACAAACCAGCCAAAACCAGTAAGCGCAGATACGTGCTCGTTTCAGCAGGCAAGAGTGATTCTCGAGCAATGTGTTGCGACGTCGGCAAAAGCGCCACCGCTCGGCAAGGAACAGCCACCTTCATCAGCTCTCGTCTCCACTGCACCAAAGCAGCGCCTGAACACAAAGTCCCCTTTGGAGAAATCTTCTCTTGGCACGCCACGTCCTCAAAGCACAATTGTCAAGACTTCATCAAAGAGTGTGGATGCTGCCCTGGACTTTGACGATGACGATTTGGACCTTGCGACACCAGAGGTCATGTCGTGGTTGGAAGAGGTTGAATGTGAGTAATATGATTTCACTGTAATTCTAAAGTACCTGTAAATATTCTTTCGGATGTTTGACACATTGATTCAGGCTTATAGTTAACAACTCATACTTTTGGTTGCTAGTATATTGCGGACTTTAAAGACAACACACAGGGATATGAAAGGCACATGCACAATCATTGAAGTAATGTTTAATGTCATTTTTTAAGTATGTGTGGAGGAAAGAAAAAAAATTGTGCTTTACTTTTAATAGTACCAGTTATACACTGCCATCAGCATCAATGTTATCGGCTGTCGTCAAGAAAATCCAATTTGTTCTGCAGATGAGGAAAGAGACGACAAATTGTCATGTGTGAAGCCATCACTGTTCATTGCTGCTGTCTTCACAACCTCGCACTTGCTCTGAACGTTAACTTTGGATTCAACAACAGTGTTATGAAAATGAAAATACAGTGTTAACAAGAGTGCTAACGACTGGTGCAAGTTGCCGCGACTCTCCATCACCAAATGTGGAGAGCATTGAGAACTGTTACACTCAGTATTTTTGTAATGTATTTGTAACGAAGCACAGCCACCATCCCAGCATCATTACTTTAAGTGCTCTTGTTATGTTCCTGTTGTGCATCCGTAGCCGCTCATTTGGGTATCACTCCGTCTGTCCTACGGTACATCATGTTCTAACACTCAGAAGTGCTTTTCCATATAAGCGCATACAATACTCTCATCAGGATTCTCGGACGCCATTACTGGGTAATGATTGTTGTCAAAGACGCCAGTAATGTTGCCTTTCTGTGATTTGATGAAGGATGTGTCATAGAACAAAGCCGGCAACTCTCTTGAAATTATGCATTGATAGCAAGCTTGTGGTGGTGCTGAACCATTTTTAAGAGAACGTCTTTATTACGCAGCATGGTTGCATATGAGGCATATTCTTTACTCATTCTGCATGAGAGACTACACAGCAACACAACTTGGCTCCGTGCGTCATTTTGTTGCAGGGTCACGATTTCATGCGAAGGTTTAGCTCCACTGAGCCTGTAGTAGAAACGGAAGAGGTGTTTATGTCAGTTTTCAAATATTGGTGCAGAATTCAGTGTGCTTAGATGGCAATTTGTTATGCTTCATTCTACGTTAGTCTGATCATCCACCAACCATTATTGAATGTAAACATTCGACAGAAGTCTGTCTGGTCAAGTATGAAACTGGGAGATGATTTAGACTCCAACCAAAAGTTTTGAAGAAACCCAAGGTTTCGAAACCGACTTGGTTCCTTCCTCAGGGGTGACTGCGGAGGCTACGTGGCAGCGACGTCTTCAAAGCACTCGCGGGATGGATGATGACCCCCCCTCTTTCTCCCTCTCGTTTCGCCGTGATCTGGTGATCTAACGTCTCGCTGAACATGCTGAGACGTTGGATCACCGGATCAATTTCGAAGCGACGGCCATCCTTGAAAGCGAGCCGAACTGGAGGAGAAGGTTGTTACTCGAGTCCTGGCCCATACAGAGGACAGCCCATAACATCAACCACTCTCTCAGAACCCTTTCCCAGTGTGTACACATGGACTGCGCTCCACGGCAAAAGGAGAGAGAAAGAGAGAGGGGTCATTGTCCACCCCACGAGTGCTTTGAAGACGCCGCTGCCATGTAGCCTCCGCAGTCACTCCTGAGGAAAGAATCAAGTCGGTTTTGAATCGTCGGGTTTCTTCAAAACTTTTGTTTGGAGTCTAAATCATCTCCCACCAATCATTATTGCATTATCCTGTTGAGAATTTGGGCAATTTACTCTTCTAACCACTGCCAAAGCATATATAACGGCATTAGTATAAAAAAAAATGTTTTACAGTAATATGTGGCTGCGTATCTCATGCGCTTTACCTGTACGATCGTTTTTTGCATTACGCTGCAGCTCAGCCCGTACAAGTCAAGCGCTGCACACCGGAGGAGATTGCCAAGAAGCGAGCAGAAGCACTTCGGCGACGCCGTCTCAGGGAACAAGAGTCGAACATGTGGAAAGGTCGCCTGCGCATGTCGAAGTAAAAGTCTGTCGCGGAATGCACGATGCGCTCAAGCAGATACCGACCGACGCTGAAGAACCAGCAGACGTGCAGCTACCTTGGCCAAGTCGATGCATCTGGGACTGTTCCAGTGGCATTGTGGCTACAGGGTGTTCTACAAGACCATTAGGAGTAGCAGAGTTACCAAGGTTCTGTGCCTACTTGGGGAGTCTCTGAAAGTGCATCGCCGAGTGCGCGTCGTGCTTCGGAGATTGTTGGCCAACGTTGAGGAACCTACAGAGGTGTAGCTGCATTGCACAAGTCACATTGCCACAACTTGTTCTAGTGGCATTGAGAACAGCATGCTGTACAAGGCCATCAGAAGCAAACGAGGTGACTCGGTTTCTGAGTCTACCTGGAGAGTGTCTCACAGGGAAAACAATGGCATTGAGGCGTTAAGTCACGTTTGCGTCAGTGTGAGTGACGCTAAAAGTGCTGTTAGTAGAGAGAACATGTGTCGTGTACTGCGCAACTTGCACTGTTGTATAATGCTACCATTCTATTGGTGGCGCATTCCAGTTCTGTTGGGCAGCCTGAAAGGTTATGCTGTTCGGACCACATTGTATGGTGTTTTAATGACTTGCATCGGAGGGCTGGGGTGAATGCCTTGAGCATTTTCATCGGCGTAGTTCACGAGCCTAGTGTTAGGTGAACAGCCCTTGGCACCCGGGAACATGTATTGCGAATTGCTTTCGAGGAGTTGGCACGAAGAGTGTTTCGACTGGACATTTAAGGAAGCCTGCCTTTACTGCCTCCTTGAACGATAACTGCAGCTGATGAGATAACGAGTGACACTTTCGATATTGTGCTCCACGAAACATCGCACCCTGTTCTCTCTGGGTCTTGCTGGTGCTAAAAGATGATTGTGTCTGATTGATTTTCTTTCTATTTTCGGTGTGAGGGCAAGTGTTGCTCTGCCGTTTTTCTTCCAGAACTGTACCGATCAATTTGTTCAAGCATGTTGTGCCATTGCGTGATTGCACAAGAAAGGCATGATGGCCACCTATGTTTCACACAGAGGTTAAATTACCATGGGAACCTCATCCATCACAACTTTTTTGCTGTAAAGACCGACACCTACACAGAGTCTAGTAATAAGCTTGTGATGTGTACCATTAAGAACTTAGTGCTGTTGCTAAGAGCTTTGTGTCACAGTGCCATAGGCTTCAAATGCCATTGAGATAAAGTTTTTGCAGAATGGGCTTTGCAAAGAAGTGTCTGCTAGGCAGACATGTTCCTTTTTGGACTTGCGAAAGAGTTGTGAGGTGCCTTTGAGTTCTGCTATTTGAGGCTGGTCAAAAGTTCGTGCTGGTGACCCAGCCAGAAGGTGTCTATTGTCCGTGGTTTCTTGACTGGCCCTGTTTATCAAAACAGGGTGATACCCTAGTCTTAATGGCATGATTTGGCCGCAAATGAGACACACACAAGAAAAGGAACACTCAAACGACAAGCACAGGCGGCTTGTTTGAGTGTTCCTTTTCTTGTGTGTGTCTCATTTGCGGCCAAATCATGCCATTAAGTAAATACCAACTAGGCCAACAATCAGTATTATTACGATACCCTAGTCTTATTGTCGCATAGAGCAGGAGTCGCTCAGTGTGATTCTGCTTTTGCTCTTGCGTCGTTGGGTCACATCAATAAGTGTTCAGCGAACATGAACAAGGTTTTTGAACAAGTTTTCAGAGAAGCCTCCTACAGTTATAACAACCATCTCTGTAATGCTCGGCACGTTGTCGTACTACGTGTTCTCTAAGTGGGTTAGACAGAGTCTATTATTCCATATGGTTGTATTTTCTTTACCTTGAGCAGCTGAACTTAAAACTTTGGAGTGGTTTAATTTCATACAAGAGACTTGTCAGTAAATGGTGTTGTTTTTGTACCTTTAGTTCTCAGTTCAGTCTCTACACTTCCAGTATTGTGTACAGTGCCCTAGATTGAAATATGATACTTGAAGCCCATGCTGGGCCAGCACTTGTGACAAAAGTGAGTCATGGTGTTCCATGGGCAATAATCGCGCTTTAAAAATGTTATCACCCTCATCATAGTACTATTCCATATTTGCAGTGTGTAGCTCACCACGGCACCCAGTGGTGTAACAGGCATCATTGTTAGTAGCCACGTCACGTACCCGAAATGTCACATTTGAAATCGCACGAACACTGTAAAGACAATATAGGCAAGCAGTAAGTTTCTGTACACCCATGTAAATTCTAGCACTCATTATTTTTGTAACATAATTTTGTACTGTAAACCGCAAGTGTGTCACAGTTTTCTGTTGACCAGATAGCATCCTCCGCTCGCTCTGGTCTTTTTGCTATAAAACAATAAAACCAGCTTGGTGATTTACTTTTTCATTGTTCTGCTTTGTGTCAACACTCCTTTTGTCTGGGTAAATGCTACCCTACTTCGTTAACTTTAGTAGCTCTTCCTATTATACTCCCTTTCCTGATATACATATGTTTGTCTCGTGATGGGCATAATGTTCTTGTACTGACTTTGTTGGCTGTTGTCTTTCGTGAGAAAGAGAGACACTCTTTATTAGGAAAACGGGAACTTTTACCGTGCAACTTGATGGGCAAATCACTGTGGAAATGAGAATGAAGTGAGAACCTTTACTGTAAATTGTTCGATGCGCTAATGCTCGCAACTAAGGACTTGTGACCCCAAAGACGTGCGAAAAGAAACACACAAGAAAACGCGATTTTAAAGCAACCCGTGGCGCCATCTACGAATAAATGCAATTGACAAGCATCGCCCTTCCCCCCCACCTCTCGCATACTCGGCACAAAACTTCCGGTAGCCACTTCGTCAACTTCCGGTAATGCTAGGGCGGTGATTGTGTCGGTGGCTGGATGTGTAGTTAGTGGTTAAAAGTTTTTCCATCCCCATTTATCGTAATGGATAGCCAAGGTAAAAAAGTCATTGTGTGCGACAACGGAACGGGGGTAAGTGCTCTACGCATCCGTGCCATTATTTCGGCTTCCGAGACGGCGATCGCTCGCCGATGGCTTCTCGGAATTTTGTGTACGGGCCGGTGTACCCCGAGCCCGTCTCCAAGATGGTGACCCCCCGTCACCGCTCTCACACCGGCTCTGCCTTGTCGTTGGTGTTTGCGGTTTGCAGTTTGTCAAATGTGGTTACGCGGGGTCCAACTTTCCGGCCTTCCGATTCCCATCGCTCGTAGGGAGGCCCATTCTACGAGCCGCCCACAAAATAGGAGACATCGAAATAAAGGTGAGTCACTTTTCGAGTGTTTTTTTTCAAGTGACGCCACTTTCATAGAAGAGCGTTAATAAGCAAACCCTTGTTGGCCGGGGCCTTTATAATGTCCCGACGTTATTCAGTGTCGCGAAAGTCTAATCGCTTCGGTAATTTCGCTGCAAACGCGGTTATCAAGCTTTGGGGAGCGGTCTTTCGACCGGTAGTTTCCGGTGATGTCATTTTCGCTTCCCGGGGGTTGCTATGCGGTGGTTTCAACTTCGAGCACTCTGATACCGTAGAACGGCGCTTGCCATTTAACCTCATAAATCTCCATCTCACATTCACGCTGCGAAGGATGCAACGACGGAGGCGTACGTAAGTACGGGTTCCAGCACTGTTATCGTCCCGCACCGATGAACCATCGCATGTGTTTCGTTTCCGCACCTCGACTTGTTTGACATCTCGGAACTTGATTAGTGCTTTGACTTTGCTAACGTTTGTCGATGAATATTGCTGTCTAGTTTTCAACTTAAGCGTCAGTGCTCCTAACGTTAAGAAGCCCGTTGCTTGTGCTTGCTGCTGATTTCGAAGCGGTGTATCCATTCTGCCTGACCGCTTTCGAAGTTCTTATATCAGCGCGTCCTGACGCGGAACGTAATTTGCATACGCCCTCACGCATCACTCTATCGCTTGTATTGTCACTGTTAAAATGCACTGGACCTTGACTTCCCAATCGCTGTTTGCATGAGCTGGCTTCGGCTTGCAGTTATTTACTGCCCGTCCTTTTGCCTTACGCTAGCATGTGCCACAGAAACGTGCGTGTAGTCATTAAAAGTGGCTGTTTGTTGTGTATGCATGCCTACGTGTTAGTAAAACCTTTTGTTTGCGGTACACTGCCAGGCTATTGCATTTCAAAGAATGTGTCTACTTATGCATTGCACCATTATTGCTGCAGCATTGTTACGTTTGCATTCGTTATATGCCGTGTGTAGTAGATTTACTAATCAAAATCCATAGCAGTACAATCATCTTGCTCGAACATGCCAGATCTCGAGGTCTACATAATCACCAGGTTTTGTTGGTATTGAGTGGTTGTATGATAAGAACAGTTAAGAACAGTTACATTGACATTAGAAACATGAACGATTTTTAAAATTTCGCACCATGTTTCTCAGTTGCCTCTTGAATGTTCAGGTGTGTTAGTTTTTCCGAGTCCGAGCCAGCTAGGGTGCCATTTTGTATGCATTTATGATAGAATACAATCAAATGTCATAAGAGGAAGCAAACAGCTAATAGTCAAGCTAAGTAAATTCAGAAATATTTTAAACACATGAATAAATAAAGAATTATAGCTGAACATTTATATTCCCAGGCATTTTAAGAGTGTAGTGACTTTAACAATTAGGGTTAATGCCTTGATTGGGTGCTTCATGGTGTTTCAATTTCAAGTGATGTTCGGTGATGGTGAGTTGCGATGTCATGAGAATTTTGGAGTCACGATTTGAGCAATCTGTCAGCACGAGATTTTGATAAGCCACAGCCCAATGCGATTTTGTCACGCTAGTGCTAATGTTTTTATCCAATCCAAGTCATCCGGAGACCGTTATATATTCGTTCTATTGGACCAAATGGTGCCTTCATCTGCTCTGTACCAAAACGATTGATAGCATTGGCCTTTCCAGTTGCTGTTCCCACTTCTGACTGTCAGACAAGCGTTGACCAATCGCGTGCAACCCCCTCTCATCCTCTCGTGATTTTTTGTTACATTTTATCACAGGACACATGCAAAGTAGCCTTCTAATGTTTTATGCAATGGTGTGCCATTTATTGTGTCTATTGTGTTTATATAGACAGGAGATGTGCTTTTGTTATTACGAGCTTTTGCTTTAGCCGAACAAGTACTTGATAGCGATTCTAGAGCAGTGTATGAAAGCCGTGATGAGTAAGTAGAATGACACAGACTCATATAAGCAGTGTTGTCGCTCTCGCTCTTTCTCTACATTCTACTTGTGTGTGTGTGTGTCTGCTATCATGTATCAGAGGATTTTAAATGCACCCAAATAGCATTTTATCACAGCTCTGCAAGTGAAGACTTGTGTTTCCACATATATTACCTCTTGATCTGCATTATTTTTCGCTTTGGTTATTTTTTTAAGGCGCAACTTTTTCCCTTTAGGAGTTTCATAATGCCTTCTAGAGTTCGTATTTTCTCAAACTTTCAAATCCAGCTAGTTAACATTGTCATATACTTGCCTTTACATAGCTTGATTCTATGAGCTCAGTTCAATGCGCATATTGCTGGCACAATGTTCAGCTGCCAATCGGGACATAGTTGGCATTTATTATTCCAGGAATCCCTTATTGGCAGACAATCGGGAGTGTACCCTATATTTAAGGCAACGGTGACAATCTCCATGTGATGTTAATTAACTCTAGGGTCATCATTACACCGTGTCATGCAACTGTATCGTGGTTTTTATCACCTAACCTTACAGGATGTGATGGTTGGTGACGAGGCGTCCAAACTGCGCTCCATGCTGGAGGTGGAGTACCCCATGGAGAACGGCATTGTGCGCAACTGGGACGACATGTGCCTGGTGTGGGACTACACGTTTGGCGAGCACAAGCTGGCCATCGACCCGCACGAGTGCAAGGTGCTCCTCACTGAGCCGCCCATGAACCCGCTCAAGAACCGGGAGCGCATGATTGAGGTCATGTTCGAGAAGTACGGTTTCGACAGCGCCTACATTGCCATACAAGCTGTGCTGACGCTCTACGCCCAGGGTGCGCACTTACATTCACTTCTTGACAGTGTCCTCTCCATAGAGTTTCCTGAAGTTAGCTAGTTGGAGATCTGGAGCTGCGGTCGTTCAGAAACCATGGGAATTGTGGGTAGTGCACGAATTTGCCTGGTCTTCGTGCTTGCCGCTTCAAACGCTCTTGTGGCTTCGTTTACCCTTCTGTTTCCGTGTTTTCTTAGATAAAAGCATGAGTAATTGCTAACTTTGTGACCTGGTTTGAATTTGTAAGCTTAAAAATAAAAGACTAAGGGGGTGAAGAGCAACTACTAAACAATTGCTGATTGTCATCTCATGACAAAGCAGCTCCCGGCCATGCCAAGTCAAACAGAACTCAAAGTACGAAGATTAGACAGATTTGTACACTACCCATCATTCTCATGCTCGTTGAAGATTGTCCGTTGCAAGCTCCCATAAACACTGGCGCTAGAGTTCTCTCTAGTGTATTCATGGGAAGCTCTATCGTGTTCTGCTTGCTTTTTTCTTGAGTGCATAGCAGTATAGCGGCCAAGCTTGTTATCCATTCACTGTCGCATGTCCATACCTGCCTGATTTCCCGATTTCGATCATTGGTTCTGTTTGTGCGGTACTGTCAGAAAAATTTTCCGGAATCTAAATTTCTGTTCGTGATCTGGCCACATTGACAAAAACGCAGGTCAATCTGCTCCAGGCTTTTCGTGAACCCACCGCATTTTATTATAAACGAATTTAGAAGGCGTTCATTTAAATGTACAGTATAATCTCAGTGATGCGAAAATGCGGCAGATACGAATTCGTAAATTCCCCATGCCAAATTCCACTTTGTCCATTGGGCCGAAATTCGAATGTTTTGAACAGTTTTCCCAATCGCGGCAGGTTATATAAACTGAAACCGTCTGAATGAAAGCAGCATGCTCGAAGCTTCGCAAATACACATGCAGCCCGCACATGCACTGTCTTCTACAGTGCATGTTGTTGTCGTTGTCACAACTGCAGTGGACGAAAACGTGGTCGTTCTTGACAAGATTATGTACGGCGACGGTGTTAATGACAGAATTCTGTGCTGTAGGCCCATGTGCTAAGATTTGGGTGCACGTTAAAGAACCCCAGGTGGTCAAAAATTTTTGGAGCCCTCCACTACGCCGTCTTTCATAATCATATGGTGGTTTTGGGACGTTAAACCCCACAAATCAATGACAGAATTTTCAAAGTGTGCGCGCATGTAACGCTCGACTAATCAAAACACCGCTCCTTTCCGCAAACTCTCCAGATAAAACCGTGGCAGATGCGATGCGATCATAGGTAGCGTAAAACGACTCGGTTTTGAAGGCGTAGCCAGTGCACGTGAATGGAATACGAAACTACCATTTGCCTCAACCGCCGCACACAATGCTGCGGTCACGGTGACGCGATGGCGATCTACAAGCTCTGAGGGCACGCCGCTAACGCAGCGGTAGATTAAAAGGCAGGAAAGACGTAACAAAGGCTAGAAGCTATTTGGCGTTCCTGTCAAAAGAACCTAGCAGCAAGCAAAGCTTTGACGTGCGCTTTCGCAACAGCTAGCGGCGCCGTCCCTTTCGTTCACGTGTGTCCTAGGAAGACATACGCAAGTTGTTTTGGCTGAAATAGATTTTGTTAGTTGTTTTGATGACGCAAAATTTTGGGAGTATTTGCACTCCCCCTTCGAAACTCACCTTCGTGGAAAACCCTACACTCGTGTGTTCGGCCACTCCAAGTCATTATAAGACCGCAATGCCAATTCTTGTGATTGAGACGCCCGCCCACCTTTCTGGGAGTTTTTTTTTTGTTTTCTTCTTGGTGCCAAAAAAGTCGGAGGTGAAAAATTCAACGCGACCCCCTCACCTTCTGTTGCGAATATCTCCTGGATTCAGAATCCTTGAACTTGGCAGATATTCATGTCGCATGGTCATGCAGTTTATTCTGCACTCTAAAACAGTGCAGAATAAACTAGCAAGGTCTAAAATAGTCTGAACTACAATAATAACCAAGAATTACCCGAGTTTTGCCCAAAATCATGGAAAAGCACTCCTGAAAGCGTCATGCAAGAAGGGCACTACTCCCTTCGCAAATGTGTAGAAGCCGAGGTAATCATTGGGTTGCCCGTGCTATCAACTTCCTTAGGTTCCACGGTAGCGAAGCTGCATTAAAGGGGTATTCACACAAAATTTCGCGGCCGAGATAGCCTGTGGAATCGATTTCTGTGTACATTCGTATGTCGGCAAAATATTAACAGCAAATATAGCTGGGATGGTATTTTAAATTAATTTTAAAGTTTGATTGATATGTGGAATTTAACGTCCCAAAACCACCATATGATATGAGAGACGCCGTAGTGGAGGGCTCTGGAAATTTTAACCACCTGGGGTTCTTTACCGTGCACCCAAATCTGAGCACACGAGCTTACGACATTTTCGCCTCCACCAGAAATGCAGCCGCCGCAGCTGGGATCCGATCCCGCGACCTGCAGATCAGCGGCCGAGTACCTTAGCCACTAGACCACCGCGGCGGGGCAATTTTGAAGTTTGCGCGAGCACCCGACTCCATCGTGCCATTGACATCTTCGAAGGGGGCCCTTTGGGGACCCGTTATGTCCGTGACCTCACCATCCTGCAGTCAATAAAACAAGTTGTGATGACGTCATAGTGCCATTTTTCTTTTGGCACATTGTGCCCGCAATCTATACTCCACGGCCAGTCACGAGTCCATGGTCGTGGCGCACGCTTTGAAAGTTTTGTGTTTGGTGACACTGCAGTCCCGTTTCCTGTTCGAAAGTAATTCTTGATGCGGACCGTGTGGAAGTGTGTCACAGTTCTGTGTACTGACGTGGTTGGGGGCTGCGCAAGCTAGATGGCGATAGTTTCACCCCGCGGCTTCTTATTTTTAGAGCTCTCCCAAACCGAAACTTAAATTGATCAATAATGAGAGGCCTGTAATTAATTATCTGTCACATGCTGCAGCATACGATGTGTCGTGTTTTGACTAACAGGTCCCCAGCAACGCATTGCAGTGGAAAAACACGGCCAAAGTTTTTGTGTGAGTACCCCATAAGTGCAGCATTTGAAACTGCACCAGGGCCTACACAAGATTGACATTAGTGTAGCATTTTTCATAAACCAGTCTCAACAGATAATTCGGCATATAATACAAGCTTTTTTTTCCTTTTTGGTATTAGTAGGTACAATTTGCTTCTGATAGAGTTGAATGCCGCTGCAGTGACATCAAAGGATTTGTTATACCATGGCCGAGCTGCAAGCATTACGGTGCACATACTTTACAGTGAAGTCACCTAAACGAAATATATTCTGGAGATTTTGAACCCTTCCTTGCTGAGGCATGTGCTTGACACTAACATCATACGGGCACTTTTGATCACATACAAAGCTGATTCAGACCGCATTGCTTGGATTGCAATAAATGATGGTCACTGCCATGCAGCCCGAAGCAATCCAGAGTTTGTCATTTACGTCAGCAAAATTGCGATTTGGGGCAAGATTGCGATAGTCTTGATCCAAATAAGTGACCATGTAGCAGCAGCTGCTTTGGATTGGCATTGCTCATGATTAAAAGGACCTGTGTGACACTGTTGTCATGTTCGTCATATTTCTATCTGCTGCAGCATGACAATAGTAATACAGATTGCATATTTGTTCCCACTGTGTGGTGTTATTGTTGTCATATCTAAATTTAAAATTCTCAGCGTTTGTTCGGCTCCACACAGTGTTGCGACGTAGTGTCCACAAGAATAGCGATTTATTTTAGCTTTATCGTTTTTTGCAGGTCTTTACACTGGGGTGGTCGTAGACTCGGGCGATGGCGTCACCCACATCTGCCCAGTGTTTGAAGGCTTTGCCCTGAATCATTTGACTCGGAGATTGGACATCGCGGGCCGGGACATCACACGGTATCTAATCAAGGTACGCTTTCTGGCTACTTCTGTTTTTGGGAGGTGACAGAGATGCAGTGTCAATGCAGGATTTTTTCATTGGGAGCTGTAGTTTGGGGTCTCTCTTATTTATATTGTCATGTGGTCGTGACGTCGACAAAGGCAACAGTTGGTGCGTCAAACTAGAAACTCTTCATTTGGCCGAACTTGTGGCGGGTAATGGAAACTCAGATTACAGAGATACACATACTGCCACTGGTAGCGGCGAAGGGAGCGTCAACTGTCGATCGATTGGCAAGCGGCGAAGCCCGTCGGCATTTATACATGTGCTGTTAAATGTTCCAGCGCTGTCTCTAGCAGCAACATATGTTCCAGAAGAATCTGTAATGTTCGCATTTTGCGCATAATGGCATCGAAGGCTTTAAGATTATCTCGGTGGTTCTTAGTCCATCGGCGCGGTTTGCGCAAGGCAGCATTCGCATGTGTAAGGGGGAAATAAGAAAACTTGACAAAGGGGTGTGGCAATATCCTTGACCTGCCGTGGTTGGTTTACATAGGGTGTCACGCTGCTGACCTTGAGGCTGCGCATGTGAATCCCTGCCGTGGCAGTCACATTTTGATAGGGGTAGAGTGGAAAGAAAATCCTTGTGTTTAAATTCAGGTGTTTGTTTAAGAATGCCAGATGTTTAAAATTAATGTGATGGTTCTTCGAAATGACAGGCCTCATAAATATATCACAGTTCTGGCATGTAAAGCTTTTCGTTGTTTATATTTTACAAATTTGTAGTCTGAGGGTCCAAATGTCTGTTGCTTAAGTTACCAGTTATCACAAAATATAGCCAGCTTTGAACAGTGGTAAACGTTGAGTTTTTTAACTTTGATAATGTATGGCCTTTTAACTTGTTTTTAAAAGTCTTTCGGGGCTTCTAAATAAAGAGAGTATTTACCGTATTTACCGTATTTACTCGATTATACCGCGCCCTCGATTGTAACGCGCACCCGATTTTCACCGCGAAAAAAAAAAAAAAAAACATAAGACATCGATTGCAACGCGCACCCATTTTTCTCGCTGGCCCGCACGATCACACCACTCGAAAAAACGACTCCTTTCGGGAGCGTCTTCCATTTAAATATAAGGTACGGGCGAAGCTTGTGCCCATCTGACGTGTAACAGAGCATTGCCGTCACTGTAGTTTTACCGTGGACCGATGTCAGCACGCGAACTTGCTTCGCCCCCTTCTTCTTGACAGTTGTGGTGCCAGGCATGTCGAAGTAAAGAGGCGTCTGATTGGCATTCCCGATATTCCCAAGCAGGTAGCCGTTGTTGTGCCGCAAGTTTAGGACGAACCTCTGAAAACTGTGAAGCTTTTCATCGTACTCCTCCGCAAAACTTTTCGCATATGCCCAGTCGGCTTCTAAGGGAAAAGCTTTTCCTCTTCATAAAGTTAGTTAGCCAGCACCTGCTCGCTTTAAACTGGCTCCGCATCAGCCCTTTTTCTATTCTAAGGCTACCTGCATAGCCCGCACTTGGAGCAGTTCTGTCGTCACGGGCCGCTGTGCCGCTCGCTGCTCAAGCACATACTCGCCGAGCAGCTCTTTAATATGCGGAAACCGACCCTGCTGTGGTCCACTGAAGCCTTTGAGGGAAGCTTTGCTGTCGACAATCTTCTGCTTTTGTTTCCGCCGGTCCCGCACGCACGTTTCGGGAACTTTGAACGACCGCGATGCGGCCCGATTTCCGTCCGTCTCTGCACACGCGATGACTTTTCTTTTAAAAGCGGCATCGTGGTGCACTCGAGTTTTTGGAGTCGGCCCTTCCACGCCGTCGATGCTAATGCACTACTAGATGACGAACTCCTCAGCACACGTACGAAGTGCCGCACATGGGAAACACATAGGCAGAAATGGCGGACGCGCCATGCCGACGCACGTAGGGGGAGGCCATTTTGGACTTGCCGATGGCAATAGATTGACCGTAATTTTTTTGTTCGTACTCGATTCTAACGCGCATGCAATTTATGAACTCGCTTAACCGGAAAAAAGGTGCGCGTTAGATTCGAGTAATTACGGTACTCGATTCTGCCGCGCCTTCGATTGTAACGCGCACCCGGATTCCACAACGGAAAAAAAAAAAAGTAAAACATCGATTGCAACGCGCACCCATTTTTCTCGTAGGCCCGCACGATCACGCCACTCGGGAAAACGACTCCTTTTGGGAGCGTCTTCCGTTTAAATATGAGGTACGGGGGAAGCTTGTGCCCATCTGACGTGCAACAGAGCATTGCCGTCACTCTAGTTTTACCGTAACCCGATGTCAGCATGTGAACTTGCTTCGCCCCCTTCTTCTCGATGGTTGTGGTGCCAGGCATGTCAAAGTAAAGAGGCGTCTGATCGGCATTCCCGATTTTCCCAAGCAGGTAGCCTTTGCTGTGCCGCAAGTTTAGAACGAACCTCTGAAAACTGTGAAGCTTTTCATCCTACTCCTCCGGAAACTTTTCGCATATGCCCGTTTACCTTCGGAGGGAAAAGTCTGTCCGCTTCATAAAGTTAGTTAGCCAGCACCTGCTCACTTTAAACTGGCTCCGCATTAGCCCTTTTCTTAGGCTAACTGCATAGCACGCACTTGGAGCAGTTCTGTTATCACAGGCCGCTGTGCCGCTCTCTGCTCAAGCACATACTCGCCGAGCAGCTCTTCAATTTGTGGAAACCGACCCTGCTGTGGTCCACTGAAGCCTTTGCGTGAAGCTTTGCTGTCGACAATCTTCTGCTTTTGTTTCCGCCAGTCCCGCACGCACATTTCAGGAACTCCGAACGACTGTGATGCGGCCCGATTTCCATCCGTTTCTGCCCACACGATGACTTTTCTTTTAAAAGCAGCATCGTGGTGCACTCGTCGAGTTTTTGGAGTCGGCCCTTCCATGACGTCGATTCTAATGTACTACAAGATGACGAACTCCTCAGCACACGTACGAACTGCCGCACATGGGAAACACATAGGCAGAAATGGCCGACGCGCCATGCCGACGCACGTAGGGGCGGCCATTTCGGAATGCCGATGGCAATAGAATGACCGTATTGATATTTTTTTTCGTACTCAATTCTACCGCACATGCAATTTATGAACTCGCTTAACCTGGAAAAAGGTGCGCGTAAAATCGAGTAATTACGGTAGCCTTTGTACTGGGCTCCCGCATCTGTTGGAGCTTTCACCAAGCATGAATGCTGCACTTATGTGATGAGTTACCGTTTGACAATGCGCGAATTTTGTGTATGCCGTGAGTTAATACACTTAGATTGCTCAGACAAGAAAATCTATCATGCAAGCTATTCACGCATATATTATTTTATTATCCTTTACAGGTGCTGTAGCTTTTGTGATGGTCATGTGACCGAGCATCAGGCTTGACTGACCTGATGACACTCCTTTGCAGCTGCTGCTGTTGCGTGGCTACGTATTCAACCATTCGGCCGACTTCGAGACGGTGCGCATGATCAAGGAGAAGCTCTGCTACGTCAGCTACAACGTGGAGCAGGAGCAGAAGCTGGCCCTGGAGACAACATTCCTGGTGGAGTCTTACACTGTGAGTGTCTCGTATTGTGTGCAACCACCTTCCTATTTGAGTCATACACTGCAAGTCTCTCGTGTGCAACCACCTTCCTGGTGGAGTCATACACTGTGAGACGTCCCCACTACGCCACCGATCGCCAAAGAGAGGGAAGACCACTCAACCCCTTGTCTACCCGGTTCCCTCTTGGCTATGTGTCTCACACACTTCTCACATACAGGGATTCGTGCTGGGGCCGGGAAGTAAGAGACGCTACGACCTGTTTCTGTTTACTGATTCACTTAATTTATTATTAACTCAAGACATCTTATGCCACGTACATCAACCTCTACACAAAATTATAACACATGATTTGGACATTTGCGACATTCGACAAAGGGCAGGCACATAAAGAAAGTAACTGTAACAATACAAGTTATGCATATAAAAACAACACACGACGACACAAATGATGAAGTTATCAATCAATAAAACCGTGCAATGTCTCGATATGCCGCATCTTTTCCCGCAAAGCCCGTTTAAGGGGGGGCGCGGCAAGTAAAGTGCCGATTTTGGTCAAAATATGCGATTTTCTGATTTATTTTTTTTCGTAATCTTCAGACCTTCAACTTCCTTGTTCTAAAATATTACAGCGAAACGTGCGCTACAAATCCCGCAAATAGTGTTTTTGCCGAGGCTAGTCGCCGAAAAGTGCGAAAAAAAAGCCCCTGAAACGGTGTTGTTCACGCCGCACAAACGCGCCAAGTTGTTGACCGTGGGCCGCCATTTTGGTAGCTTTGGAAAGAGGAGAAAGCCGGCTGCCCGATGGTCGCGGTCTCGTATTTCGCCGAGTGAAAATAAAAGCGCGAGGAGCAAGTAAAAAAACGAAAACGAAGAACGGCAATTGGCTGCGCGGGTCACGTGGTAGCAGGCGCGACCTCTTACTGGTCAAAGCTGCGCCGCGCACCTTGGCAACCTTGGAAGCGCGAGCGCATCTGCGGCCGCCGTGTCGAGAATCATCCGGCGTGCGCTTCGTTTTTTGCCAGTTTGCTGTTTTTGTGATAGTTCGCGTGCTTTTTTTACCAAGCTTTGTTTACATCGGTGGTCTCTTCTGAGTGCTTGCTCATACTGCGGTGCTATGTTGTCGCAAAAAAAGTTCCGGAGCGTCCACAAGTACGGCAAGCGTCGGAAAGCTTGGAACAAAGGGCAGACGACTGCGGCTGCCGTCCCAGTCGCAGTTACGGACGGAGCATGCTCTTCAAGCGTCACGGAGCCTCTACTCAGACCCTTCGCTGATTGTTGTGAGGCCGAGAGTGTGGAAGGTGCCACATCGTCGTATGTCAGACCGCCGGATGCCGTCGACCGTGATGGACGCTCTCGCGAACCCGATTGCGGTGGCACCGCGTCGGCAGCCGTTGCAACTCCGGGCGTGCGCGCGTCGAACATTCTATCGCGAGTTTCGGCCCAGATTCCGAGCAGTGAAGAAATCGCGCAGCGGGCGCAGACAAGGCGGGATGTTTTGGATGCCGTAGCATCGAAGTCCGCTTCAAAGCGGAAGCTCGAGCTTCTGAACGAAGGCTGCGACGAAAATGACGGCGGTAAGGACTCCACATTCTTCAATGTAAATAAGAAGATGCTGAACGGTCTGCTTTCGTCAGTAAAGTGCAACAAGTGCGACGAAGGGTCGATACGCCTCGAGACTACGCACTGCCTTGGACTCGCGGCGAGGATGGAACTTTTTTGTGACAATTGTGGCATAGTGAACAGTGCGTGGTCGTCCCCGAGGTGCTCCGGGCAACAAAAAACGAACCCCTTTGAGGTAAACGTGCGTGCTTTGAGGGCTGTGCAGTCAGTTGGCAGAAAACAATCTGCCATAAATGACATTTTTTCTGCGATGGACATTTCGCATCGAGCACTGCACCACAAGTCCTACCAGAGACTGCAAAGGAAGTACAGCCACCCTGCCACCACATCAGCTGCCACCCGCATTGAAGCAGAAAGTGCACAGAAGGTGCATGACATTTACAAGGACCTAGGAGGAGTGCCAGGCAACATTGACGTCATTTACGACGGCACGTGGATGACGAGGGGGCACAGAAGTCATATTGGCGTGGGCTGTGTAATCGAGCTGTACACAGGCTTGGTCTTGGACCACTGTGTCCTGTCCAACTACTGCCAAGGCTGTGCTGTTGGCCCCAAGCCTGGTGACGACAACTATGAGGAGTGGCTTGAGAAACACAAGCCACAGTGCCAAAAGAACACCGATGCTAATGCAGGCCAAATGGAAGTAGAAGCAGCGAGGATCATGTTTGAAAGATCGTTTACCAAGTACAAGCTTCGATACATCAATGTGCTCTGCGACGGTGACAGCCGTACGTACCTTGCCCTCACGCAAGACAAGGTGTATGGCTACATGTTGATTAAGAAACAGGAGTGTGTGAACCATGTGAAAAAAAGAATGGGCACTTCCTTGCGCAACCTTCTTGATGAGCACAAATCCAAAGGCCGAGGACTGAGCATGGGTGGCAAAGGCCGGCTGACGCAGGGCCTTATAAAGAAGTTGACGAATTATTATGGCTGGGCCATTAAGAGCCACCCCAACGATGTTCCTGGCATGGAGAGGGCCATCATGGCCACTTATTACCATGTAACATCCACAGACCAGGATCCACACCACGACCTGTGCCCAAGTGGGACTGACTCCTGGTGCCCGCACAATCAGGCATTGGCCAAGGGAGAGCCGCTGCCGCCTCACAAACATAAACTGCCCCCTCACGTGCGAGTGGCACTGCTGCCAATCTACAAGCGCCTCTCGAACAAAGAGCTCCTTGAAAGGTGTGCGCAGGGAAAAACCCAGAACGATGTGGAGAGTATGAACAGCCTCATTTGGTCACTCCAGTCCAAGAGCCAGTTCGCCTCCCTTCGAAGTGTGGAAAGTGCAGTTGCAGATGCAGTCTGCCGTTTCAATGGTGGCTGCAAGAGTGCGCTGCAAGAGATCACTGCTCAACTGGGCTTCAATCCAGGAGACTGCTCTTTGCGGCGAGCAGCCGAAAAGGATGCCAAAAGGGTAAAGAGGGCTCAAAAGGCGCATTGTTCCACGACAAAGAAGCGCAAAACTGGGTTGCGCTCTACAGAGGCCAAGGCCACAGCATCTCAGGATTACTGCCCAGGAGGATTCTGAGTGTTTTAGGCATGTTGTGAACTTCCAAACAAGAGTGAACTTTCAAAGTCAGTTTTCTCAACTCTTGATTTTCGCCTATGTGCCTTCGCTAGAACATCTGTCATTTTCTAACAAAGACTGATAGAGTCGTTCCGTTTTTTGCACTAGGCTCAGGGGGCCTTTAGCAGTGCAATAAAGCTTTATCTCTCTTCTTACTCATCATTTAAAATTTTTAGAACACATTTTATAATTACTGCGATGTGTGCGCAAAACAACATCCATGTTTTGGAAATTTTATTTATGGTTACAAGAACTAGAAAAATCAACTAATAGCTTCTTTGCACAAGTTGATGCTTTGGGAACATAATAATATGAAAAAATAATTTCATTTAGCAATAATTATCTCTTTAAGTGTGAAGAGCATTAATTAGTATAATTATGCTTGTAACTCATAAAGTACAAGAGGTATTTGAAAACGGTTTTCATATTTGGAATCCTCACAATCATCCACATACATACACCAAATTTCATCACAAACAGTGCATTAATAAAAAAATTAGTTTTACTTGCCACGTCCCCCCTTAAGTAAGGGAGGTGAAGTTCGTCTCACAGAATGTCCATGTAGTTGGGGTCTCGGAGTTAACTGCTCGAATCGGGGCCGAAGGTTGGTTCTTGGCGTCGAGGTCTGATCTGTCCTATTCGTCAGCGTCTTCATCGTCTTCATCATCGTCGCCTACGTCTTGCCTCTCAGTGATTTCCATCTTAGCTTCTCTAGAATCTCGAGCTCATCGCATCGTCTCTCTCTCTCTCTGACCCCTCGTATCGTCTCGTAGTCCCTTTTTGTAGGACCCGACTCCGCCCTACCGGGGCACCAAACCAATCGCCACTATCGACGCGGCATATTTTCTTGTCAGTCGGAGTGTATCATCTTCGACGGCCGCCTCCGCGGCGCGCACCAGTGGAAAACCCTCTCCCAAGCAAAGCCGAGCAAGTAACAATGTACGAACTCAAGCCTCGGGGAGAGAGATGAGCGAGCCGTCCGAAGACACTTTAATTACGGGCGAACAATGATCCCGATGCTTCCGACAAAGTGCGTCGTCTATAATGGCCAACGTCCGGAGTTTGCAATGTTGTGCCAAAATGTTTTCGGCCGAACCAATTGTCCCGGTTTCTGGTACTTGATGAGCCGATGTCCAAAACGAGTCCCGACGTCTCCATGCAGCTCGGTGTCTCCCGCGAAATTCTTCGTAGCCGCCGCTTCTTCGTCATTCGCCACCGCGGGCGACCATCCGCGCAGAACGCATTAATGAGGCCTGGAGCCACGGAGGCTGAGGGAAAGTTATACTGGACCCGGCACAGGCGCTGTGGCAGCGTCGCATTCCCCGAACCAACAAAAGGTGCTCTGCTGCTCCCCCATGCCACAAATCTAAAGGGTGCGCGCGGATTATCTCCACCGTACACTGTCACACAGTCTGTAGACGACAAGGCGCCGCCCGGTCCTCGTGTTTGCGCGGGGGAGCCCGTGAGAATAGTAGAAATAATCCTTCCAGGTACTCCACTCCGGAATGCCCATTCGTCACACCGAAGGCTTTCTTTTCCCTTTTTTTTATGCGTGGGTTTGAGAAACGAGCGAAAACATCCTGAAAGGACCGGGTTCAGTCCGTGTTTGCGGGGACGTCACAACTGTGAGTGTCTCGTATTGTGTGTGACCACCTTCCTGGTGGAATCATACACTGAATCTCGTGTTGTGTGCAATACGAGACACATTACGAGACATTGGTGACCCACCGGGGTCGTCAATGCAGTCTCTGCCATGGTAGAGTGGATCTTTGCTGGAAGATATTGACGGTGAAAGATGTGGCGGTCCATTGTTGTGGCTATTGTTTGCCTTGCCGGGCAATGTAACATGGCTAAAGCGGCCCATGGTGGGTCACTGCTGCTCAAGTTTTTTTGCAGTTGATAATTTGCCATCTGTAAAAGAATGCGTCATTTTCATTTCCTTGAGCTATGAGTTCTTTAGCTTTGGATAATTACAAATGGAAGATGGAAAAACGTTCAGGACTGCAAAGGGATAATGTTTGAAGGTTGAGAGGGTGTATTGGAAAACTTCAGGGCAACGTACGAAACTATTTCTGACCAAGCCAACTAAAGCAGCTTCGTGTTGTCTCTCTTTCTGGACATATTTCCTTGTTAGCATTTTCTGATCCCGCGCACACGTGCAGCTTCCAGACGGTCGCACCATCAAGCTGGGCGGCGAGCGGTTCGAGGCGCCGGAGGCCCTCTTCCAGCCACACCTCATCAATGTGGAGGGGCTGGGCATCGCGGAGCTGCTTTTCCAGACGATCCAGAGCGCGGCGATGGACGTGCGACCGAAGCTGTACAAGTACATCATTCTGTCGGGGGGCTCGACCATGTACCCGGGTCTGCCGAGCCGTCTTGAGCGCGAGATCAAGCAGCTCTACCTGGAGCGTGTGCTCCGGGGGGACACGGAGAAGCTCATGGTATGCATTTCCGAGATCGGCGCATGGCATCTACAAGCACGTTGGGTTCATTGCATGGGTTGATAATTTTCAAGATCCAGTGCAACAGAAGGTTAGAAGCCTGGTTCACCGCATTGTGGATACAGTAAAATCTCGGTATAATGAATTTTAGGGGACCGCGGCCATGAGTTCGTTATTTTAAAAGGTCATTATAGTGAAAGCCCTATAATTAATCATAAACACTTATTTTCCACCGACCCAAACGACTTACCTTTATAACGGTAGTTCTTTGAACTCGTGTTTCACAAAAAAAAAAAAAAAAAAAAACCAAATGTGCAAGTGAACACCAAAAAATGCATGTTTTCCTAAATAGTCTTTTTTTTTTTTTGTCGCATGCAGTGCATATTTTGCAGTGTGACAGCCTCCAGCTCATTCACACATTCTCCACTTTCTCCTTAGTGAAAATTGCTGTCGCAAGCAGAGATGAACTCATTGTAGTAGCACTGCAGCGCGAATGCCGACTTGCTTTGTTGATGCTTATCGTAAAGATTATTACTTACACGGCTGACAAGGCCTCCTCAGAGAACACCTATACCCCTTTGGCCTCCTAGATCACATGCAGAAGTGACAAAAATATGAAAAACCCGAAGCGTCGCGGCTGTCATCGCCTCTTTTGAAGAAAAAAAAAGAAGAGCTATGAAAAGAAAATTGCTCGCGTTTTGATTTCTGCAGCCCTCGCTGTCTCAGGTTTTCCGCGCACATGCTTCTTGCTCCGCAACTCCCACTCTGCCTCGCTGACCTTGCCCTCCCGTGTTGCCCTCGTCCTCTGCGCTTGTAAACCTGCAGCGTCGGCGTTTCAATAAATAAAAAAGAAAAAAAGAAAGTCCTTTCGTTTTCTTTTTTTTTTCCTCCACACCATCGCGCATCTTGCGAGAGGCAAGGCATTCGTTCGCTGTGTCGTCTGCTTGGGTACCACTCCGGTGGTTGCGAGAAATTTCAGAACATAAGTTCGTAGTGCTGAGGCATTGTTAATATAATGCGGAACTAAATTACGGCTCGTTATTCTGAAAAGTTCGGTATTCTGAAGTACGTAGTAGTGAAATAGTTTGACATTGAAACTATTAGCAGCCTGCACGGAATTTTGTAAATGTTCAATCAATCTGAAAAGTTCGTTAAAGTGGTCTTTATTCTACCGAGATTTTACTGTATTAGGAAACCCCCTTATAGAACTTCAGAGTGAGGTACAAACGGAGGTGTCATAGGAAACCTCATTAAAATCGCACATCTTGTAGGACTACTAGGGAACAAAATGCCGTCATGGCATTTTCTTGAAGTGATGCATGGCAAAGACTATCATAGATATAGTTGAACCTCATTATAAAGAGACATGCACTAGGGAGCAATTTTTGTATTTATATGAGGTGTCTCTTATACCCGTTTGTCTGTTGCTTCAGTCTCTTATGAGGGGGTTTGACTTTGTCTATAACGATGCCTTTCTGGCACTGATATTCCTTTCTGCGTATGGAGCATAGCCTTAAAGATGTTGATTTTGCATGCAGAGGAAGCCATTACTGGTGGCACCGCTTATTGGCTCTTCTTGAGGCAAATTAAGTTCCTAAGTCAAGAATGTTACAAGTTGTGCAACTTCATCTTTCTCCCTCTCCTCACCACCTGTCCGAGCAGAAGTTCAAGATCCGTATCGAGGACCCTCCCCGACGCAAGGACATGGTTTTCATCGGCGGCTCCGTCTTGGCCGAAGTGATGAAGGACAATGACAAGTTCTGGATGAGCCGCCGGGAGTACGAGGAGAAGGGCGTGCGCGTCCTGGACAAGCTGCTGCCCGGCGCTGCCGTCATGTAACCGGCACCACCGTCACATTGCCGTCACTTCCACCCACATCACTGCCCTGCGACGCCTCTAGGCGCCATGTGCCAGCGCATTCGGGGATCCTTGACGCGGAAACTGCGGCGCAGATTCAGGTGCGACGTTAATGCTGTTGAACAGCAAACGTGGTGCACTTATCGGCCCTACGGCGGGTCTGTGCAATCTGCGCACTTCGATGCGCCGTGTTCATGTGTGGTCGCGACTTATAGTGGGCATGGCAGGGACCGCTCGTAGTGTTGTAGAGGCACCCTCCAATGCTTTCCTATGCGACAAGTTTTCGGGAAGGTTTGCAGTATTTCGAAAGTTCTGCTTAGCGGAAGCACTGGCGGGAACTCAAGCGTTCTCGCAGAGTTTGCGGAGGCTGTCTGCTGTGGTGGCCATCTTGCCGCACTGAAGTAATTCCTAAACCACGATGAGGTTGTAGCGAAGTATGGCGTTGTGGCACTGTCGGCCGGTATTTCGAGAACATGACGACAAGCAACTTGCGCCCATCTACACGTGCGGGTGCACGTCAGTTCGCATCCTCTCAGACAAATGTTGCTTCCTTCCAGTTTCCAATCTATTAGGCCTTTCAGATCACTGCCTGTACTGTTGTTTTTAAGTCTTGTTCTAATCACCAATTCGTTTGCGTAGCTTGTACTACCTTACTTCTATTCTAGATCTTTCATCGCTCTCTATCTAGTTGACGATGTAGCTAACTTTTTAGACTAGTGATTACGCATTGTTAGCACGTTGCTTCGAAGAAGCGTGCAGTTAATTCTTTACGCAGTGTACATAATACAGTTGTTCTGCCCCCCGAGAATCGTTTCGAACACTACGGGTGTGTGTGAGTAGGTGTTGGTCACATTTGCTGGCAAATGAGCTTGTTAATTCCTCATTACCACCCGTGATACTTATTCGCGGGGCAAATTAGTGCGCGACTTGTAAATATTGTGTACGATAATCTAAGTAAACCGGCGATATTGTGGTGAGAGGATATGTTGGGATTACTTTGCCGACCCTTCTTGTTTGTCTGGTCATTTCATTCCCATGGTCGGCTTTCTCGTTCGGTGGCTTTTGCGAAGACCAGTGCCACGTCGTATTTTCCTGTTGTGATTCAGCGGCGAGCGCTTCAAACCGTTCGCACAATATAATAATTATCTTTTTTTTCCTATTTTTTATTTGAGAGCACAAACTAGTTGTTCTCCTGAAAAACACTTTTGTCGGAATGATTGCATCGTTGTCATTTTTATTTTATAATAAACATTCACTTCCTGATCAACAAATGTCATTCACTTCATTTTACGTCAGTGTTGTGGAACACACACGCCACCCCTTTAACCTGAATATTGAGCAATAAAGCTACGGGTTTCACGCTCCGACTGCACGTTTGTCGTTGGTGGCTACTTGAGTGCCAAATTGGCTACCTTACGGCCCCAACCAGCAGGCTGGTGCACAGCAAGGCACACAAGCATGACGTGCCTGCCAATACAAATTTATGTATTGTGGCAAAAATGTAACTAACCTCCGTATTCAGAAACACTTCTTGACTTGACTTGCCACCGCCTTCAATAAAACGTGTTTGTGCTGCATTGGAGGTGGTGGCAAGCCCTGGAGCATCTCTGAATACAGGGGTTAGGCTTGTCTGCTCACCACCCGTGTTGATACTGTACACAAATTACCAATTTCGATGCGCAGTGTGTGTTCTTGTGCGAACTTGACTATAAGCGGAGAACCACGACAAAACAAATCTCGACTGGTGTTGGTAAACTCTATTAATAAAGTTCTGTCTGCCAATTTCAGACAGAACTGCCTGAAGATTTAACATACTGACTTATTAGCTGTAATGAAATAGTTTATGCTAGACACTCTTTGTCTGGAATGAACTATTTATTCGACATAAGCTATACTTGTGGTGCACTGAATTTATTACAAGTTTATGGAGGGTAGTGCCAGGTCCACCGGCCCCCTGTGGTCCGGTCGGGCCGTTTCCCGAAGGCCCCTGAACTCCAGGCAGCAGCATAGCTCATGCCACTGGCCGCACCCGGAAGGGACTGAAAAATGTGTTCCGTTTAACAGGAGTTTCATTTACTGAGAGGTGAACCGGAGTGCAGTATGCAGGGATGAAACCAATCGCATCAGAGGCAGTTGTTCATTCCATTTAAGCAGCAGTTACGTTTTAACAGATTTCCGTTTACTGAGAGTCCACTTTAGCAATGGCTTGAAGACCAAGCAAATGGGGATAACTGATCTTATTTCTATCTTCTCCCTTACCCAAAACATTATCTATTCTTCAATAATAAAACTGCTACTACTAATAACGTATCCATTTAATTTTGCTACAAACTCGATAATAAAATGAAATGACATGGCAACTAGCTTGAATTCTGGCTACTTTTCAAATCCACCCAATGGCAGCCCTGCCCAAGTGGCCTCTGTTAACAGATTACTTTTACACAACTATATTTTGTAATATTACTAATAAGTGCCAGTTATAAAAAAAGTAACAAAAAATTGTGTCTTAAGGCAGAGAGGCTTCTGCTACCTGTAACGAATGTGCGTCAACATTGCAGATTTCGTGCTGAGTGGTTTGTTTACGTAGGTGTTTCGAATGGGAGAACTGTTAAATTGGTTTTCTTTCTGTAATTCTACAAAGCCTATTTGTCACTAAAGAAATGTTGCGCGCGTGGTGCACTGGTCAAGGAAGGAGAGTTGGTGGGGAAACCTGTTTCAAGTTTGCCTTCCTTCTTTTGTGCCGTTGCGCGCTTTTTCAGTTGTTAGTTGGCGTTTGTGGTGTCCTAACTTTCTTTATGTGTCTGCGTTTGCATGCCGTCTCTCTTCTAGAATGAATACGTAACAGCTAGCTAAGCTCTGTGTATTTCTGATATTTCAAGTAATTATGTGAAGAAATTGAATGTGCCATTGTTGGTAGTGGTGTTGCTTGGACAGTGAGAACCCTGGGGTGCACTAGTCAGACAGTGTTGGGGCTGAGCCATTTGGCTCGCCGAGATCACAACCAGGTGTTGAGGTGTGCGACTTATTCTGGTTACTGCTCAGTCAGTCAACTAATCTGTAAGTCTTGGGTGCGGTCCTGACCACATTGAAATTTCCGTTGTGGGGACAGGCCATGGTAGTTCAGCAGCTAAGATGATGTGCTGCCAAGCTCGAGGGAGTGGGTTCGACTACTTACCATGGCAGTCGCATTTCAGTGGGATTAAAATGCAGAAGTTCTAATAAACTTCAATTTAGGTTTGCATTGAAGAGCCCCAGGTGGTCAAGGTTTTCGCATTGTGCAAATTTTTTGTGCACTATAGCTGGATATAAGGTTCGGTGCAGCCCTACCTGGATGACCAAAGCGCAGCAGTCGAGTGGCTTCATGATTGAAGAAATAGTCATGCTCATGTAGTCGCCAATGTCATGTTTGCAAAAGGCCGGGGCTGCAGGCTGTGCGATTCATGCAGTCAGCCTCATGCAATGAATGGAAAAACTGGCATCCACCCATTTATAGCAGTATGCAGATAGCAAAAAAAGTCCATATGTGTTTCCCAAGAAGTGAAGCTTCCTTTACAAAATGCAACTTAAGAAAGCAGAAATCGTCCACATTACTTTTTTAAAAGTGGACGATTTCTGAAGTTGCATTTTATATAGGAAGGTTTACTCCTTGAAAAATGCATATGGACTTCTTCTTAATCTGCATACTGTTATAAATGGGTGGATGCCAGTTTTCTCTTTCATTGTCCACTCTGCGGGATGCCACAGAACTGATCTACGAGAACGTCTTCTGCATATGAGGAGGCTCTGGAGAGGCATCTTATCACTTCACCGGGCAACAAGCCTTGCGACCAGTGATGTAGACTTATGGTATACCTTGAAGTGTTGAATGATGGATGTTTGTAGGACGACAAAGGCTTCGACAGAGGCATATTGTGTGAGAGCCATTGGCATATCGATAGCAGTAATGCTGTGCACCATATAAATGTGAAATAGGTAAGTTGATTGAGTCCAATAGATCTGTGAAGTTGAAGCTATTCTAAATAACTTTCGGCCCTTCCAATTGTTTGTGAAGAAAGATGAGCAGCTGGAAACTGTCCAAGCGTTCCAACGGCGAGGCGCTGACATGCATTTGGCTTCAATTGGCTGACCATTGTCGGTGGCTTTGACTTAGGCTCTGGGGCGGCGTGCACGCTTAAGCTTCTGGGTGAGCGAACATTTCTCGTACTGCCACAACTCTCCTTTGGAACGTATGACAGGGGTCCTACCTATCGCAAATCTATAAAAAACAACTGAACACGTCACTGATGCAATTTCTTGCACCATGATATAATATGCAGATCCCATTGGTTGATGAGACATGTCGGAGGACGAAGTCGTACGGCTACGCCAATTGCGGCGCGTGTACTAGTACAAATGCGCTGATGCGGCTGCCAGTGTGAGCTAGGTTGTGTAACAAAGATGCAAAACATAAGGTCCCGTAGAAAGTGCAGTGTAATGCACACCTTTTATGGTCCGAGCTTTGAAAACTGCACCAACGCAGCATCACTATGAGATGGTGTGATGTGTCCGACTAAATGAGGGTAACTCAGTCAGTGCTGCTTTTCCTGGGAGCAAAGTTGCGACATCTTTTGTCCAAGTCAGCACCATATTGTGTCAAGTGACTAACGAGGACGCCAACTCTTCGTAAAGGTTAGTAAACAACCCCGAGGTCTGAAAAATTGTGAAGAGAAATATGTGCACTTTTGCTTTGTGACCTTGCTTCCGTAAGAACTTTGCAAATATGTGCTATATTAAGGAGGTTACAGTGGTTTGAACATCGGTTTCAGATGGCTTAATATTTTTATGCGGCCTCGCCACCCTTCTTCCTCACAGGAAGGAGAAGGCATAGCCCGTCGTTGTGACTGGTTTAGACCAATCGATGAGCTGTGTGCTATGTCAAGTCGATCGACGACTTTGCTTCACTGCATGTGAAAGAAAAAGTGGCCAGGCGTAGAAAATGAGCGCGAGAATTGTTTTTCAAAATGGAGGCTCTGCTCGGCGCGCAGCGCTGTAATATTCGGAAGACATGATCCCCACAATCTACTTACGAATTGCCGAGCTTCTTTGGGGGGCGTAAAAAAAAAACGCCAGGGCTACGCGGGAGGCACAGCCCAATCGCAGAAAAAGCTGGAAGAGCGGCCATTCACAACCTTTTATAAACACTTATTGGGCAACTGCAGCAAGCACACTTGTTAGGTACCTACTACAACATTAATAATCACAATTTCTAGGCAGTAGGCCGGCATTCGCTATTCTTCATCATTCTTCTGAGAAGCGTGGTATTCGCTAAACACTTGCAAGGAATTTTGTGCCAATTGTTCATGCAGTGGCTGACGACCATGAAGAATTGCACCTGAAGTGGGTATGCGCCACATTTAGTAGGTGATCAAGAAGAAGCTTTTGTAATAGGTTGGAGCATTGGATGACCCACTCATTATGCTATTCTCATTGTGATGCCTTGTTGTTCCTTTGCTGTTTTAAAACGCTTTATTACTCATATTAATGCGACTTCTTTCCTGACATCAAGCCTGCCTATGTGAACAAGTCCCAAAAGCCAATGTGGCTCAGTGGTAGAATACTGGGCTGGCACGCAGTGGACCCGGGTTCGAGCCCCACTGTGACCTTGCCGTTTTTACAGCGAAAGCTGTTATAAAATCACTTTTCGAGTCACGCGCAGTTGCATGTTGTCCGCAGCCGCCGCTGTCTGTAACTAAATCGCGCGAAATTAGAAGAAAAACCTTGCACCAATTACACAGTGGGGCTTGAACCCGGGTCCGCTGGGTACCAGCCCAAAGTTCTACCACTGAGTTATGTCGGTGCTTGTAACTTGTCAAACTTGCCTTAGGCAGGCTTGATGTCGGGAAAGCAATCGTGTTAATATGACTTATAAAGCGTTTTACAACAGCGAAAGAACAACCAGTCGTCGCACAATGCGAATAGCGTAATGAGTGGGCCGTCCAGTGCTCCAATCCAATACAAAATCTTGTTCTTGTTTCCCTATTGACTGTGGCTCATACACACTTCAGCCTTAATTCCTCATCGTTGTCAGCCACTGCATGGACAATTGCCGCAAAATTCCTTGCGAATGTTTAGCGGATACCAGGCTTCTCAGAAGAATGATGAAAAATAGCATAGCGAATGCCAGCCTACTACCCAAAAGTTTATTATTAAATGTCCTAAAGGGTACCAAGCTAGTGTGCTCGCAGTAGTTACTCAAAAAGTGGTTTAAAAAAGTTCTGAGAGCTGCCCTTCTAGCTTTCGCGCTGAGACTGTGCTGCGCCTATTGCGCAGGCCTGGCGTTTTTTACTTACCGAGTTTGTTTTCTCATTCCGTGCGATAGTAGTTATAGAGACCGGCTGCGGCACACAACTACAGTGCCACGCATGACTCTGGTTGTGATCTCACAACAGCTTTCGCTGTAAAAATAGTTAGAGCCTGTTCACTGGTCTTTTAATGTTCAAATAGATAAATTGTTCAAATAGATAAATAAAAAGTCTAATGGCGCTCATTTCACCCTCATAGCCTTATCAGAGGAGAAAATTAAAGTTTCGCGTTCATATTTTGAGCCGAAACTTTCATACGTGATATCGTTGATTTCAATGAGTGTTTTTCGTGTTTTGGCGACATAGGCTCAATAGAATTTCTTGGAGCTTTGTATGTCTAGTCTATGGCCCTAACAACAAATAATTTACTTCGGTTTTACAAACTTGTTGGGCCTAGTAGATACCCTCAAAAAGTATGGAGTTTGGTGCGGGAAATTCAAGGTGGCAGTGTCACCCACATTTTCTTGTTGCGCATTTCCCGGCTAAGAAGCGTTTTCTTATGGTAACAGTGGTAATTTTGTAATTGTGAAGTAATTTACTCATATGATAAATATGCTCTTTTTCTTTCTTGTCTTTTTAATGGAAACAACGAACTAGTGACATTTCATTCAAAATGCCTGTCGTAGCACTTGTCTGCGTGCTCGGAGAAGCGTGGCAGTTCTCTTGATGAGTACTCTTTGATCCTAGCTCGCAATATGTTCGCCATAAAATACTGTGCATTCCAAAATAGTGATGCATAGAGAGATGTGCAAGGTACTTATATAATTCCTGCGAATTCTCGTGTAAGTGTAGTCAACACATTACAGCTTCGCAATGCACACTGCTCTCTTTATTTCATTCACACGCTTCAGGACAAAAACGGGCTTTGGCTGCAGAGCAAAAACACAAAACATGCACTCTATTCAATAATTTACACGAGTGCTAGGCACTGCCTCACATGCACACCTTCCCCAGTCATGCCTTTCTATTTCTGCTGGCTGAGTGATGAAAATGCATTATGCCAGCAACCCTCATTTTCCCCTCTACAAAAAAAAAATTCTAATCTATTTTGTCAATGGCTTGGCTAGCATCAGTTTCACAGTATTCAGCAAACACACATTTTGAAACGGTCCTCCCAAATGTGCGTACAGCTCGAATCTGGGTGCAGTACGTCGACAATTCACAGGGTTAACACATAATTTTTCCTTTGTTTTTCGCTTTCGGTTTCATCGGCACCCCTGCGAGAAATTTGCTCCCGCATTCTCCCATAAAGGCAGAAATAATGCATACATTTGATCACTCCCACCCATCGCTCTGTTCAAACGGAAGGGTTGCGTAATCATCTATCATACTGCCTGCCTCCTCCCCGGCCTCCACCCCTTCCTCCTCGGTAGCCCCCTCTACCTCCACCCCCGCGCCCTTCTCTCTGGTTGTAGCCATCTTGCTTGTAGCCGCCACCACCTCCGTAGCCACCATGGCCACCTCCGTAGCTGTCTTGCTGCCTGTAGCCACCCCCACCGCCTTGGTAGCCTCCATCCCGACCGTGTCCTCCCCTGGATTCTCGCTGGTCCCTCTGGCCATAGCCTCCACCACCACCGTAGCCACCGCCGCCGCCGTAGCCACCACCTCCATAGCCTCCGTCACCCCGTCCGTCCCCGCCTCTCCTTTGGTCATCCCAGCCAGCATTTTGAACACGGCCAGTCGAGTAGCTCGTTCCTCCTCCGCGACCTGCGCGAATGCAGCAGTCCACCATTACAGGCAATACGAGAAGTGACCATTTCATTGTCTGCACATTTGAACGACATGTGAAACCTCATGGGGTTTCTTATGCATTTTTCCGAGATGATCCGAAGGCAAAAGCTATCACTCAGTCGACGTATTGATTCCCCACCTGCAAGCTTCTCGCACCAAACGTAATTCCGCACTGCCTGCATGATTGGCCTACCTCCAACCAAGCAACGATGTCATGTGATGATGTCATCGTGAGACGTCTTCATGACATATCAAATTTAAGTGATGCGTGACATCACGATGACGTCATTACATGGTGCTATTTTTTCCATCACTTGTGCTGACGGCAACAGTCACTTTTCGCATTTGACGAGGCATCTAAACCACCCACATTCTAGAAGTCCCTTCACTCAACGCTTTACCTCGACCTGAGATGGTCAATGGGACGGCCATCTCTAGGCAGAACAAGCCATTGCATCAGCGATAACCTGCAGCAATTTTCGAGAATTCAGCATCATTTTTAGCCAAGCAGCGGCACTCCGCTCAGCTTGGTGAAATGAAAGACTCGATTCGAGTCGAGGCTTGCTAGAAAATACAGGGATAAGGCTTTCAATCTGATAATTTGGGACAAGAGGCCATCTCGCGAAATGCGTTGAACATGCATAGAGTATGTAGGTGTAAACCCATGTGCTCTCGCTGTCATGGCAATTTGGGGTGGTTACACACACACTGCTGGTGGTCTTTGCACTGGAAAACAATTGCAAAAAGTTTCATAATTATTTCCTAGCGACTTCAGCACACTTCTAACTATGCTACCTCTGACACCAGTATCTGTGGTTTCAGCGGCATCGACACAAAGTACACAACATGGAAAAGCTTTCGCACATTTAAATGCCTTAATTTAAGGCTATGTAATGCACATGCCAGTGCTTTTATTTCCAGTGTCTCCAGTTTTTTACATATCCGCGAAATTTTGACTTGGGAACACTTGCAGCATAGACAACACCACTTCAGCGGCCAGATCTACAACGACATGACAGAGTTATCATGAACAATCGCACATAGCAGCCGTTACATCAGGAAAACAATGCCATGTTTCAATATATGAAAACTGTATATAAATAACAGCAAACCTGAAAAATTAGCATTCACAACAGGAGCAGGAAACTCAGTGAATTTGAGTTTTCAGTAGATGCATGCTATTTTTTTGTGTGTGTGGAGAATAAAGTCATCTTATAAATTATCATCAACATTTAGACATTAGTACACAAGAACTGTTAAACCTAGAACAGCAGACAAAACAATACACCTCTGAATTAGTGGATCTACTAATGCTAAACACAGTAAGCAAGCTCTTTAGAAACGGAACAAGCTAATTTTCGCACTGTAAGGCAACAGAGATCAGCACCACATTTCTTGAATCTATTGCAACAGGTGCCTCGTATCTGAGGATTTTAATTAAAATTGGTGAATAAGGGAACCCTCGTGCTCGAATTCCGAGAAACAGTGGAAACCACCCATGCGAAGCAAGGCTTGCCAACGAAAACAAATTAGGCTTGCTAGAAGCCTGAACGAAAGCCAACAGCAAAAAAACTAAGGAAAGTAGAGGTGACGTACATTTATAGTCTTCAAGTGTAGTTAGTGCAGTAATTGTGATACAAATGTGAATAAACTGAAGCAGACAAAAAGACAAGTTGCTGCGGACACCTACGACCTTTGAATAACCCGCTCGATGCCCTAACATTTAAGATACAGCAGTGGTCGAGGGCCTGTGGTGCCAGCTGGCAAGAAAAAGTGTTCCACATTCGCTGTCATGGCTATGAGCGGCACTGGCTAACATTCCCAGGTTAGCATTCCCAGGTTAGCATTCCCAGGAATAATATCCAATAAAGCAAGCGCGGGAGAAAGACTGTCGCTGCAGCTCAGTCGGTAGAGCAATAGCATGCTTACTGGGAGGTTAAAGGTCCGGTCCCTGTCAGCGGCAACTTGTCTTTCCATACTTGTTAATTTCTTCACATTTATATCGCAACTAGTACAATGCAGTAAAGAGACCATGAGTGATTACCCCTACAGCTTGCCTGGTCTCACTGTCCTAATGAAGAAAACCGGGCCTTGATCAATTCTGTCAGAAACCTAGCGTTATGCTTCAGGAAAGCCCAGAAATGTTACTGGCATGGTGTGTTTCTATGGACATGCTACTCTGCCCTCTTTAAACTCTTGACTTGACCGAACTAGCACTCACCGCCCTGCGGTCCATCGGAACGCTTCTGCCAGCTGGGCATCTCGGGAGGAGGCGGCTGCTGCTCCTCGGGACGTCCGCCCGGTCGGGCACCATCCCAATCAGCACCCGGTTCACGGCGCTCTTGGTGTTCTTGCGCACGCCCGTGCCGCTCGTTTTCTCCAGCATCGTCAGGTCTGTGGGAGGGATCCACATTTTAGCCGAAAAAAAAAGTATAGTACTCACCTAGGATCTCTTTTGGACGTTGCCGAAGGAATGCGTTAAAACCACGATGTAGTTATGAAGGGCGCCGTAATGAAGGGCTCTGAAAATTTCGACCACCTGAGGTTCTTTATCGTCTGCCTTACTCTAAGCACATGGGGCCTTTAGCACTTCACGTTCACCTAAATGCGGCCACGGCAGCCAGGATTCGATCCCGCGACCTTCTGGCCAGCAGTCAAGTATGCGAACCACTAGACTACCGTGCCGAGTTTTTTCGGGTGACATCAATCTTTTTCTTCCTTACTAGCATTCAGTAGTTTCTTAAACAAGCCCTAAGAAGGAGCATGCTACAATAACTGAAACGAGTGTTTAGCGTCATGTTTTCGCCAAGTCGGAATTTTCGTAGTGTGCAAAACCTTCACTATCACCTTTACATGTTGCCAGTAGAGAGGGCTTTTACAGTCAAAGTATGTTATAGCAAACATTTCACAGCTATGAATTTCAAGATACAGAATATTTCAAAATAATGTACAGAATTTCATCACCCTTGCATCTCAACAACATTTTAATGTAATGAATTATGAACTTGAGAAGTTCCCCATGGCAATGTAAAAACAATGCCCAGCACTGAACCATTCATTGTCGAGTAAAATTTCAACAGCACGAAGAAAACAAGAACGGACAAAAAGGTGGCGATCCGCACTTCAAAGGATGCATGTTACATGGGGGACACTTGTTATCCCAGTGAAAACTTCAACTGGCATGACAATTTTTCTTAAAGCTTGTGTGGATATCTCATTTTTGCTTTGTATCAAAATTAAAGCCCTCTCTCTGGCAACATGTAAAGGTGATAGTGAAGGTTTTGCACACTACGAAAATGCTGCGATTTGCATAGAACTGTGGCACAAGTGGCATGTGTTGAAGAATTTTTAGAAGTTGCTTCTTTTCTTGTTAACATGTGAACAGTTTTAGTTTCAGAGTTAGCTTATTTTCAAATATTTATTATTGCAGTAAACATTTGCTTACAGTTACTTCTGCAGCTTATATATGAGGATTAGCAGCAGTAAAATTCAGTTATATTTTAATGCTATTCACCACAGTTTGCATGTATCATATGCACTACAAGTTTGTTTTTTTCTGCCAGCAACAAGTTTCACTGAACAGTAAATATTGGCTGAATCATAATATATGTCTGAATGTTCGGAAACACAAAATGTACACATAAGCATACTAGCATTCTCGTCACTTTTTCTGATTTTAAAGTTTAGGAAATATTCAGCAATGCATTGTCAACAAAGAACATTTGGAATTAAAGCTCGCAGATGTATTACATCCAATGCATTGTCAACTAACAACACTTGGAAGCAAAGCTCGCTGATGAATTACTTAGAAACTGAATTTGTCCCACTCTGTAAATTACAAGTCACGTGATTAAATCGAAGATTACACAGTCCGATTGGATCTCACCTTCCCGAGCAGCAAGCACGTGACCCACGCTGACATTGGGCTCGGTCTCCATGAGTTTTCGCCTCGGCTGGTATGCCGTCATGATTTTGTCCTCCATGCCCTGCGTGGATTCATCGACAGCACTGTGGGCGACACTGCATTTACAAACACATTTGCAAACATGCCGTGATAATTGTTTCACTAGCCTTGGCCTGGTCAGACAGAAAGATAGGATCACCGCCTTTACTCATTTGTAACACACGCGCTCTGCTGCAACGTGCACTTGGTTTTCATGATTAGCGACAAAAAATAAAATGCACGTGAATTTTAAAGCATACCCTAAAATTCATACTTCCTGGCAGCTATAAGCAGAATGTTCTCGATAGTTCAGTCACTGTATTTGACAGAAACTTAAAAAGTCTACAGCATTTCCCATTCAAAGGCAGACGCATCCAAGCCCGCAATGCGCAAACAGTGTAAAATGATGTAAATGATGTAAAATAATGTCTGGAGACTGTCACAGTCTGGCTCGTGACAGTCTCCGGAGAGTGCTACTGCAGAGTGCACGAGTAAAAAAAAAGAGGCGGTTGTTGCTACTCAGGCAAAAGAGAGAAATCTATAGCTGGTTACAACGTAACAATAAAAATAAAAAACAATCAAAATTCGGGGTGGAACACGTACGGTAGTAGGTGGAGCTTAGATTTATTCTTGGGTAGTAAACAACTATAGAAACTTTACACCACTCTGTAAGCAAGATTGTCCAGATTCTCTAAGTCAGAGTTCCAGTGGAAATATTGAATGAAATCTTCACATCACATTGCAAAGTGTGCACACCTTGAGGCGCTCGGCCCAGAGGAAGGACTGGATGGTGACGTCGAGACGCTTGATGAGCGTCTCCCGTCGCACGCGGTACTCGCCCTGCATCTGCTCCTGCAGCTTGGCCAGCGCGAACCACTGCTTCTCCGTGAGGCCGCCCGCAAACAGCGGCTTGCTCATGACCGCGGGGCCTGCCTTGGGAACCAGCTCGCGCACCTGCGTGCAGGAGGTAAGTACAGGGTTAGGAACTTCTTCTCAGAGAACAATGAACATACAGGTGAGAAAACTAGAAAAAAAAACACAATTGAGGACCATTCTATTACTATGACAGGTGCGCGGCCAGCCAAGTAGTCTGGTGCAATGCATTGTCATCGCAGCAAGTTTCTCACCATCACATATAAAAGCATCACACCCTGTAGAGGCCCGCAGTTCTTGTTAGACACAAGCCCATAGCAGATGTACAAAAATAAAAGACTATCCTTGCTCAGAGCACCATACGGTGATATCTTGGCAATCTTCCCGAAATAGGTGGCATCTCTGTGAAATACAGTAAAACCTCGTTAATTCGAAATCACTGGGGCCGCGAGAAATCTTCTAATTAAGCAGGTTGACGAATTAACAGAACATACAAAAAGTGGGATGCAAAGAACTTCGAAATATTCAAAGTAATCAGTCCTCATTGTTTGCTGTGCCGGCTAGCTTGCAGCTCCAAGGGTTGTGTTTTCCAGCAATACATGGTCTCAATTTCGCCGCCAATATGGAGGAATGGTGGGCCTCACTGCTGCCACAAAAAAATAAACGCCGTCGAGAGCGATTGAAATGTGTGCCCGCGGAAAACAAGACACTTTCACTGCAACAAAGCAGTGACACGTGTGCATCATGTCGCCTGCTCCTCGCTGCGTCAGCCCGTCATGATGCGAACATTCGTGCATTATTTCTGTTGTAATTAGGAATTTAATAATTGCCCAGACAACGAAACACGCGATGTATTTTGGCTGGAAAAAATGTTCTTAGAAACTTTTGAACTTAGTTTTCGAAGTAGGTGTTGCTGGCCAAAACTCCGCCAGCAGTGCAAGGACGCGAATTGCTGAAGCAACCGGCAATCGGGGGTTCGCATACATCCCGATTTCCGCCAAACTGTCCTTTATAAATTTCTTAAGGATCTCGGAAAGAATAGGTAAACCATGACCCGCTGACATTGCGAGAAACATGCAATAAGCTGCCCGCGTGTCATCGCTGTGTTGCAGTGAAGCACATTTCGATTGACCACGGACTAGTACCAGCCACTGCTTCAAATTATCCAGTCAAACTTACATTGCAAAATAACCGAGTTCGAACTAATGCGGTTTTACAGTATGTAATAGTGCAACAAGGTTAGAATAAAGACAAAAAGAAGAAAAAGGACACGATGCTGAAACAAAGAAGAAAAGGATAGAGTGCTGTATCCAGAGGAAACAATGCCGTATTCTAACTCTGTTGTGCTGTTAATTATTCTGCAATAAACATCCACTAGTTAGCCCAAGTAACGATTACGCTTCAGGCCGTTCCGTGGCATAGCGGCCCGCGCTGAAGTGAAACCATCATTTTCAGGAAGGTTACATGCAGTAAATTATACACCTCCATTTGATTGTTTCAAGCTGCTTCGAAATTTTGGAAAATTTACCTTCATGCCGATGAAATTTGAGTGCTGCACTATTTTTTCTATTGTTCCAAGTGCTCAAATATTCACACAAGCTTGTAAGTTAGGCATGACCCACCCTAACCACTTTGCTGCTGAGATGCTGCACTGCTGATTTTGAGAAGTACAAATTTGATTAAAAACATTAAGGTGAAGTTGCACACTTTGTGAGATTTCAAGTTTTTCTAAAAAGGTCAAGCAGTTACCTGGACTTAGGATCATCCTCGGCTCTCATTTTTTTCCAAACTCTTTCTTTCCAACAAGTCCTTTTTTAACCACCTTTCAGTTCAAAGACATGTCTATATACACAAGCTTTTACCTAGTGTACCTTTTCAGAACTGATTCGATTCCTTCCCCATTATGCATTTGCGATATTGTCACGTCGCTTCAGGGGGTGTCGGCAAGATTTATTGACGTCTGAGCAACAGGGCTCTAACCAAGCGCGTCGGTTGGGCTTGCTTGCCAGAGCAGGGGGGGGCCCACGCGCACTTCTTTCTTCTCTGTGGTGTGAGCCTTCACCTTGGCATACGACCCACTACTAGAAGTAGGTGGCAATATTCCTCCTCAACAAAAAAAGAGCATCGTCCCGATGCTGTAAAGTTATTGAAAAAAAACCAAAACAAGGTAGCTTAAACAATAAAAAAGGGCACCAATAATCAAATGTTAGACGCGATAAGTTCACCAATGATGAGGCAATTGTCGGAGCACAAATAAAAAAAACACAGGAAAAGTGGTCTTTTAGGAACGCGCAAAATAAGGCTTCATGCGCACCACGTGAACTATGTCAGAGGTCGGTTGTTTTCGTTGTACCCATCGTGATGACGTAGCGTCCGGAACCACTTCGTAGTTTACGTCGCTCACGCGGCGTAATACTTTAAATGGACCAAAGTATCTGCTCAGCAACTTTTCGGAGAGGCCACGGCGTCGAACAGGGGTCCAAACCCAAACTTGGTCTCCCGGACTGTAAGATACGTCACTGTGACGCATATTGTAACGTCGTGCATCAACCTGTTGCTGCTGATCAATGTGTAGCCGGGCGAGCTGGCGAGTTTCCTCGGCACGCTCTGCAAATTCTTCTGCGTCAGTTGTTAATTCATCGTCGCCTTCACAAGGAAGCATCGCATCCAGCATCGTCTGAACTTCGCGGCCGTAGAGAAGGCGAAACGGTGTAAATCGGGTTGTTTCTTGAACGGCGGTGTTATAAGCAAACGTCACATAAGGCAAATTGCGATCCCACGTTTTGTGTTGGACGTCGATGTACATGGAGATCATGTTTGTGACTGTCTTATTTAGTCGCTCGGTTAAGCCGTTGCTCTGCGGATGGTAAGCAGTCGTCGTTCGATGCCTAGTGTTACTTAGTCGAAAAACTTCATCAATAAGCTGTGCAGTGAACGCTGTTCCTCTGTCGGTTATCACTGTAGATGGAGCACCGTGGCGCAGAACAATGTGGCACATGAACTGTGCTACCTTAGAAGCCGTGGCTCGTGGTATCGCCTGTGTCTCAGCATAGCGGGTCAAATAGTCAGTTGCAACAATGACCCATTTGTTGCCGTCGAACGATAAAGGAAATGGGCCGAGAATGTCCATGCCGACTTGGTCAAATGGCTTGTGGGGTGGATCAATTGGCTGAAGTAATCCAGCCGGCTTGCTTGGTGGCGACTTTCGACGCTGGCATTCACGACAGCTTTTGACGTACTGCTTCACGCTTGCCGAAAGTCCGGGCCAGTAGTACGCCTCACTTACTCTGGCGAGCGTTCGCGAGTAACCTAGATGACCAGATGTGGGCTTGTCATGACACGCGGAGAGGACTTCATCCCGCATGTCTTTCGGAACGACGAGGAGGTAAGCGCGGCTCGTAGAGCGGGCATTTTTTTTGTACAGTACATTATCTCGGAGGCAGAAAGATGTCACGACGCGAGATAGATGGCGAGGTATAACAGCGCTATGACCCTCCAGATAGTCGATGAGCGGTCGAATCTCTTCATCTTCTCGCTGGCGTCTGCTCAAGTCAGATGAGCTAAGGGCGCCCAGGAAACCGTCATCGTCCTCTTCGTCGTGATTGACTAAAGGTATGGGTGCACGCGACAGTGTATCAGCGTCTTCATGCTTACGTCCAGACTTATATACGATGGTAACATCAAATTCCTGTAGACGCAAGCTCCATCGGGCCAGTCGTCCAGAGAGATCACGAATGTTTACCAACCAGCAGAGGGCATGGTGGTCCGTCACCACTTTAAATGGACGACCATAGAGGTACGGGCGAAACTTGATCGCCCACACTACTGCGAGACACTCTTTCTCTGTGGTCGTGTAATTCACCTTGGTACGGGACAGTGAGTGGCTGGCATAGGCTATGACTTGTTCTTTGCCGTGTTGATGCTGGACGAGCACTGCACCGAGGCCGATGTTACTGGCGTCAGTGTGCACCTCTGTGTCGGCATCATCGTCAAAATGCGCAAGAACAGGGGCTGACTGCATCCGCTGTCGTAGCTCGGCAAAAGCAGCCTGTTGTTCGGTAGCCCATACAAACGATGTGTCGTCGCGTGTAAGGCGAGTCAAGGGTTCCGCTATCATCGAAAACCCTCTAATAAATCGTCGATAGTAGGCGCACAAGCCCAGAAAGCGCCGAACAGTCTTTTTGTCAGTAGGATGCGGAAACGCGGCTACAGCGGCAAGTTTGTCGGGGTCGGGTCGTACTCTATTCGCATTGACTACATGGCCAAGGAATTTGAGCTCTTCATAACCAAAGTGACACTTCTGCGGTTTGAGTGTAAGATCTGCTGTTTGAATAGCCTGTAGTACACTCCTGAGGCGGTCTCAAGATGTTGCTGGAAGGTTTCAGAAAAAACGACATCATCAAGGTATACGACACAAGTTTGCCACTTCAGACCAGTAAGCACAGTGTCCATCATTCGCTGGAAGGTTGCAGGCGCTGAGCACAAACCAAAAGGAAGGACTCGAAATTCATACAGGCCATCAGGGGTAACAAAAGCCGTTTTCTCGCGGTCTCGCTCGTCAACCTCAATCTGCCATTACCCGCTTTTTAAATCCAAAGAGGAAAAATAGTGGGCACGGCGTAATCTGTCTAATGAGTCGTCGAGTTAGTTTGCGTTAGTTTTCCCGGCGGGGACTGGGGGACCGTGCGCCAGCATGGCGCTGTGGCGAAGATGAAAAGCGCCTCGGCGACGGTGAGCGCGGCTGCCGTCCAGAAGGCGGTGGCATGCGCTGTTGAGCCAGGTAGTCCTCAATGTCCCGGGGTCGCTGGCCATACCGAGGAGGCGCTGAATATACTGAAAAGCCGCGCAGCCCGAGGCGGCGGTATGGACAGTGGCGGTACAAATGGTCCGCTTCACCGCAGTGGAAGCACAAAGGTCGGCGATCAGCAGTGCGCCAAACATCAGATTTCCGAGGCGAAGCACGTCTGTCGTCAACGTAGTGTGCTGGTTGTTCCGCAAGATGCACAGGACTGGCGTAAACGAGGGGTGGGGGCGTGCGTGTGTTCTCGTAGTACCGTACAGGCTGCGCCGACTGAAGTGAAACCGTAGGAGGTGCTTGAACAAACAGCGGGGAAGAGGAAGCTGGGCGCTTCAAGGCTTCCGCATAGGTCGCACGGTGGTAGTCAGCCGGGGCGTGTGTGGCGTTATCCAGACTCACAGGGTCACGAAGGGCATGATGCAGCTCGTCCTTGACGATGCTTGCAATGGAACTCACCGTAGGTAGTGGTGGTGTGGCAGCCTTTTGCAGCTCCTCGCGTACTATGGAGCGGATAAGGTCGCGCAGACACTCGGTGTTGCTCCCAAAAGCCGTGAGAAGTTGAGCAGTGGGCGTGTTCACTTGCCGCTCATACAGGGTAAATCGATGCTGAAGCATCTTTTCCATTGTGACGGCTTCGGACAAAAACTCGGCGACCGTGTTCGGAGGGCTCCGTACAAGGCCAGCGAAAAGCTGCTCTTTAACTCCCCGCATCAGGTGACGCACCTTCTTTTCTTCTGTCATACTCGGATCAGCCCGTCGGAACAGGCGCGTCATATCTTCCACATAGGTCATGACAGTTTCATTGGGCATTTGGATGCGGGCCTGGATCGCTCGCTCCGCTCGTTCGTGGCGATCAGCACTTCTGTAAGTATCCAACAGCCGGCGGTGGAATTCGGGCCACGATGTCATCTGTTCCTCGTGATTCATGTATCAGGTACGTGCTCCATCCTCCAAATAGAAATACACACGCCGTAGTTTGGCCGCTTCGTTCCAGTCATTCAAAGCAGCCACGCATTCGAAGTCGACCAACCAGTCCTCGACGTCTTCGAGCTCGGTGCCATGAAACGGTGTCGGAACCTGTGGACTTTCGAGGGTGTACCGAGTCACCGGGGGGTTTTCCGTACCTGTTAAAGTGGTTTGAACGGACGTGCTCATCATACTGGGGTGAACTGTAGGGTCAGCTTCAGGTGGCAATCCCGTGATCCTGCGGCTTGTCCGATGAACGGGAGTGTTGACTCGCACTGGGCTTGTGGTGTCGCTTCCAGGAGGGGCCTGAAACATCCGTGAGGGGCTACCCAGCACCTCCACCAATTGCCACGTCGCTTCAGGGGGTGTCGGCAAGATTTATTGATGTCTGAGCAACAGGGCTCTAACCAAGCGCGTCGGTTGGACTTGCTTGCCAGAGCAGGCGGGGGGCCCACGCGCACTTCTCTCTTCTCTGTGGTGTGAGCCTTCACCTTGGCATACGACCCACTACTAGAAGTAGGTGGCAATATTAAACGGAGTGCCTTCAACCAGCACCCCCCCCCCCCCCCCCCAACTTGACAAATCTGATTTATTATAACAGCAGCGGCCACCTTTCAACTGACAAGAAAATGGCAAAACCTCTCTGCACTTAGGCTTAGGTGCACATAAAATAGTCCTATCAATTTGCAGACCCCATTATGTTGTGCCACGTAATCTATCATGGGTTCAGCATGGGACAAACAAGAACATTTCTTAAATTTCTCAGTAAGGAACATGCTTAGCATCATTTCACAGCTCTAGGAGAGAGCTGTCACCTCGTGAAAAGTAAGCTTGTGAGAATACTGAATTTTAGGCTCGAAGCGAATAGTGATTTTGGTCGAATAATTTCGAATCGAATTCGAATAGTACATATGACATGTGAAGAAAAGTGGGCATATTTATTATGCCCTAACTAGCTTGCACAATATCTTTTAAAAATTGAAATAGAGCCTCTATGCAAATGCCATTTTTTTCCGTTCAAAAGAAGCCAAACAACTTTGAGTAGTAGCAGGATTTGACTTTCGGCAGGATGCGAGTCATAACCCTTATAATATGTAACATTTTAAAGTTTATTATACTCAGAGTGTACAAGCCGCCATAACAAGCTTAATAAAATCGGCAGCTTAATAAAATGAATTGATTTGAGCGTAGTATTCTGATTTAAAGAAGCCGTGTGACACTTTTTCAAGGGACGATGGAATGGATTTACTAAAGAAGCTCGTTGTCTCATGAATTCACTGCCCCAAAAAATTTTTAGAATTTTTCCAGTACGCACAGAGCAGCAAAGATTTGTTGCACGCTGCATGTGAATTCTTTCTTCTCATTCCAACGAAAGTGCGCTGGAAGCTAAGCCCGAAGGGGTAGCACGAGGAGAGAAAATACGTCACGCGTGCTTTCTGAGCTTGTGGAGTCATTTGCCGAGAGAAGAGAGCAATTTTCAGCTGACTTTGAAAATTTGTTGTGAATCGCACGCTGCGTGCTGCACTACAATGTTTGGCTTGCGTGTCCTCGGTAGCCTCGACTACGGATCGGCAGCGTTTTCTTACAATGCTCAAAAAGTGTTACCGGGACTCTTTATGCAGGGGAGCTTCGCGGCAAAGCGGATTTCTCCTGGATAGGTGCTTTGACGGTTTAGCACCCCTACACCTCAATGAAAGCACCTTTACAGGTGGTACATTCGTATTAATGTGCATCTATTCGTTCTTTGCGGATACTTAGAAATTTTCAATAATTTAAATTCGAATCGAAGTAAATTTGAATACCCTACTATTCGTTCGAATATTTGAAGCATTCTAATATTCACAAGAGCCTGATCAAAAGGTCACAATGTGCTGCCGCTTCCAGTGCTTACCTTAGATTCCGCCTTTGAGAAGAGCTGTGCGGGTGTGATGTTTGGCGGTGGCTTGCCAAAGCCTAGAGTAATCAGCATGCCCTTCATAGCCTTGGCCACGGGCGACTCGTCCTGCAAGAAGTGAGCGAGATAGACAGTCAACAATCAATTGTTTTCACATGCCTGACAATTCCAATCTTTCCAGCACCACCCTGTATCCTAAAGATAATGTCTTCATCTCGAACGCTGAGAGCCTCTACAGTACAGTTTTTCCAATCTTCTGCCATGACAGCAGATTTGAAATGGCGGCGTTATTCAAAGACACTGTTTCCACCATACTGATTATCTCGCAGCCTCAAGTCAGTGTCGAACGCAGAACTAGCAGCCATAGCGGTTCCAAAAAGTTAGCTAGCAATCTGGCATACACAGCATTGTTGGACTGAAGCATACAATGGCAGTTATTCTGCAATGATGCTGCTTCCAATATGAATATCTCGAAGTACTTCAACAGCAGTCAGGACGACGATTTGCCGACATTAGCAACGTGATTAGCTGGTCATTAGCAGTGTATAATAAGGCCAATACACAACCGAGCATAACACGTTGCTGCAATGTAAGAGCCCAGGAGTGGAAAATAGCCACGGATGTGAGACATAGCACCTGTGTTCCTTAATTATGCATGCTCGCACCACTTCCCAGTTGTCACCGTGCAAGCACTGAAATGCATAACAAGTCCTTCAGAACTGAGGGCTTCCGGACCATTTCAAACACAGCTGCCGTGATGCAAGCCCTTGATGGCTTTAAAAAGGAATTATTCAGACTATTACGATATTTTTCTTATGTTGCAGTTCCTACAGAGTCCTAAAGCTTCAATGCTGACTACAGTAGCATAGCAGTCACACTGAAGTTCGCATGGTTGAAAACATGGAGTGCTCTTTTGCAAATATCTCTAGTAACTACCTAAGAATGAAAACGCATCTTTTTCCACTTATAGATCTGTTACGTTGAAGTAAAAAGCATCTTCGGGAAAATTCCTTGAGCGAACTATTTCGCTAAGAATGGTATCGAAACACCTTTCTTTCCAGCAGCACTAGAGTGTCCAGCACTGACATATTGAAACGAGATGTCAAAGCTTTTCAGTGCAACGACTAGCACGTGCAACTGCTCAAGATAACGAGGGCATGGGGTGATAAATCTGGTCTGTAGAGATAATGTGGGCACTGACCTTCCCATTCGAGTCAAAATTACGCTGATATGAACCAAACTAAGGAAAGTATGTGCTTTACTGCACCCCGAATTGATCTGTTTCCACCTGTAGCTACTTTACATAACCCCACAACATGTGGTACAAAAAGAACCAGTCATTGAAACCAATGTCTTGCACCCACCCATAAATCTTAGCCTCTCTAAGGTCATCTAAAAGAAAGACTCTACGGGGTTTTTTATGCTTTATCAATGAATAAAGAAAAAAGAGCTGTCGCAGTTTCTCAAAGTCAGCTATGATAAAGGTGCCTAAAGACACTGCGTCAGTATATAAAACCCTCCACTGTATTTTTATCTCTTAAAGCTGTACTAATCTTATCAATTTTCGTTCTAGCACACACTGCATTGTTCGCGACTTCTCTAGTTTCATTGGTATCCTCCAAGTTTCTGCCCTGTAAGTTAGAACTGGCAAAATACAATGGTTGTACACGATTCTCGATAAGTCACAACGGTAGGTTGCCAGTCACAAGATGAGAATGAGTACTGCATCTACAGAAGCCCATTTTTACTCTTTGATGCATCTCTGTTAGGTGAGTAGGCTCCCCAGTCAATACTTGACCGAGCTGCACAGGGCGGTCCATTGTTAAACGGAACATCGGGGCATGCGTAGGGCGTTTGGCGCCACTATCGGCGACCACAACGGGTTTCGCACGGCACAGCGAGCACTGTGCACAGTGATTTTTAGTTGCGCAAACGCTTCACTTCGCACCGGTTCAAAACCCGGCAGCAGGTGGTAGCGCATGACGATAGAGCACCATACAGACGCACACTGCGCCTGTGTCCAACTCGTTGTGGCCCCTGGCAGGCAATGGCACCGAGCGACCACCATGCCTTTCTATGTTTCTTTTAACAATAGACTGCAGTGTACATAGCACTCCTGCTATGAGTCCGGTATGCTATAGAGCCCGGTAGTCTATCACCAACTCTGGCTCTTTTACTATACGAGCGATTTCTCTTCCTCGTAGATGAACAATTAATCCTGTCCAAAATTAGAACACTTCACTTTCTGAGAAATTGATACAAATTTCCTTATAGCTTTGTGCTACAGACAAGCAGATGCGAATTTTCCTTTTCCATCAGTCACGTTCAAGAGTTCCTCGACCAGACCGATTCCAGATGAATTTTCAGCTTGAAGCCATTCGTACGCATGTACATAAAAAAGTGTCCCAAAGTGAACACTCACCATCTGAACCTGAAGGGCACCACTGTCGGGACGCAACACTTTGATCATGCGAGCTGCCTCTAGCTCGTCGCACAGAAAGCCTGAAAGGAGATGGAGCGTAAGTTGAGTCGACAGGCAGGCCAGTACAAATTGCAGGCAATGAAAAAATTACAGATGGTCCTAAGTACGCACACCACAGCAATTACAACAGCGCAAACTAGCCAAGCACGGAACCAACTCGTTTGTACAGAAGGCAATTACCATAAAAGCTGCCCTACGGTGTGCTAGGAAGGTGCACAATGACAATGCTGAAGATACTGTTTTCATAAAATTTCATTGCATGCCAGTTTATACAGCAGTATTGCAGGCTAGAATGCGATCTTCTCCTTTGCTTTTTCAAGGTATTACACTGAATGATGCACTCAAAGTGGAAGAAGTTACAAAATAGCATAACGCAGCAATGAATGTAACAAGTAATTTTGTCTCCACATTCAGCATGATTATAACGAGTCACGAATGTACATAAAAAATTATTTTCACTTTTTTAGGTGCACTAAATGAACGAGAATGAAAAAAATAGTGCGGACACAGTGCAGTGTCAATGTCATTTCTTCATCCTTGTTTGTTTAGTGCGCTAAAAAAAGTGAACATGAATTACCAACACCCCTGAGCAACCACGCTTAGGAAAAATGAGCTTGGTCACAATTTCACCATGTCTATAGTTGCCGCTATACTAACAACAGTTTATATATAATTGGCAGGACGTCCCGAAACCACGACATGATTATGAGAGACGTTGTAGCGGCATGCTCCGAAAATTTCAACCACCTGAGGTTCTTTAACATGCACCTAAATCAAAGCACATGGGCTTCAAACATTTTCGCCTCCAATGAAAATGTGGCCGCTGCAGCTGGAATTCGATTGACCTTCTTGTCAGCAGCTGAGCACAATATCCACTAGACCACCGTAGCGGGTGTGGCGCTAACGATAGTAAATTATATTAAGCTACCACGTAATACAACCTCAAACAAAAATGATTCATTTTCTAGTCAGCACCTCGTCCACTGTTGGTGATCCTCATTTTTTTTTTACTCTTCTATTCTCAAACCTGATCGGCATTTTTTCTGTCAACATAGCTATGTCAGACTGAAATGAGCATGTCGCTTGGAACCTGCGAATACCAGGCAAGCAGCACTAAAGAAAGTTAGAATATGAGATAGATGATGATTAGGTATATATATGTTTGGGACAAGACACAGGACACAAAGTATGTCGGCACTGAACTCAGAACTTCTGAGTGTTAAGTCTGTATCCCTGCTGATAACGATTGCATTTATTGAGAAGCCGTTGGTGAAAAAGCACATCTATGCAAGTGTTTATTGTTGAAACTGAACTGGACCGTAAAGGTGACAGGCTCACCTAGAAGAAGCAGTCTATTCTCCTTTGAGACAAGCCGCTGGCTCACAGGCCCTTCTGTCAATACAGTTAATGGACATTCTGCAAGAAAAACAAACAAACAAACAATACAGTTAAAATAAATGATGGAACAACATTAGCTCCTTTTATTTAAAAGTTGGAATACCGTTGTCCCAAGAAACGAAGAACATGAGGCCAATTCGGTACTTACGCATCTCCTTTAGGAAACCACTCAGCTCGAGCAAGAACGTGTTCCAGTCATCGAGGTCTGTAACGAGAGCAACCACTAGTAGTTGTTTTCGTGGTTAAATGTGCTGACTCATACCACAGTCAAAGGGGTGCTAACAAACTCCTTTGAACTCCATGAACAAGCTACACAGCAACATCAGTGAGGACATATCACGCCACACTATTCCGAGCACTGCACAGAAGCTACAAAATGTTGCTATGCTATGCTATGGCACAAAAATCTTGAAACTGATCGTACTGAGAACACTCAATGTGATAGCCACTTTTAATAAAACTAGCTTATGGCAAAGAAGGTTCAAACACAACAGTGGTGGCTCTAATGACCTCACCATCGAAAAAAAGGCTAGTACCGTTTTGAAACTCTGGAATTTATTTATTTCTATTTATCTATTATATATACCTACAGCACCCAAGTTGGGCATGATTATAGGTGGCTGAAAAACACGAAGTTCTAAAAACCTTCACGTTGGTGTCAAACCTCGATTCTCTCATTCAAGCCCTGCGCAATCCCACAGTTAACAGAGGAAAACTTGGAAAAGAGTAAGGCAGAGCTATAGTATTTGAATTTAGACCTGTGATGGCATTCACGTGATCCTCCATGTTGCAGAGGGACTTGATCTGGGTTGACAGCCATGCCACGAGGCCTGTGAACTTGACTGACTTGGCTTCTTCAATCTCCTTTGCAAACAGCTCTTCGTTAACCAAGGGGCCATCATACCTGAATTGCAAATACCAGAGAGAAAAAAACACGTTCAAGTGTACTACTTCTCCGGAAGGACGCCACCTTCATCAGACGAAAGGTGCAAGCCTATGCTCGAGCTGAATCATAAGCAATGGTTTTCCAGTGGTACTCATATTGGTTACCATAATGCGACAACTTTCATGTCATCTACAAAGATTCTTACAGTGACATAAGATAAACACCAGTAAGTCGAGATTGATTTGTGGGGTTTAACGTCCCAAAACCACCATATGATTATGAGAGACGCCGTAGTGGAGGGCTCCGGAAATTTTGACCACCTGTGGTTCTTTAACGTAAACCCAAATCCGAGTACATGGGCCTAGAACGTTTCCGCCTCCATCGGAAATGCAGCCGATACAGCCAAGATTTGATCCCGCGACCTGCGGGTCAGCAGCTGAGTACCTTAGCCACTAGACCACTGTGGCGGGGCAAGTCGAGATTGATGTGAAGAGTAAGATTAATCGAAATCAGAAACTTATCAGCCTCTTAGCCTTTTGCGAATAAACTTCAACTTTCCCTAATGGCAGTGGTATTGTCAGAAATTTATTGCAGGCAGGGGAGGAGACAGGGCCCACCTCACACTTATTGTATATTTGTGTGCGTGCTTGGTTACATACATAACACACAAAATGCAAAATATTTGAGGGCGGCAGACGTCATTTTGCTGTACAGCCAGCACAGTGAGAGGCGCGCTGCTTAACTCCAAAATAGCAAAACCGTAAATAATACAACAAAATGGTGTGCGGTGATGTTACGTGAATACCTGTCGCAGTGTACTAAACCTCGAGCATCAAAAGTGCACTCGAGAAACATGTCTTGTTTCGCATCTTCATTCGCAAGCTCTGTTTGCTGGTTTCTGTACTCTTGCAGAGCAGACAACTATTGTGAAGCGGTGATTAGGTGACGCTTTTGCGGTAACATTTTTGTGCCAACCCAACAGCGAGTAGATTCAAAAAAAAAAAAAAAATCACGATAGTAAAATTTATGTCGTCCGAGTAGAAAAGTCTTTAGGTTGGTATTTTTCTTGCACTGAGTGTTCTTGTAGACAAACTGATTTCAGGTTGCATAAAAAAAGGAATTGTTAATGGAAGATTCAATTCAGCATACTCGCACAGTATCAAGTACCGGCCCCATTGGTGTGCCATGTAAGGAAGCCAGGCGAGAACCGTAGAGAAGCACCAATACAAAAAATATTACTAAAACAAGAGAGCGTGAGACGAGATGGGCGTACAGTGTAGATTATCCCAAAACACCGAAATAGACAGGAAAAGTAAGAATTGATCGAACAGCTTAATTAATTAGCATCAGGTCAATATATGTGACCTTTCGCAAAGATCTCCAGGCTGGCTTTCCCGCAAGAAAATTTTTTCCAAATGAAACTCTCACTCAGCAACAGCTTTTGCCTCGCTAAGCATGTTGACACCTACACAATCGAGCGAATGTGCGGGAAAACCGCAGAGTCCTTTACAAGAAAGTCACAGTTTCGGCACAAGGTCGAAGCAATGAATGCGATAGCAAAATAACGGGCAGTTAAACGACGTAACGGCGCAAGTGCCACTACAACTAATCTGGGGCAGCAAGTTGAGTTAGTCTGTTCACAGTTAAAGTGGCGGTGCGAATTTCGATGGGAACCTAATTCACACGCATGACAGGACCAGTAACTTCCTGAAAACTCCTGGACTTGATGCAAGCAACTTTTTCTGTTGCCTCAGAGTGAAAGTGGAGCCAGAGACATTTTGGAATGCATTTTCATCCAACTGTATGTGCTTCAGTGAACCCACCTCTCCACTGATCAAGCCATTGGACATGTCAATGTTTAGGGAAAGCTTCTATGGCTTGTAAAAATGAAGTACATGCTTTGTTCAAGAATGTATCTTATAAGTTCATTGATAGCAAGCCAGTGGCAAATGGTGAATATACATAGCTCGCCGTAAGTGAGACGGGCCGTATAAGCGGTGTGGCCTAGTTGGTTAATGCAGTTCGCAGAGAAGCGAGAGGTCGCTGGTTCGAATCTCCGGTGAGTGCCTTAGAATTTTCTTCCTCTGAATTATTTTTCTTTGAGCCTTTTATAAATATATACTAAATACATATCCAGGACATGATGGCGACAGCAAAAGTCAGCCGAGAACGTCCACATAATTGTTTTTGCAATAAAATTAGAATGTGAATGTCATGCCCCTTACGGTCTACGGTGTACAGTGAGAAAAGAAACCAAAGAAAGAAAAGGCAGGGTTGGGCATTGAATAAACAAAGGCTCGTTGTTCTGCTAGATTGCAGTCGAGGCCGTTAATTTTTTTATCTATATATACTTGCTCACTAGCATGTGCAGTACATATGTTGCAAAGTGTCAATTACAATCAAACCTCCCTGTAACGTACAATGATATCAAAAATACCAGTTATATCAAATACGAATTTTGGTTCGTCACACTTAATTTCAGAAACGTTTATCCTATATTTAAGACAAAACCAAGAACACAAGAGCGGCCATAATATCTGCTGTAACGATCAAACATGTCGTTTGCACGAGGCTCGAAACTCAGAAAGTGGCATAAAAGCGGTATGAATACTGAAAGACAATTCTCAACATTCCTTTTAATGTGACTATGCCATCAAAAACTTAGTCAATGCACAACCACATTCTTTTTAATGTAGTTGTGAAGATGAAAATATGGTTAAAAGATTGCGGAAGTGAAGTCACCAAACACGGTCACATCCTTCAAGTCACTGTGAACACAAGCCTGTTTTTTTTCTTTTTTTCTGTTGCAATTTCAGTTTCTCACGTGTTCGTCTGTTTAGTTTGAAATGCCATAAAAAGTGAAAGGTGGGCTTGAAGTCTACAATAGCGCATTTTCGTGCTCCTACGCGAGCCAGGTGGCCAATTTGTAAAGCAGATTGTTATCTCTACTGTTACAACGAATATCGGATATGACGAACTAACTTACAGTCGCTATGCTACTTAGCGATAAACAGGTTCCAAAGTAGCTGATATCCGCAAAGCTGGAGCGCGCCCGTATCTAGCGACGCAAAAGTAAGCGATAGTGCGCCAGACGCGATTGGTTGAATTGGGGCTACCCTAAGCCGTGTCGCATGAGGTGTGGCTCGCCAGCGTGCGTCATGTGGTGCGGGTCCCACGCTTGCTTACCAAAAACAACAAAACACTTTTTTTTTTAAATAGAAGTCGACTTCTGGTTCACACGCAGCCATGATCGATGAGCAGAATCGCGTGCGCTTAAGACGGTCTATAAAGCTTTTTAATCTTGTGCTCAACACCTTGCTGTAACGCAAGCACAATCGCTGAAACATGGGCTTCAGCGATTGTTGGCGCGTCGCAACTCGGGCGGTGAACTACGTTTTCAGGCATGCGCAAAGCAAACGCCGAGAAAAGCACGTTGCTCGCTTAAGCAAGCTACTACTTTGGCGTGACCGGATCTCCTGGCTTTAATGACTGTACCTGCGCACGATTAAAAAACATGGCGAGTAAAGACATAAGAGTACGGAACTGATTTCTCTTCCACTACAATCACGAGGCAGCTCGAGGGAAAATACGGCAATCGGCGTCAGCCGAATGCAACGTGTGGGGTGCCGGGCCGGCAACGTAACGGGAGTCTCAAAGCGTGGTGTGTGAGAAAAACAATGCCGGGAGAGCGTCGCACGAATAACCGATGCTCGCCTGAGATCTTCCAGCGCCGTCAGAACATGGTCTTCCATATCAGACGTGGAGAAAAACCTCCGAAAGTAGAAACTGGTGTCAGAAAACCTTGCCTTGCCGAGTTGACAGGCAACGGCGTGCTCGGCTTGGATTAACACGGATGCCACTAACTATGGAGGCCATAACATCTATGAAGCAAAACTTGAGGCTTGCAATGCGCAAAAGCATGACATTTGAGATGACAACGCCGTCACAGAAAACTATAGTTTTACAACAAAAACCGTGCACTCGTTTTACTGCTTTTATAAGTCATCAATGTTTTTGTGAAATGAATATTTGAGCGCAAATTTACGTTTAAAGTTAATAAAATTGCGCAATTGTAAGATCACTGCAGCTACGAAGCTGCTGTCGTTGCAGCGACGTGCGTGCGGGCCGAATTTGTTGTAGCAGCAGACATGGCGCTGTTGGATGGAGTGCTCGCAAATTACCAGCTCCTCTCCAAGGAATGGAGCAAGAAACCGCCCGATCTGAAGAAATGCGGCGAGTTGTTGGGCAATTTGAAAGTAAGTGCCTCCGGTCCCGTGTGCGTTCGTTGGTTGCCGTCGTGGGGTGCCGTCAACGATGGTTACGCCGGTAATTAAGCCTAGGCGCTCCGTGAACCCGGCGAAAATGCCATGTCACGGCTGCGGGTGAAGCAACCGTGCTCGTTCTCTAGTGGGAAACAAATTTGGCGAAAAACAGTGGATCTGAAAAGACGCCACGTCGTGATACGAAGTGGCCCCGTTCGCGTGTGACACAGCTGAATGCTTCGCATCGTGCTTTTCGGAATGAGGTTCTGTGCGTGCGCTAATGCTTGTGCTTTTTGTTCTCTCCTTTCACCTTAGGTTACGCTGACGCAGTTGCCATTCTTGCCCACTTCAGACACGTCAGTATCAAAGAGGGAGCTCCTTCTAGCGCGTAAGTATTGTGCGTTTTTTTTTTTCAAGTTTAACTTATTTGTGCTCCGTTTGTACCACTCGGAAACCGGCTGTCTTTACTCGTTCTCGGCGAACTAGCGCGTTTGTCGAGCGCGGTCTCACTATTAACGGCGCGAGCTGTTTTTCCTTTCTAAAAGCCGCTTTCGTTGGGAGTGGCCGCGCGTATCGCGTTCGGTTGTCAAGTGGACGACCGCGGTCAACTACCCCCCGTCCCCTCCCTCGTTACCCTTCTTGACGCTAAGCTGTGTACGCCAAGCAGGAAGAGAAACGTGGAGTTCCGTTAACGCTGGTTCAAGCTACATGTAAGAGTCTTCTCGCTTGTACCAGCTTATGTTGAGCTTTTGGTTAGCATATATAGCTAGGGATTATACCAGACAGAGCGCAAATCGCTGCATATAAAATCCTTCAGGTGTTGCCAATGTCCTTTCGGCTAGCGTCACCAGACACACATGGCGAAGCTCGCGTCCCTCAACTGCACTAATAGTGGTGAAAAGCTACAAAAGTAAGCTTCAATAGATCTGGGCTCGTGACGAACACCAAAGCCACGCGTTTTAGCTGTTCGGTTAAGCATCTGTGTGCTGTGCTTGGTTGCTCTTTTTTTTTTTTCGCTGTGCAGGCAGAATCACACTTGTCTAGAGTATCCAGCCAGCTGCCGTTTTCTGCAAAAATAATCAACCGTCTGCAAAATGATGACAGACAGTCATACCGCATGCTAAGTCCTCGTGCTATAATTCCAGCATGAACGGAAGCTTGTTGCTAATGTGAGGTAAGAGCAGCCAACGACAACAGCGTACGTAGGCACCCGCATGAGTGCGATTCTGTCTGTGCTCTTCCAGTGTCCTTTACCAGTTGACCATGTCACGGTTGCTTCCGAGAATATGTGCTGCCCTGCGTGTGAACTCACCCAGATGCCCCCCCCCCCCCCCCCCCTTTTTTTTGTCGCAGGTGACATACTCGAAATTGGCGCCCAGTGGAGCATCAAGACTCGCGACATACCGTCCTTCGAGCGTTACCTGGCTCAGCTGAAGTGCTACTACCTCGACTATCAGTAAGTGGATCCGAGTCACCAATGGTGCTTGTCACCATCAGCACAGCTGGAGTGAATGCTGAGTGCTAGAAAACTGTATGGAAATGGAATAGCAGAGTCATTCATAATGAAACAACAAGCAGCGTTATTGACGAAGCACTGTGCACATTTGTGCAGGTTTTGTATAGCATGATGATTGCAGTAGAGCTGTAGCAAATGACCTGCATTGATGTTTCCGTGTCACTGTCCGTATGCAGTGTAAAAAGTGACTTCAATAGATTTCTTCTGTCAATCCCTAGAGGGAATCATGGTTTAATCAGCTTAATGCTTGCATTGTGTACCTTAAACTGTGGACTCTTAAAACTGCAGAGTGGAAAATGTGATGCATTAAATGAAAAAAATTTAGGCAGGTTTGCATAAGTGGTGCCCGAACTTAACGAACAGCGTAGTTGGGCGGCCTTGGTTGTTTTTGTGTTCCTCCCTCTTTTATTCTGTTATTGTATCTTCTCATTTCTGTTTTTCTATTTTTTCTTCCCTTTGTCTGCCTGTTTCTCTCCTATCTCTTTCATTTATTTGCTCTGCATTTCTCTTATTCGCGTTTGTCTGGACACATGCATTGTAGAAACACTTGCATTCAGTGTGACAAGCTCAATGGGTCTGCTTGCCGCCGGTCTTTATATCTGCAATATTACTAGGGGATACTCAAAGAGATACTCATCTGCAAGGTGGATACACACAACCCTGCACCAACAGGCGCGCACACCGGGCTGACTTAGTGGGCTGGATGGAAAACTTGGCCGAGCGCATGGCGCGAGACGATTTTGCTAGTCGTGGAGGCAAATGGCTGCTGCGCTTCAATCGTCGAGGTGGGGCCTCCGCGGGCTTCTTCAGCTGTATTCAATTGTTGTTGTGTTGCTGCCTGGCTCAGTGCAGAGATTAAGTGTCAACATGGGGCAGAGCTCACGCGAAAGTCATCCTCATTGCAAGTTGTGTGTTGATGGTGCGCCCGCAGGAACGACTTGCCCGAGTCCGCACAGAAGTACGAGCTGCTGGGTCTCAACCTCCTCTGCCTCCTGGCTCAAAACAGAGTTGCTGAATTCCACACGGTGAGATCATTTCAGATTCGTTGAGACTGTCCTTGTGAACCATACTTCACATTCAGGCAGCATCCTTATCTTTGCCTAAAGAGGTACTACACCCCATCTGTCAATGTAAAAGGGCTACTCACCAGGCCCCATACCGAATTTTAGTTAGACAGTGGAAGTTCTTGGGTGTCCGATGAGGAACGTTTTGCCACGAAAATTTTTCGAATCGGTTCATTACGAGCGGAGAAAACAGGTTTTTTGAAGTGGCATGAAATGAGGATGAGAGGAGGCGATCTCGAAATCCTTGCCGCTCCTCCGCGTAGCCTTCGCAAGCCAAATCTCTTCCCCACACTCTCCGGCATATGACCAAGAGGGGACGTGCGCATGACGTGCCCGAACAAGCCCAGCCCCGTGTACGCGAGCGGCGTTGCTTTGTTGACCAGCGTTATTTATTGGTCTTCTGCCTGTTTCTGCGGGATTGTTTGGAAACGCTGGCTTAGACGCGGTAGAGTACATGAGCACAATGAGTGCGCGAACGCGTAGGAGCGTTCCACGGCGGTCGTCTGCTCAATGCGCTGACCGTGGGGACCCGAACGCATGCGAAATGCTGGCACATTAGCCCCGCATCTCGTAGCACTTCACGGGAAAAAGTGCAAGAAAAACGCGCACAATTTTTTATTGCGTCTCATTATTTATTTCGTTTTATTCATCTCTTAAACCAACAAATACATAAACTACGCATGTTGTGTTAAATAATTTTTGCCATGTCACGTATACTGTTGACAACGGCAGAGCAGAGTTGTCTACGTAGAGGACCAACGTCATTGCATTGCCGTGTACGTAGGGCCATTCCTACGCCTACGTCATGCCCTCATTCTCTACGCGTGCGCTGGCAGAGGGAACAGCTGTCATCTTGAAATTTGACCCCTTTCCGTGGCGCGTAGCGTTGCATAGTTTGGCAGACGTGATCATGAACGCCTCGTCTACGCATTGCGCTTAGCTCAAAATTGTCAAACCTGGTGAGTGGCCCTTTAAAGGGACATTATATAGGCAAATATTAAGTCAATGTGAGTTGTTCCAGTAGTGTTCCAAAAGCATCATACTGCTTGTTTTGTGCAGAGCTACTTAGCTTGAAAAAAACAAAAAAAAAACATGGATTACTTTTTTCGCTTGCTGTGGGATTGTAGTGAGACCACCCACCTCTAAAAGCGGGTTTGTGATGTAGCAATTTCTTCACAGCCAGCACTGCATGGCAAAACAAAACTTTTGAACGACCCCTGTCGTTCTCACAGTGTTCATTTTTTTTTCGTTATGAGTAATCATACTGGAATGTGCAAGCTGCATTTGATTCAGTCTTGTCATGCACTGAGGTGTCTAATTTTATCATGGATAATTTGAATACTACAGGTTATAATTGTACCGAGGGCCTTCTACGTCATTGGGCTATTGGCCTTTTCTAGGTGGCAGTAGTAGAGGCAAGCATTGTACCGCAAAAAACTTCGGTTCACATCATTTATCATCTAAAATTGAAGTGGAAACCATGTTTCTAAGTTGTCTCAGGGTATGTAAAATCTTTTTGCATTTTTGGATGAAAGCAAGATGCATGGGATTAACAAAAATTTCTCATCTTGTGCATAATTTCGAAAAACAGTCATACCTTATTGTAACAAACTTGAATCTTGCACGAAAGTAAGTTCGTTATATCTGAAAATTTGTTATAAAGTTATATTCTTAACACAGAACTATATATTTTTTTCCTTATCATCAATCATACTGGAATACACAAGCTGCATTTAATTCAATTCAGTCACGCACTGAGATCACGCACTGTCATGCACTGTCCGTAACCACATCGCGCAAAATTAGGAAAACAACCTTGCACTAATGACACAGTGGGGCTCGAACCAGAGTCTGCTGGGTGCCAGCTCAATATTCTACCACTGAGCTACATCGTTGCTTGTGACTTGCTGTCACACTTGCCTTAAGCTGGCTTGATGTCGGGAAAGCAATCGCGTTGATTAGACTTATAAAGCGTTTTACAGCAGCAAAGA